ATGAGAAATGGCTCATCTTACCCCACTCTCCCCTACACCACAGATCACATACAAGCGTTGATGCGCATCTTGTGTGTACCTTAAAATATGCTCATGGTTTAACGGTTTTCTATCTCTTCATTCTAGCCTCTGTCTTTGCCGAAGTCCATTTTATTGCATACACTGATTATTAACAGGATGTTTTAATGGTTGTGGTATTTTATTTTCAGTCATCTAGGATTTCCGTTTGCATTTCTTGAAGCTTCTGCAAATCAGCCATGGCTAGAAACCTGCATTTGTACCTGTCGAATAAACATGAACATAAAAATATTGCCTCGGTGGTGAACAGATACACCGATTCTGAATTGCCATGTGAAATGCATGCATGGAAAGAGTGTTGACAGCACATATAAAACCTTTCCTGTTTGTGTTTGTCAGTAATAACACTCTGGGTAAGAAGAATTTGAACTTTTGACCCTGTGTTTTTGAGTTTGTGACACTCACCGGGGGGAAGTCGCTGAGCATGTGGTAGGCTCGGATGTACAGCTCGTGCTGAAAAACAAGAAAAGAGAGGTGGAGGATGGAGTTAGAGCAGTTCTCCGAGCATCTATTCAAACATAAAACATAAGCCACTGAACTTAGACTACATGTGGCTCATATTATTTCCTGGAGCAACTCCCCTCCCACACAACAATAATGGCTGTAGAACAGTTTGTTCCCCCATAACTTTTCAGAGTAAATGACTGCACAATGACTTGAAACTCGAAACCTTCTTCAACAACTGTTTTTTTTTTTTTCTCATCTGATGGATTGAGTAAAGCCACCCTGACCTAGATTAACACTGCTGGCGAACAAAAGGAGCTTCACTTTATGTAATCGGCAAAGAGGAACAAGTAAGAGCGGAATCTAGGTGAAAGTTCGCCGCCAATGAGACATGCAGAGGCGCTGGATCCGATCTGGAGAGAAAGAGGGGACCGAGTTCCCACATGGAGGCCCTGGAGACAAACTGTAGCTCGAATTAAATAATGACAGGGACATGTTGCTGCAGTCTCTGATATAATGTCACAGAATGTGCTCATCATGAAGATGGTTCTTGAGTTGCTTGAGTTGCACATCTTGTATTTGCCTAAAACAGCATCTGAAGAACTCTGCCTTTTTAGAGTCCTTGCGCTCTGAAGTGGACAGAAAAAAAAAACGTTTCGGCATCGACTGAGACTTTCAGCACTTTTAGCACTCATCTCAGCTGGGATCTTCAACGAGGCTGGTAATTAACATTTTCTGGTTATTGTGAATTTTGTGTAAAGATGAAGACAAAACGTGTGTCGTGATTAAGTGTCTTTATCTAAGGGAAAGCAAATCTTAATGGCAACATTTACAATAACCATGCAATGTGGACTTTGATGCGTCATGCTCCAGTGGAAATAGAGAGCCCAGATCTACATTTATAGGTCACGTAACTCTGACCTACATACTGAATACTATGGGTTACATCTGCTGCCAGACCACATGCTATGAATTATATAAGCAGAGTAAGAATTCCTGGCATCACTCCCAAGAAAAAGAAAGAGAACAGAAACTCTGAACACATTTGTGCTTTTGACTTTTAACAGCGACTGAAGAGACAAACTACTTTATCTTATAGAAACAGCTGGAAAAAGTTTTGAACTTTTTCCACTTGATTGTTTTTATCTTGACATATTAATGGACATAACACAAAGAGTTATTAGAGGGTTTGAACATTTTGAAGGAGAGACCATAAGCTGAAAATGACAGTAAGAGACCTCTTCTTCATCATTATTAAAGACCCACTCTGATGAAAATCGTGTTTTTCTTGTTGTCTCCATGTTCATACGGTATTTTTCTGATGCTAAAGGACATATCATGAGAAAACTAAGTGTGAAATTGTATTTGAGTAGTTCTGCATTCAAATCGCTGTGGACCTCTCACAGACCTAAACGGCAAGTTCAGACACAGTGGGATTTTCTATGTCACAAGTCCGTGCTCCGCCCCCAGTGCCCCACTCCGCAGGCCAGATCCCAAGAAGTAGAGAGGACCATCGCAAGACAAGTGTGTGAAGTAGCGGATTGAAATGCTCATAAGTAAGCTAATTATGATATTAACTTTCACCACGCCCAAAAAGACAATAGTGTTCGAAAGCTGAATAGCTCTTATATTACCTGCCACTTATACTACTCTGGCAATGTTAGGCTACAAGCTAGAATGAAGAGGAGAGTGCAGAGCAGCGCTGTCTCCGCCCACGACTCAGAGGTGAAGAAGAAAAGCCCTCGAAAATGACATAAGTAACGTGATTTTGACTAAAAACTTTACAATTTAACGAAAACTGAGAACGCAAAAAAAAAAATTCTGAGTGGGTCTTTAACAGTCATAAAGCAAAAAAGATCAGTAAAAACTGCTTGATTTTAAGACTTGGTCGTTTGTGTAATCTATTAAGAGAGTTTCCCATGTTTTTTTTTTAGTGGTGACTATTGAATTCCTTCCTTGGATGTTGGATTCAGTAACATATTCACAAACACATTTTAAGACTGATTCTTTATGCATCCGTCATCTCTGGACATTACATTCTGACACCATGTTTCTTGGCTGTTAAAATCTCTGCTAAATTGTTTTTTTATGTCCCTGCTTGAGGTCAACAATTCCTTCTTTTGCATTTCTTTGCTCAGCTCACCATGCCCCTCTATCTTTCATCCTCCCAGCACTGTAGCAGCGACTGTCTGTTTCTCAGCCACGAGGGTCACACTGACCCAACAGATAAACTCTCTTCACAATTAATTACTAAACACAGAGCATGAGACAACCCCACAGTTTTGAAATGTATGTCAAAGAAAGGGACCTGTTTTATATCCTGCTCAATGCAGTACTTATCGGTAGATTTTTTTTTCATGAAAGACGACGCCCTCTCCTTCCTCCTTCCATCCTTGTTACATAAACCAAACAAAGTGAGTTGTTGCAGCTCCATTGGTTTGTATCATGATCGTACGCTTCTCTGTGTGGAATATTTGGTTGTATAATGTCTCGAACAGTGACCTGCTGACATACTGAGCAGGGAGGGGATCCAACCACGGACACAGAGATTGATGGAAACATGGGATTTAGTTGTGAGCTATGGCTAACCGGTCTTGGTGCAAACTACAGAGGCCAAACTTTAACAACAGAGAGCACTTCTCTGCATCTATCAACATCTCAGCCATGGTTCTGTGCTGCAGCCCAGTCGTCACTTTCTTATTATAGAATCCAGTGCAGGGCCGGCGCCACCGCCATGATACTTCATGTATAATTCCACAATGACTCAGGAGGTGCAATTTAGTGTGTGAGTGTGTGCGCGTGTGTGTGAATTGTCCTCTTACCACTTGCAGAATGGTCGGGTTGCAACCAATGATGAAGGGCAAACTGCGGAAACCTTTGATGCGGTGAGCAATTCTTACAGGCAACTCCTTATGCAAGTACTTGGCACTGCTCTGAAGCACAAACAGGACAGTTACGGTAGAAAGAAGGTGAGTGTAAAGTCACGGTCAGCAAGACATTCTCATTAAACACACACTGTACAGTTTTCTCAGTGTGGCTGAAATATTTACCAAGATGTGGTGTCCATCAGGAGATTTCCCAGAATACAACAAGGTCGCTAAGGTCAATCGCACTGAAGCCTGGAAAGATTTCAACACATATGGTCACACAGTTGTTCAGTGAGGAGGGCAGGTCAACTGACACTGTATGGTTGTTTGTGTGTAATGAACAACAAAAGACAGAGATGTCCAACAGTTACTTAGTAACACAACCTGAGTATGACTTAAAGCACTCATGTTTTTGTACTTTACAAGGATTTAAGGACTAGTGCATGAGCCAAACTGAATACTTTTTATATCAAACTGCTCATTAGCCCAGCAAAGGTTTCCACAATACATACTGGTTTATCCTCTCTTAATGTAACAAGTGTGCATGTGCTCTAAGGAATCCCTAGGTAAATTTGATTTAAAAAAAAAATACAGTCATGAAAATATATGATTCATCAGTTTAATGAAGAAAAAACGTGGCTTAAGAAGATGTCTAATCTTCATGGATACCATCTGACTGAGAAAACTGACTATTCCAGCTCTTGATATATTAAGCTGATTTAATTTGAAAAACAAAATTTTAAAATCTTTTTTTTTCAAACCACTTCCAAAGTTTTTTAATAACTGACTTCTGCCATTTCATAGATTCAAACTATTTGAATTTAAATCAAAGACTTTCAATAAAATGTATTTTTGTCAAAAATCCAACAAAAACCATAGATTTCACATCTTAAATATCTCTTTTGATGGCTTCCAAAAGATGGTTGAACTGTTGTAATAGTCCATGTAAAAAACGTATAATTAGACTGAAGTTGATTTTGTGTGACTTAATTAGACTCAGTCACATTAAGTCAGTAACACTTGTGAGAAAAATGTGACCTGTGTCCAAACAGCAGGTGATCAGAATGCAGTGACTGGATTCAAGGGCACTGATTTGAAAAACTGTCTGGAAAATCTTGCAGCACCTGTTGATCACTTTGAGACAGAGTGATCAACAGGATCCTGAGACAGCAGGAAAAAGAATAGAAATACAGACAGTGCAAACAGCCTCAGAAACAAACAGGACTGAGGGTAAAGATTATCCAGAGGTTGACAGTTACTAAGAGGAAAATCTTGACATACAAGGTAAGCTTGCATTTATGTTACTGCCAATCCTTGCCGAGAGGCTTTAATGCATGTAGAGCCTATTGTGATCAAATGTATTCATCAACACCGAATTGCCTGATTGGTGTGGTGAAATCGAGTGGTAGTGAGGAAAAGTTCACACAAGTTAAGACAGGAGAGCTTTAACAGACTATGCCTCACTAGATAAGGGCAGGAGCATCTCCCAAAAAGAGTAAGACCTTGTTTTTTTTTTTTGTTTTTTTAAGGTCCATTGACAATGTTTCTGCTGTGTCAGTTTTTAAACTCCTGACATTCATCTTGCAGCCCTGCTCCTCAAGCTATTCACTGGGAACCAATGCACCAGTCTTTCCTGTGAGTACAGGTCACAAGACAAATCCCTCCAGCTAACTATAATCAGGCAGACTTGAAGAAAAGAGGCAACAACTAATACATACTGAGCTAACCAGATTCCTCTGGACAAAACAACTGCATTGGTCATTTCCTTCTTTTAACTCACAGTTGATATGCGATGCCAAATTCCTTACTCATTTTACTGTCAGAAGTGACGGTTGTGTCTTCCAAATAAGTAAATACCCATTTTGCGTAACACACAGCTGGTGAGTAGATGACAAAGAGGAATAAATCTCTGTGGAGAAATATGGAGGAAAAGTTGACCTCCAAATTCTGAGAAAAGAGCCATCCTTTTTATCCAGCACGATGAGTGACTATAATAGGGATACTGGGGAATTACATTAGGCTACTTGTACCTCATATAAATACTATTCACTGTCAATAAAGGGCCACATCATAAGCGTGCATTAATAAGGTCAACCTCAATCACTTTAAAACACATGTCTTTTAATTAAACTGACTATGCTAAGGTGTTAATGATATTTGCTTTCTTATGGGGTTATTTTTTATTAGTATGAGTACAAATTTAATGACAATAAAAGACGGAGTAGAGGGGAACTGCAACATCATGGCATTACTCTGTCTGTCCGAGATTAACCAATGTCAGCAGGCACATATTATACTGGTGTGAAAAACCCTGACGCTGCGTTCACGGCCTATGGAACTATTCAGAGAAATACCTGTTTGAAGTAAGACACGCGTTCACTTTGTGATTTAACATTAAATTTCCAACAGTCAGCAAACTGGATATTACAGTTTAGGTAAAATCTAAATCAGCTAAACCAGTTACTTCTGATCAGCCTCGACATATCCTCGATTTTCCCTTTTTTAGAAGAAAAAAATCGGAATTTCCTTGTCGGTGACACGCCATTTAAACCATGGCACGCTTTAAAAATCTCTTATTATCGCATTTTCCAATTAAAACAATATTTAATTTTGTGTGTGTGTCAAATTGTATTGTATAACGGTCGCCTGGTGAAGAATCCGAACTTTTTGATATGTCCCTGAACGCCTCACAAGCCTCGCTATCGGCTAACAGTATTGTCAGGTTAGAGCTAGCTTAACGCCCTCATTACTTCAGTTTGAATTCAGTCAACCGGTTAAAAGTCACATTTTTACCTTTTCTGCTGAAACGTCGATGGCAGACTGGTTGTAAAACGACGTGACAGTCTTCGACCGCTCTCTGGCCAGCTCTGAAAACCCTTGCAGCGAGGACGTAGAGCGAAATCTGTGGCTCCCCGTGCTTGACATCGGCAGCAGTGTTTTGGTGAGGGGGAACGGCGAGAGGCTGCCGAGCCTCGGCCTGGCCATGCAGGTAGCTCCGCTCAGCATCTCCGCCGCAATACCCGCCAGAGCTGGACGCATTTTGAGACGAGCTGTCCGCGTGTGAACAGGGGCTGCCCTGTTCCTGAACGAAAAGCGAAATTGTGGGGTTGCTACGAGGCCATTGGGGTCGCTTCGCAATGGTGCACAAAGGCAAGTATCTGAATACAGTAGAGAGGGTACAGAAAGGGCTTTGTGCGCATTGGTCAGTAGCTGAGAGAATAGTGACGACATGAAGGATGAACCAATCAGAGAGTAGAAGGCGGGGCGGAACTGCATCAACAACCTAACCCCCACCACACCACTGTAAAGAGCTGTCAAAGGGGCAGTGAGTGGGGCTGTGGGTAAACAACTATTCTGAGTATTCTCGTCCACTTTTGGCCCACGGTTACATCAGAAACATATTTAACAAAGTTTCTAGGTACACATGACTGTTAGGAACCATGTATGTTTTCCCTCAGGCCTGTCTATCCCCTGTTTTTAAATCCACACCCAAAACACAAACAAGTTAGGTTCTACAAACAAAAACTAATCTGATTAATTTCTGTATTCTGTCAAGCCTAAATAATGTTTAATAAGAATAAGAACTGTATTGATCTCCGAAGGAAAATTCAATTGTCTGTCGTCTTATTTGTCATGTCTCTAAAAGACTTTAAAATAAGTGATGGAAGAAAGTTCTCCAACTCAAGAATACACCAACAACAATAACTCAAGCAGATCAATAAAATCAACTTTTTTTCCTGAGAAGCTTCGACACAGAAGTCACAAGAGCTCTCAGGTTTCACCAAAAGTTTGAATGACTTATACAAAAGTTAAAATAGCTAACATTGATCAGAAGGTATCCAATCATATGCTGCCACAAATACACAAACATGGAACAACAGCAGCTTGAAGAATTTCTTTTTTTTAATTTAGAAACAAATAGTTTTACAACCTTTCACAAGAGGAAAACTCAAAATGGTTGTCACATTAATAACATCTGTTTGGAAACTGGTGACAGTTTTAGCTGATAAAATCAATTAAAAAGTTAAAACAAAGTCCAAAGACTGGTCCGAAACTGTAAGACATGATCAATGCAAATCCAGAGTTTCACAAAATTATTTACATTATTAAATGTACAAAAAAGATCCATGTTCCAACCTGCACTAATACCTTTTGTTACTGTTTTGGGAAGCACAAAACATTACAAAAGAAAAAAAAAATGTGTTTATAACCTGTTTAAGTTTTTACATAACTGGCAAAAACTTTTCAAGAGTCTGGTGTGTTGACAAACCCTCCAGCAGCATTTTACTGCAGCTGAGCAGAGGTAAAGTTCAAACACAAAAACAAAACTAAAACAAAGAGGATTAGACCACACATCGGCTTGATTATGACCACAAACTTGGGTAAAAAAACAACAAATTAAAATAAAAAAGGCTGCAGTCAGACTACAGCTACATTTGCAGCGCATGTTGCATATCTATTAATTAGATTTAACTGCAGCTATTTTAGAATTCATATCTATGAGATATTTTTCTGCTGGACATTTCTTTAAAAAATAACCCATCCTCTGTAAAACTTACAAGTTTTATCACTGGATCAGACATTCCTCTGTGCTGTATCTTTGAAAATACAAACATACTAAATTATGTTACAAAGCCACATTTGTTATCCTCTGTTACAACAGAAACCCTGAGTGGAGCAGGAAACCTTCTGTAAAATCAAAGTTTTATGCTCAACAAATTATGAGCAAAAGTTCTTAAAATTTACTCCAAGACAGATTCAGAGCCGTCTGTGACAATCAGTTCATTTTCAAAACTGTCTGATTTCTTTTAGTCCTCGATCTTCTGCCCTTCTGTCAAAACTTGGATGCTCTCATCCACCTTCACCACAGGACAACAATCCTCAGATTTGTATTAAATCAACATTTGAACAGGACCTCTGTTCATGAGTTACAGTCTTCTCAGGATGACTCATCTCTCTTCCACACGATCACCATGTTTTTGTCACTAAGAGCCACCAGGAAGTTGAGCTCGGGGTCCATTGCTACACTGTTAATGGAGGGACCCTTCACCGGGCCTGCTCCCTTCCTCAGCGGGGCCGGCCACTCCAGCACCTGCCAAAACACAAACACTAATTAGTGAGTGAAGCGAAGGATGGATAAGTAGTTTGTCTGAGCTCTCCAATTTGGTAAGAAACGCTTATTTGAATGGATCAAGTTACACGCTAACAAAATAAAGGGGTCAGAGGTTAATTTACCTTTGTGTTTATTCATTTTAAGTCACTTTTTGGAATAACAGGGTGAATTCTCAATCAAGAAGAGTGAACAGGCTTTAAAAGTGCTTTGTGAGAAAACGAGAGAGAGTCAAAACGTATGTCCTGATGAAAAGACGAAAGCGTGGAGAGCGAAATTTATGTGAAAACAGACTTAAAGCTGCAAAATAACTGATCTTCTCTGACGGCTCATTATAGCAGAAGAGGTGCCCTTGGTCAGGTGAGGAGAAGACTGCGAAGATACAGGAATGTGGTTCTATCACTACAACAGAGGCGACCTACATTCAAACGGTTTAGTCTGGAGGTTTACATCACCTCAACTTCGAATAAAATACACCTATAAATCATCTGAGATCATCCCCGCAGGACACACACCTAGTGGTTCAAACAGAAAGTTGGTCTTTAAACTGTTCCATTTAGTCATTAAGAAGAGCTGAGGCAGTAATTTTACAGTTTAAGTTTTCTTCTCATCCATAAACTGGGGATGAGCTGTGAGTTTGTTTTCACCTCACTTTCCCTCAATGCCACCAAGTGCAGCAGTTACCAAAAGAGAAGTAGTCAAGCCTCCAGGTTTCTCAAATCTCAGCAGAACTGTAGTGTAAGAGGAAAATGACAGGACATGAATACCTCCGTGGGCTGGATGGGTTTCCCGGTCCGGAAACTGTTCTTCTGCAGGTCAGTGACGTGGTAGGTCCACAGCTTGCCCTTGTCATCACCACAGACTATGTACGCCTGGCCTAAAGAGAGAGAAAGAGGAAGGAGAGACAGAGTGATGGAGACACAATCAGGACATTAGTCTAAATACAAGGTCATTTTTTCCTTCCTCAGAAAGTGTACTGGAGAGATCAGTTCCTCAGTGACTCATTTGTAAGGACTGTTTAGACCATTTCTGGAAATATAAAAATAAAAACACGCAAAGAAGCCACTTCTAGTTATAAGAAAATGAACAAAAAGAACAGACTGTGGGGGTGTAAACATAGACCTCCTAACAAACCAGACGACCACATTTGCAGTCAAATCACCTTTGTTTTCTAATCAGCTCATATAAATCGAAGACTTGCCTGGGCAGGTGTTGAGGGCCAGGTACGGGATGTCAGTGTTGGCCCACTGCAGCTCAGCCAGAATCACAGCTGTCACGTCTTTGTGCTTCTTACCAGGCCTCTGAGCTTTTGTCCTGCTCCAGCTCCACAGGCAGATTGAACCCTGCGTGAAGTTCTTAGAGGCTAGAAAAACCATAAAAAACAATGAGATGGGAAAATTAAAAAAAGGAAGAAAGCTGAGACGAGGTTAGAGAAATGCAGAGAAAAAAAAGGGCAAAAGGGGGTAAAGTTTAAAGAGTTCAAACATTTTCACTTAGTGAACACAGTCTCCATAAATCTCAACCTGACACAGCTGACAAACCTGTCACAAGTATGACTGATTAGACCTGCCGTTCCCAAGTTACATATTATATAACATGTCTGTTTCACCTCTGTATGAGGTCTGTGTTGATTTATAACAGAGTTTAGGGACATTAAATTTATGCTGTGACATTCAGCATACTGTTCTGACAAGTCAGGGACCAACATTTAACTTATCGTAGCTCCCTCTAGTGGCCTTGTAAAGAAAGGGTAGGTAAGAAAAGCATTTTGGAGACAGATTTATAAAACCAAGTGTAACTTTTTTCAGTAATCACTCAGGGATCAGCGATGTTTTCCAAATTCACACCCTTGAGATTATAAAACATTTAAAATAAATACACAACAACAGTTCGCTCTAAGTTTACACAGATCCTCAATACTCCAGGCTTTCACACAGACTGTAAATGAGACCACTATGGAGCTGTGGTCCACGGTGAAAGCATCACTCACCCACGATGTCGTCTGTGAGAAATTTCAGCCCATCAATGATGTGATAGTCAGTGTCTTTGTCTTCCTTCTCATAAATGGGGAACGTTATCTCCATCTCCTTAGACCTGCAGAGAAAGAATCATATTTTACTTCATCCTGAAACTCTTTTGTTTTGTTGCTTGCTTATGTTACTTTTTTATTTTTTGCAGGATAATCGGGGAAAATGTTCCACAGGAGGCTTCAGACAGTCAATCGTGAGCAGACAATTTTTAAAGTAATGAGAAAGCTTTCAGCTCAGCTTTAAGCACTGATACAAGAATAATACGATGGGATAGTTAGGCATTATACCTCCATGCAAGAATGTCAATGCATCAAAGCAACAAGGAGTCTGTCTGTCAGGAATACAAGAAGATAAAGAAATGTACACACACACACACCGCGGGCATGTTTACCTCTTTGAGCTGTTGTTGGTGCCCAGTTGTGTGTTGTAGCAGTGCAGGCCGTCCTCACAGGCTGTCAGCAGGTGTGAGCTGGGGGATTTTGGGGGGAGGCAAATGTGCAGAGGGGTGGCGCTGACCTCCAACACCAGCAGCTGACTGCAGGTGATGAACAGGAAGAAATAAACTTAGCATCTTATCCTCATAACAAAAGACTTTATTTTAATTTTCAGAGTATTTATCAGCAGCCTGACATGTTCGTGCTCTAAAGTGTTACAAACTAAGTGTTGTGGACTGTACCTAATATTTCTATTGGTTTCTGTTGTCCCTTGGCTTGTAGAGGCTTAACCACACACTTATGGTATTCAATATATTCTACTCTAATTTATTGTTGAGCAGGGACTCCTGAATTTCTGTATTCAATAAAAGTTAACTAAAAACCTTTAGCCAAAAAGCACTTACACTACTTTAAAGTTGTACTGGCTGTCCACTCCGCCGATGTCCCACATCACTATCTTGTTATCATATGATCCCGCTGCAAGACACAAAGTTCAGTGGTCAGGACACAAAAACACAAGTGTAGAAAAAGTGAGGAGAGATGTGCGACTTGTATCTATGCCTGTCGAAGAAAACCGTTTCTGAGCGGCAGTAATGACTCACTGAAGAGAAAGTTTCCCTGGCGAGGGTTGAAGCAGAGGACGGACAGAGACTTGCGGCTCGCTCTGAACTCCCCGTATGCCACATTGTTTCTGGGGTGGATCAGTTTGACCACCCCTCTGGTCCCACCAGCAGCCAGAATGCTGCAGTGTTGAGCCGAGGCCCCGCCTCCCCTGGACATCAATACTGTGGACCAGGCCAGGGAGAAGAACACCTTTTGAGAGAAACAAATAACACCAGGAAGGAACAACACAGAAAGACATCAGAGATCAAATCAAGACACTGTTTTCATCTATACAAACATACTCAGCAATTTTCTCAAATATGGAATCACCTTAGGTTACAGACTACGACAAAATGAACTTTGGCAACATTAAATCTTAAACTGATCTTAAATGAGTGAATGAGGCAGATTGTTTTGACTTTGATCGTGTTATTAGTGAAAACTTCAGGATAAAAATACAATTATCTACAAAAATTAAGAGCAAACAAACCTCATTAGAGACTTTATACTTCTTCATCACCATCCCTGTTTCACAGTCGATCACACAGATAGAGTCTCCACCACAGGTAGCCACCAGACGACTCCCTCCACCAGCGCCTGTTCATACAATAAAGACGAGATATGATGTTGATTTTTTTTCCACCTCTAGAGCTATTCATCCTTTAGCTTGTTTAAAGACGATGAAGAGCCCCTTAAAAGAAGAATGTCTTTATACCTGTTGAATCTGGTAGTGGCTGGAAAGCACAGGCCCACAGCTGTGTAGAAAAGTCCTCAGAGCTGTTGCGGTTACTGTGACACTGGAGGACGTGGAGAGGCTTCAAGTGCACCGGCTACAAGAGGAAGGAAACATGGATGAAGAGAAGAAGGGAAGGGTGAGATTTCAAAGAGACACGGGAGACAGTATTAAAAAGACACTGAACATAAGGACAGCTGGATATCTGATGGTGCAGACATAAAGCTACCTCATGAGTAGAAATTTGCACTATTCGAACATTTAATCAAGTTATTGTTGATGTCTTTAGTCTGAAAAGGGCTGTTGTATACTGTGGTTATTTCACAGAAAACACAGCTACCATCTCTATCTTCTCTACCTGTGTCTTTGGCAGCTCTGTTGTATCCAATTCCTTTCGGCCAACATCTTCTTTCTGTTTTTTCTGAGCCCTGATCTCTCCACTTTCCCCCACTCTTTCTCCTCCTCTAGGTGTCTCTGCTCTGGTCCGCCCTCGGGTCGGGGTAGAGGGCGGCTGAGCTACCTTGCGAGGACTCATCCTGACAGTTAGACACTGGAGTTTTGGACGTAGGCTGGATTTGCGTGGACTGTTTTCAGCTGGAGAGGCCGGGGGATCTGTGCGCAGTTTCTTGCGAGGTGTCAGGCTTTTGTCAGTCTCTTTGACTGAGTCAGTTTGTTTCCTCTTGGTTAGTGTAGAGACATCCTGAGGAAAGTTTAACAAGTTGGTTTAGATAGATGAGTGCAGATGAAATTGTTGAATTGGACATACTTTCAACATTTCAAGTGGGGTAGTGATCTCAAAATGATATAGATGCTCAGCTAAGCCCACTGAACTGAGTCACTGTTAAAATCTTACAGAGTTCTCTTTTGTGTCAGCAGACTTTCTGCTCTCTGCCTCTTCTTCTGGTTCTGTCAGGGAGCGCAGATATTCCCTGGCTAGTATCCCCACCTGAGAAACCAAGGCAACAGAAACATTTACAAAACTTTTAGAAAGCAACTTTTAAACACTCTCACTAGATTGTCCCCAAGACCCTGAACTCACCCTCCATTTGGTGAAGTCACCGACTGAATTTGGTCCGTATTTAACCTGCTGACAGGCAGTGCTGACAAACTTTGTCTCCAGGGCGGACATTTTCTCAGTTGTGATTGGATCAGGAAGGCTGAAGCTCTTCTCCCAGACTGCATTTATCTGTAACAGCCAAAGCAGCGATATTTACAAACCCAATAGAGACCTGGTAACTAAAAATGCATTGAAGCATTAATGTATAAATTATGTTCACAAAAAAAGATGTCTGTATACCCTGGTCCTCAGGTTCTCGCTGTAGACGAAGCGTACGTGGTTGGCAGTGGTGGTAATATCTTTACCATTGTAAATCCTCAGGTTGGGCAACAAGGTCATCAACTTGTAGTTATCACTCACCTAAGGAAGAAAAGCATCATTACAGAACATGTCTTTAGATCAAGTAAGGTGTCATTAAAAAACAAAACAAAACACTAATTTCTTTAAACTTCTCTTTTGTTTCTTTGTCTAAATCAAATTTCATTGTAGGGAAAACTGTCCCCTCTGTTAATCTTATAAAGTGTGACTCTCTTACCTTTATTCAACACATTTAACAGCTAAAAAATGAGCTGCTTTAAAAGGACTCGAAAGCATTCAGCATGGTGTTGTCTATTCTTTCTACAACTGACTTAGGCTTCATTTACTGCTAAGAGATTCCCAAGGTAAAAATAATCTCAGACAGAAATGTAAATTACATTTTCCTCCTGTCTATTCACTATTTCCAAGCAAATCCTGGTTCGCACTCAGCAAACAATGGGGCATAATCCCCAGTGATCTACCACACAGTTAACACAATAGCCAGTATTCACACACCTATCGAAACTTGAGCCTAATCTGCATGTCTTTACATTGTGGGTGGGAGGACTCACAGACCCAGTTCAAATACACAAAACCAAGGTCAAAGTATTCAACTATATATAAGCTTTTATTCTATTTAAACCTTCTCCTGTATGAGCATCATGTCAGAAACTACCTAAAACTGCAGGGTTCACACAGAAAACAAAGTCACGACCTGTTTCCTTACAGTGATATAAAGGTTGTCCTCCATCTTGAGCTCTTCCAGACCACATAGAGACTCCAGAGTGGTCACATCCTCCATCTGATTATTACTTAGGTCCAGGTATCTGAGCGCAGGCAGCTTCAGGTTTTTTGGTAACTCCTGCAGTCTGTTTCCAGACAGATCCAAACGCTCAAGGGACTGAAGACGGGACAGCAGCTTAACCAGCAGGTCCTGATGCTTTAGCGCCAGCTTAGAGAGACTAAATAACAGAGTTAACACAAGTTAGTGTTTAAATAAGATAGAAAATGCACTGAACAGAAGCTGCAAGGTCCACTATTGCTCTAAATAATCCACGCACTACATTTTTATCCATAAAGAATGACTAATTGATGAATAAATCAGTAATCTGTGTTCTGAAAATTAGCAATCTCTTAGTGCAAACAAAAACTAACACAAAAGACAGAAATGAAGACTATTTTAAAATGATGGAAACCATGCTTACTTCAGGGTCTTGATATGCTCCAGTTTGTTGGTTTTTGGAGAGCCTTTCTCCAGTAGAAGTTTCTCAGTAATTTTCTCCATTTTGGACCTTTGGAAGAAAAACTTTGAGATAAAGGACACCAAATAAGTACCAAGAAAAACAACGTGGGGAAGGACTGGCATGTACAATCTGTTGTATCAGGACTCACTCAATAACTTTTTAAGCAAACTTCAAATCTTAATTTTTCACTCATACAAAATTACAGATCTCTGTTTTACTCTAAAACTTGGGTGAAGTATCAATCTGAGTGAAGCACTGCGTTAGATGGTCGTCTGTGCTGTTTTCTAGTCGCTTTGTTTGCTTTCCCTCAAAACGACGATCCCAGAGTTTTATCTTTATACGTTGGTGGTTTTGAGAGACGGATTCTGTAAGAAGAAACTTTACACGGACGACGACTTCATGTAAGAAATGTAAAGAAACATTGGTCCAAGGCCAAATCGAGTGAACCAGGTGAACAGACCACTCACTACTCCATATCTAGTCTAACACTGTAAACAGATAAAAGACCTCTTATTTTTAAGGTTTCTAACTACTTGGACTTATCTTTAAAACTTCTCCTGTCTCAGACAGAAAAATAACAGGTACATATCATTTTTCATAACAATGAAAAGATAACTTACCAGCTTTTCAGTAACTCCTGGTGGTTCCTCTTCACCTCTGCAGAAAGTAAACGCAGATTTCCCGGGTAAACTGCGTACATCCGGTGGGCGTGGTTTAAGTGTAGTTCTATTCTCTCTCTCTCTCTCTCTTTTAAATCTTTATTTAAAATATTAAGGTACAAATGTGAACAATACTATATACTATCATTATATCCTGAATGAAATAATAATACGTATATTATGTCTATGCGATACGAATTATTTATTTTAAGGTAATAAACTTTAAGAACGGACTTTAAATCAGTTGATTCAGATGTAAAATAAGAAAGAACCTTTATATATATATATATATATATATATATATATATATATATATATATATATATATATATACACACACACACACACACACACACACACACACACAAATTATATATATAGAGAGAGAGAGAGAGAGAGAGAGAGAGAGAGAGAGAGATATTTATATATAGATAACGATATATTATAGTAGTATATGGAGTCTATGGTGAAAACACTGTCCCATGCACAGATGACTAAACAGATAACTATTATAACACAGATAATGGCTTTGCAGTTTTTGTTTGTTTGGTTTTGTGCTTACAATTACTACAAAAATTATATATATTTTTTTCAATATATTGCACTTACAAATGTATATATTTTTGTATTTCATTTACACAGTCGTGATAAGTTTCAACAGCTCAGGTTTTGACTTCTTAAAAGTATCTCCTTAGAAAATATTACAACATAATAACTTGCATTATCATGACTGTCATTCTTTTTAAGTAAATCCAAAGACACAGCAATAAAATGTTCTTTCAGTTTTGTCTTAGAGTTGATCAATGAATTTTTTACTGAATTGGGATTTTGCAGTTAAGCGTTATAAATGTTTCTATCTTTGGGTTCTTCATATCTTTACAGTATCTGGTGAGACCATTTTTTATCGCTAGATGGCGATATTTAATTATTTCACTGTTTCCGCCATCGACAACGTAAAACACACGAAGAAGATGCAGGACGATGGCTCCTGAGAGCAGGGACGGGGCAGCTCCCTGCGGCTGTAAAGGAATAAGGAGCTGTCTCATCTGTGAAAAGTTGAAGGGAAAAGGGCAGTTACAGAAGAGTAAATCGGAGGTTAATATATCTAACTGAAAACTCTCTTTAAATAGTTACCATTATTAGCAGGAAACAGTCTGAGCTACTGTATGCTAGCTACACTCACTGACTTGTACGGAAGCTTTAATGGGACAAACTGCTTCATTAGTTTTAATAGAGTGAAGTCTCTCTTTTCTGCCAGAATGTTTGATATGTATCTTCCATATTGTGGCTCACTATCAGAGATGACAGAATCATGAATTGTTGCTGTAACTGGAACCCTTTTTCTCTGTGTAGGTTGTCCATCATTTCTTTTACAACCCCGAAACTGGTCTTGCTGTGTCCAAAGATGCAGAGGGTCCATCCTTCCGATTCCCTGGGGTCTTTCTTCAGGAGAACTTCATAACAGAAGAGGAGGAGAAGGAGCTGATCACTGCCATGGACCAGGATGTCTGGAATGAGTCCCAGTCAGGTAGACGGAAACAGGTAAGGTGGAGCACATGTAAGGTTTACTTTGTAGAGTTTTTGTTAGACAAATAATTTCATTTTTTTTTTAAAGAATTGGATGTTAGTTTGCCTTCCTACCATATTCTAGTGTACCATATTCTAGCCAAATGACCCTCCATATAACCCCCCACTCCCACCCTGCTGCACTGTGCTCCTGTTTTTACTATTTATTATGTGTAAGAACATATATCTTTTTATATATTTTAAATATACTTTTATCTATTTGGTTTTTATTCCACTACCACTCTACCTCCAGAGAGTGCAATATTGCTCACAATGCTGCTAATTTACCCTTAGTTTTTATTATTTTTCTGCATGTTAAATTAAACACAATCATGCTGTGATATGGAAGCCAAGCAATGCCATTTTCGTTGCAGAGATAAATCACTGCTGTGTTTTATTCAGTGCAGTGACAAATGAAGAAAGTCTATAGTTTTATTTTTGCTCAATGCTGGTTGGTCATGAGCACCTTTGATCCTATCGATACCAAAAGCAGGGCTGAGTTTTCTTCTCAAAGCAACATTTTTTTTAATTTTCTTCTTATTTTGTTGCAGGACTTTGGACCAAAAGTTAACTTCAAGAAAAGGAAGGTGCGTCCTGGAGGCTTCAGTGGACTCCCTCCTTTGAGCCAAAAACTAGTTCTCCGAATGCATCAAGAGCAGACTCTTGCAGGTTTTCAGCCAGTTGAGCAGTGCAATCTGGATTATAATCCTCAGCGAGGCTCTGCCATTGATCCTCATCTGGATGATTCCTGGCTGTGGGGGGAACGCCTGGTTACCATCAACATGTTATCCAACACCACACTCACTATGTCCCTTGAACAGGGTCTGCCAGAGGCTGGACTATCAGAGGAAGTTCGAGTAGCTGTGCACCTTCCTCGCAGGTCTTTAGTGGTGCTACAGGGAGAGGCTCGGCACAGATGGAGACATGCCATCCATAGGGAGGATGTTCACCAGCGGAGAGTCTGCAGCACCTACAGAGAGCTCTCTGCAGAGTTTCTACCAGGAGGGAAACAGGCAGAGATGGGGGCACAGCTGTTGGACATTGCATTGGCCTTTAAAGGAACTCCAATATAGTCAGCTGAGAGGAGGGTATCAGGGTCTGTAGACATGGTTTGAGTGTTGGTGTTTTGACAGAGCAGAAGAAGCTGTTTGACATGTTAAGTGTAACTGATACTGAAATTTTAATTTTATTGGGAAAAACCCTGTATAAAGCCAATAAAGATATACAGTTAGACTTTCACCCACCCTGTGAGCTGTGCCATCAAGACTGAATGCATACAGTATGTGTTCTACACCTGCAAATATTATGTGAAGGGAGCCTGTGATTTAAAGTTGGCTTGGACTTCATTCTTAAAAGAGTAGATTTCCCTATACTGACCAGGAAAAAATGTGTCTGATGAAAGGGTGAAATAAACAAATTTATTATTTTTGATGTTGGTGATGGTGTTGCAAGATCTGTCTGTATCTCTCTGAAGGTTATTTAGCGGTTGTGACCATCTGAACAAAAAATGCATGCTGAAAACAGCATACAGATAGCTCATAGTCATTTTCACGTCCTTGGCACAGAGTTTTTTTCAAAATTACTCTAATCCTCCTGTAATTTAAAGATATAATGTTTTAACTGTGTGAAAGCAATCACTAATGAATGTAAGCCAAAGGTCTAAAAACTGTACTATGAGTTTAATGTGCAGTATTTTCATGTGACTTGAATTCCTTGTTCTTTATTTTTAAATAGTACTGATACAAATGTCAAGGTTGTGTATTTTTAAAGAGTACTGATGTAAAGACAAAAACCATGAGCAGTTAAGTCTCCTGTCCTGTGGGTGTGAACAATTAATACACAATCTGTATTTTCTTGCAGTTATGGCTTTTGTTTTATATTTTCATATTAACGTACACTGTTGACTACGCTGCTACATCACATTCAGCTGATAACACTATTTTTAGATAACCACAAAACCACATACAAGCTTGTTAAAGCTGATAAACAGCCCAGCCTGCAAAGTAAAAAAAAGAGCCAATGAAAGATCAACTTACTCACTTAAGTATTTTTTTTTCCATGGAAATGCACCCTAGGTCAAACAAGTCTAGAAACTGTTTTTAGATTTTTAATCAATATTTTGCGCTTCCACTAAAATTTTACATGAGTAAGTGATGCACCCAAGACACAACAAACGATTCATTTAATTTTCTGCAGGGAAACTGTTTCTTAATGTTTAGTGCATGAAGCAAACTATCAGTGCATTACTGCTTGTTAGGAGGCAAGGATTATTTTGATGTCTTTGGAGGATTTTAGAAATAATCAAATTCACTGAATTGAATTAAACAGTTTTCTACTTTTCTGCAGTTTTCCCCCTCACGGGACTTTATCCTTGCTGTAGTTTACTCACACTCCTCGCTCTTAACAGGACTAGTTCAATATGAGTCTTATACTGATTTTAATCTTTGATTTGTCATTGATTGTAACCACTTATTTCCCTCTATGAACCTGGGGGTAACTCATAGTCAGTTGCTTGATCAGCTGCAAGATGTGCATCAACGTTTGTATGTGGTCCATGGTGTAGGGGAGAGTGGGGTAAGATGAGCCATTTTTCATATTTCAGATCACTACATCAAGGCAATCATAGTTTTGTCTCTAACTAGTGAATCTGCATGTATTTCAAGATGTTGTGCATCCCTGCAAACCAACAGAATGAGTGTAAACATAACATAAAAATGTTTGTTTTTTTGGAAATAAACATCTAACCCCTTCACCCACGTGCTTCTAACCTTTACAGACTCCATGAATTGATGCCCATCTCTTAAATATTTGGTCACATGATCAATTTCTTTTACCATTTCTAAGCAACAGGGGGTGGCTTAACTTACCCTTTGGCTCAACTCACCCCACTCTCCCTTATGAGATGTGCTGAACTTGCCAGTTTGCCCCCTTGCTTCTCCACCACTGTCGCCAGTTCATTGACCATGCCTTTATTTTGAAGGTCTCAGCCGGACATCCTTGTTTACTGTATCTGCTGAAGCTTCAGCACAACCTGTTTGTTGATCGCTCTATGAGGCTTATTAACACCCTGACTTTATTACGAGCCGGGTTCATCTCTCAGGGGAGCTTTAACTTCTCACCACCAGGAAGACACGGCTGGATATTTGCCAGACGACAGAAAGACAAAGCGAGTATGTGAGATGTTTTTACCAGCAGCCGTTTTTATAGTGAGAGAGGCTTTTTTTTTTCTGATGTAGCTCGTTAGCTTAGCTGCGTCGCCTTCAGTGTACACACACAGCCTTTTTGTTCTGCTCTTCAACTGCCTCTGCATGACAAATTAGGACCACTGTTAACTCAGGACAAGGCGCAAAAACACTACGGCTTTTCTGTGGACAGACGTGTCAAGAATAATTTCTGGTTGTCAACCTCAGCCCCGGGGCTAACCCCCGGTCGCCGACCGAATTAATGGCCGGAAATCCGAGGAGGGGCGCCGGTCTCATCGGCTTGATGAAGGACGCCTTTCAGCCCCACCAGCAGCCTCTGCAGCCTCACCAACCTCCAGTGGTCGATAAGAAAATGGTGGAGAAATGCTGGAAACTCATGGACAAGGTAATGACAATAATGTGTAAAAATAGAGGGAAAAAAAGGAACTGAAAATTAGCTATTTTGTTTTTGCCAGCACTGAAGACAGAGATAAGGTGATGGCAGTGTTTGTGGAGTTAAAAAATAGAAAAGGGGAACTGAAAAATGGTTACTGTGGTATTTCCACTTATCAGCTGATCCACAGAAAACTTCCACTGCCACTGTCCTCTTTTTCGCCTCAAACCTCCATTACTACTTGGATATACCTATAAAGACATCCCTCATCTAGTCAACACTGAAGCATTGTTTTGCAGCTTAATAATCATCTTAATTGTTTTGCAATCACCCATTTAAAGTCCTTTACTTCACCAGGGAATTAGATAAGAATAAGAAGGGAAATTCAATTGTCTGTTGTCTCACATATGTCTCTGAAAGTTATCTCTAGTAGAATTATAAAGTCTGATGTGCATAATGTTTAAAAAATACAAGATAACTCATGACTTGATGTTTACTACACCATCAACATTTACAAAAAAAATCACTATATTCTGCAAGTAATTCTGTATTATTGACCCATTATCAGTTTAACTATATTTCCCAAGCTGACATGTTGATTTTTGCGATTATTAAACTCAAGACAGCCATACATTGCAATATCCGAATTGTGTCCCATCTGTGATTACTGCCTCTATTTGATAATGAGAGTTGGATATATCTAGGTTGTCTTGCACCCCTCAAACTTCAGTATGCTGGCGTCCCAGATGTATAATCTAAATAGGACAAATTTGCAGTAAAGGAGGTCACATTGATGCTAATCTGTTGATCTTTCACCATTGCTTTGCAAACCTCTCTGATGTTCCCTGGAGGTGGACACCTTCTGTTTGATGATTTATCAAAAGAGCTTTGTGTGTGTGTGCGTGTGTGTTTGATTCAAACAGGTTCGTTTTTACTCGTCGCTGACTGTCACTCTGCTTTTATCTTCAGCACCTTTCTAAACTGAGACTCAGACAGGAGAGCAGAAAGTAGAGGGAAAATGAGGAGACAGGAGTTTTCACAAGAGATTAATCCAGGAGAGCTGAAGGAAGCAGAGAGAGACGGATATCTGATGAGACAGAGTACAATAATAACACAGCGTGCCTGTTCAGCGTGCTGAGCAAAGAGGTGTCTGTGTTGGTTCATTCACACCTACAGTATGATGTATCTTAATTTCACATGGCACTGACTGATCCTTTAACGCTTGATACATCAGCGTTTATTCATAGCTGTACTTGATAACTCTGGCTTGTTTTTGTGCTCTTCTGGCTTGTTGTGAAACTGTATCATGATTATGCAGTTTGACGGATTTGTAACTTTGATTTGATTTAACGCTCTCATGAGGAACTTTCTCGGATCAAGTTTGTTTTATCTTGTTCCCTACATGCTGGAGTTCGGGTTTTTGACTGTAAATCTTATTCTGTTCACTTGTCGCAGTCAAGTGTATAAATTATTGTGAATTCTTGATGAGGAAATTGTAAAAACAGGACTATTTTTTCAGCTGCATACCCCCTCACATCAGTTTTAGGTATTAAAAACAGCATAAAGATTCTCAATCTCACTGCTGATGGTCTTGTTCACTTTTAAATATCATAAAAAGGCACTAATATAAACTGCAGCTATTTCTAAAAACATCTAAAAACTCCTTACAGGAGCTTTGATGTAAAGTGGGTGAAACGTTTTGACAGTGTTTAAGATTTCTCATCTTCAGACTAAAAAACATGACAGCGGTCCTGTATTTGAAACCGTTTGTCTGGACTCTTCACACTCAGCCCTCAGGATATATAATGCATTTTACACAGTATAACTTGTTATAAAGTCACTGTAGCTGCTATAAATGTCATGCTGTGAAGCACAGCAAACATCCAAGTCCACAGTCTGATTCATGTCCACTGGCAGATAATTTAAACCTCCTGTCCAGTGCCCTAAAAAGCAACTATCCTTCCTGTTTTCACTTAAGTAGGAACAGTTTGAAATTAAAAAGCTATATAAAAACGGCTGAAGAAACTCTCTGTGGTTTGCTCAGATCTTTTTTGTGTACTCTTGGACCCCTCTAAACCTCAAACATTCATTGACAATAAAGCTCAAAATTCTGAGGGGGTCTCTCTCTCTTTGATTGGACTCGTGGCATCTGAAATTTTCTGCCCAACACACCGGATTAACTGAACAAAACGTGGTAGACTGAGCATTACTGGATTTCAGGGAGAAACCATGCATGTGTACAGAAGACGGCGTGATCCATTACTAAAGAAATGCTTAAAAAAAAGATTGAATAAAACCCAGTTTGATTGCTCTCTGGATGGTCACGTGTGCTGATATTCTCCAGTCAGGACAGCCTACATGTAGTTTTGCTTATTTGTGCGAATGTCATGTCCTCAATTGTTTTGTTGACCTCCTAACCTTCACCTTAGAGCCACGATCACAGATAAAGAAATCTAAATTTGCCTGAAGTTGGAGATTTTCATGAACATTTCAAACGAAGATTAAGCTCCAAAGGGAGATTAGCTTTTCTTTAAATGACCCTGTAGCATTTAATCTTGAATAAGTGAAACATTTCGAGCTCCACCAATAATAGTAGACATGTCTGAGGGAATGACCTCCCAGCATATTTTAATGGATCAGTATAAGCCCAAATAAAGCAGATCAAAATGAGATCCTCGACTAAATCCATGTGTCCACCCTCTGGACAGGCAGACTGATCCCTCCTACTTTTCAGATGTATATCCTCAAAGTGTTTACCCTGAGCATGGTAATCCTGCAGGCTGTAAGCTGCAGAGAGTTGGCTAATAACTTAAATGAGGAAATATGCACATATTTTATTACCTCTAAAGCCGTTCCTTACGTACATATCTGCACCATGCCTTCATGGTTCAAGCTCCATTTCAAAAAGTCGTGATTTTGCACAACCACAGTAAACTACAGTGTTTGGAAAATGTCAGGAGTTTATGTGCAGAAGCAGCGACTTCCACGCAGACTTTTACTGCATTTACTTTAAGGATGTTAAAGGTAGGGCTGTCCCACTGTCAGTTTATCAAATAGTCCAATGGTTCTGATCCAGACTCCTCCTGCATATCCGCAGAATTTCTCATAGCCTGCAGTGGAAGAGTGATGCCTGAAATGTGGTTATCCAGTCCCCTGCTCAATGTAAACAGAGCGAGCATGTGTAGAGTAAGTAGGAAAATCTCTAGGAAGTTTATCAGTAAGTGGAAACAGCTGCTTTCTGGATGATGTGGCTATTTGTTGCATGTTTGGATCGTTGTTTGACTTTTCTGTCAAAAATGATCTGCTCTCCTTGCTCAGCATATAAATTCAGAAATGGCACCAAAAACCCCTCTGGTGGTGATTTCTTATCAAAAATAATGTCGTGTCAGTCCAGTGCTCAAGGTAGAAGATGTGGACTGGGCTACAGTCACGTCCATATTACAGTGAATTGTGGGTAATTAAATCCGCAAAGCCTGTGGACTTGGGAAAGTCAGCAGAAAGTCTGCTTTAGTCCTCCTGCAGACTGGATGAGTTGTGGCTTTGGAAAGCCCTCAGCACTTGCAGACCTTGTGGGCGCATTCCCAGGAGTCTGCAGGAGAGTCGACGTCCAGACGTTTGGATTCGGTTTTATTTACTGTGCTCAGCTGTGTTTTCCACCACAGCCTGTTGGTGTTGCTTTCCTCTGGAGAATGCAGGCTCTGCTCTGTAGGCGTTTCACTGCATATAAGAGTGGAATTAGGGTGTGTAAGGGACAAAAAGCATCCGGTTCTGACAGCCAGTTTGGCAATTTTTCAACAAGTTTGCTTTAGGCAGTCACAAAGAAAACAAGAAAAGCCAATATTATCCACATTATTCATTAAATCTGTTGGTAAGTTTAAGGCCCACAATAATAAAACTGTATAAAAAAATACTAATTCTCGAGTAGGGATGGGAATCGAGAACCGGTTCTTGTTGAGAGCCAGTTCCAAATGGTTCAATCCATCGACATCGTTGTTTCCGTTGACGACGACGTTGACGAAAATATTTCGACAACGTCATCGTCCGAAAACAACACTGCAGAATATACGTTTAGCATTTGACTGATGAAATGCTCGTGAATTTTGCAACTCTGTTCGTCGTCCACCACTAATGTTTTCGTCGAGTCTCGTCAATGTAAACGCACATTCGTCTCGTCACATTTTAGTCATCAAAGACTTATGTTTAGCTCGTCAACGTCACGTATTTGTCGTGAAAAAACAACAGTGCTCCCGGGTGCTTTGGAAAACGTTCTTGTGAGAGGCAGTCTACGCGAAGGAGAACAGAGACTTTGAGGAAAAAACATGGTGGATGGTACGAAAAGTCGGCAGAAACGATCAAAAGCGTGGCTTCATTTTACTAAGAAAGACGACGACGAGTTTTGTATGGGAGTTTTGAGTTCGTGTAGCGTGGACTGAGTCAGAAGCGCGTAAAAAAAACACTCAACTCGACCAGAAAAACCCTCAAAATTTTGCGCATGACTCCACCCGTGTAGCCTTGTCCTCTTTTTGGAGATCCAGAGTATGGTCACCCTGATTTGACTTAATACCGACCAAGTAAATGTACAAATAGTTTGTCGTTTAATTATTTTTAGACTACATCTTTTTCTGTTATCAAAGACTCAATAAAATTTTGAGTTAACATTGAAAACCTATAGTCTACTTTTTTTAAATCAAAGAAAGGCATTGATAAGGGAATTATTTAAGAATTGAATTGATCAGCAGAATCTTAAATGGCAACGATATCGATAAAACCATATCAATTCCCATCCCTATTCTCGAGGTGGTAATGTTTATTGACATCATAACTACTCCCCACATTCAAAAACTATGTGATTATATGGAAATCTGACTGTTAAAAAATTCCTGAAATGATCCTTTAATTTACACTTTGGGTCTCTGCTTCCTCTCCAGGTGGTGCGTTTGTGTCAGAACCCTAAGGTAGCGCTGAAAAACAGCCCACCTTACATCCTGGACCTACTGCCCGACACCTACCAACACCTTCGCACCATCCTGTCCCGATACGAGGGCAAAATGGAGATCCTCGGGGAAAACGAGTATTTCCGTGTTGTCATGGAGAACCTGACGAACAAGACGAAGCAGACTATGAGTCTTTTTAAAGAGGCCAAGGAGAGGATGTATGAGGAGAACTCCCAGCCCAGGTAGGCTCAGTGTATCCTGATGAGACGTCGTCCTCCCTTGTTGCAGAAGGTCGCTGCGGGGTGAAAACAGCTGCGACGCAGGGAAAGTGTTTGATTAAGTGACAGATGTGACAAAGATCATCAGGTTTAACATTGTTTGAGTTGGCTGAAGAGCGTCATGTTCAAGTCTGGTGATACTGCTGCTGCCTGGAGCCACCTGGATGTTCGAAGCAGAGTCTGAATGTGTGTTTATATCAATTACGAGGCTTCGCAGCTCGGCTTCACCCCTCTGTTTGGGTTCATATGCGATAAATGAGTAAAAATCTCCAGTCTGTTGGGTCCACATGAAAATAGTTCACCCTATCCTGGAAGAAGAAGTATTTCCAGCTAAGAAAGCTCTCTGTCTGTGTTTATTTCAATAAGGCTGTGAGGGGGGAAAAAAGTATAAACAGGCCAAAGAACTCTTTCATATTGCTGTGTCCTCATTTTGAGCTGCTATTATTCTATTTGGTGGACACAAAGTTGGCAGCAACCCACTGACATAATTACTGTGCATGTGTGGGCTTTAAGCAGGTCAGCTAACCGCTACATCCAAAGAAAGAAGCGGAAAGATTTGACTGGGTCAGCGTTTTCAGTGATGTTTTAAGAAACATTAAATGTCCGTGTAAGACTTCCGAGAAGTTCCCTCACACTTTCCGTTTGTGGAGTGACGCACAAACAGCATCATTTGTCAAAAAGCAAAGCAGAAGAGAAGAGAAGAGCAAACAGAAGTGCGATCTCTTAAATGTCTGATAAAGGCACCATCAAACTATCGCAATCACGTCCACTTCCTCTCTTTCTCAGAAATTCATTACTAAGCAAAAGGTCCTTCCTCTGACGCACTGAGATTTTTATCAAGCATTTCCTCACAGATGTTCAGCATCAACTACTATTGTGAAGGGCAGCAGATGTATCACTCCCCCGGGCGTTATGGAGTACAGGCATGTTAACTGAACCATCAAAAGTCTAAATCCACTTCACACAGTTGAAGTCACATTTTAGGTTATGAGGAGGATGCTCTTGTAAACCTGAAAGGCTACCTTTTATACTGAAAAACAGATAAAACACTGATCATAATCAAGATGTTCAAAAGTAGAGAACCGTGCTTCCTGAACAGGTTTGAGTTTGTGAAATACAGTCGCCAAAAAGGCAGTATCAGTCATTTTTTAATCTTTATTTTGTCTGTAAGTTTACAGAAAATATTAGAAAAGCCTTATCCGGTTAACCTTAGATGTTTTATATTCTCCAACCAGGAGTAAGAAACCGGAAGACAGTCAGCCTGCAAACTTGTAAACAAGTGAAAATAGCACATGCTGACATTTAAAGGATTGTGACGCGCCAGTATCTGCCAATACTGATGCGTCAGTGCGTCCAGTTTTGGATTGATTTTAAAATGGTTTCACTCTCGAGCTGCTGCCTCTGTATGACCCTCAGTGTTTGATTTTCTTCTTTTAACTGGATTGAAGTGCTTGTGTTTTGGTCTGATCCTCCACTGTAAGAGTTGTGTTAATATTTGGCTCCTGCCCTGAAGGAGCTGTTCAAATTTAGCAGAAGGATCTTTTTTTTTTTTCCTCTCTAGAAAAGTTTCATTTTTTCATCATGTTTTGTTTGTAAGGCTGTAAAGAGGAGGTTATACTTATGCCTGTGTGAATGCTTCAGGGTCCTTTCTGACTGTTTAGATATATCATGACACTGAAGCTTTGACAGGTAACATTAAACTGTCCAATTATCTATCAAATCAATATTTGATAGTGAATACATCCCCTCAGCAGAATCAACACAACATGTGAACTTCTCACAGTGCCATCAGAGGCGGGTCAGCAAATGTTAATCCTGAGTTTAAAAAAGTAATTCTTCTTTAATGTACCAAAAATAAAACCCAAAAGTCTCTGTTGAGAAAGAGTGAAATAGTCTACGGTTCGGTTTGAAAGTCGTACAAGCGTTTGAGTGTTTTTCTGAAGTCTGTGGTAGTTTTCATCTGAGCTGATATCTGTGAAGAAAAACATGAATACACGCTGTAAACTCCGTTTATTTTTCCTCGCATGCCATGTTAGAGTACACGCATACATGTTTGTTTAAAGCCTGTTATTTTTGAACAAATATTAGTCCCCGTATCTATTTTTATGATCTCTTATTATCTCTTAATATCTGTCGCTAACTTGTATTTGTTTCTCCTGTCCTCTCTCTCTCTCTCTTTCCCATCACTCAGGCGAAACCTCACCAAGCTGTCTCTGATCTTCAGTCACATGCTCGCAGAGCTGAAAGCCATCTTCCCCAACGGCCTGTTTCAGGGCGACAACTTCAGGATCACCAAAGCTGATGCTGCAGAATTTTGGAGGAGGTCATTCGGGGACAAGTGAGTCAGATATTAAACCTGACAAAAAAGGGGGAACTTAAAAGTCTGCGAACTCGTACTTGCTAACCAAACTATGTCTGAAGTTCACAGATTGTACGTTCGTCATGAGATTCTGTGATTTTAAAACTTCTACCTCTTGAGTTTAGGTTTCTCTATCCATTCACTCGTTTTCTTTGTGAGCACCAAATATGGTACACAGATTTAACTCATAAGTTCCTGGCCTTCTTGCTCCCATGTAGAACCATAGTGCCATGGAGGACCTTTCGTCAGGCTCTCCACGAGTTTCACCCCATCAGCTCAGGCTTGGAGGCCATGGCTCTCAAATCCACCATCGACCTCACCTGTAACGACTACATCTCTGTTTTTGAGTTCGACATCTTCACCAGGCTCTTCCAGGTAATAGTGGGACACTTTCCTGGTACCCATGTAGTCATTCTATGAAAAGGTAAATCTGAATCCCTTCAGACTGGGAGGATTTAGTGAAAAATCTCTGATGTGTGCTTGCTTGTTTTTCACACTGATGCCTAAATGCTGAAGTAGACAAACGGGACAACTAGGAGTGTCACAATACAAGAATTAAACATCATATGATATTGATGCTGGTTTGATACTGCGGAAAGAAAAATGGGCGCCTTAAATAGTAATCTTTGTTTTCTTTGACTTCCAAAAAAAAGTCACAGATCACAGAGCAACATTTGACTGTTACTGTCTTCAAAACATGATTGAGTAGAAAATCTGATCGTCGTTTAACATTCAGAGGACGTGCTTTTGCAGAAAGTTTCTTACTTAATTCGGTAACTTGATACAGTCACAGAAGCTTCCTGTCAAAAGACCACAGTCCTCTACTTTCTGCTTTTTAGGTTGGTTTGCTGAAGACATAAACTTGGCTTGTGGCTATCAAAGACGCTAAAAAAGACCTCTCAGTGCATCAGTATTTTTAGACCTATGCATGAGAAGAGTTCGCAGTGCAGCGGTTGCGACAGAGGTGGAGTGGAGACACACAGCAGGCAAGAGGAAGCGCGACTTAAGCTGCAAGCAAAACAAAACATCCTCCTGCGCAATGATAAGGAGTCGTGAATGTGTCTAATAGCTCTTAAACATGTGGAATTTAAAAGTATCTAAGTGTGTAAAATTACAACAACATACAAAAACAGAAACTAGAGACATTATCTTAATTAACCCTCAAGTTTAAAGTCTGCTGTCCACCAGTTTAGCTCAACTGGTAGAGCAGACTTCATGTATTCAGAGGCAGCCCTCGTCCCACTGGTTTTAAGATTAATACCTAGTCCAGTCCAGACAGGATCTGATGCACCTCATCCCCCACTCTCCCAAGATGCCTGATTCATTAAAAAAAAAAAAAAGATTAAACACTTATCTTCATAAAAGAAAAATCTGCAGTATTATTGAAATATCGTCCCTAATTATAAGTGATCCACCAGATAATCACTGAGGGATTGACTGTCGTTATCACATTAACCCTTCAGCACTGTAAGCCTGAAAAACAAAATTAGGATCAAAGGTTGAGTTAAGCAGAAATAGAGGAAGCGTTTAGAAAGTCTCATGACTGTCCTGACATTTGACTCCTCAAATTATGATATGACTGATCACCAGCACTGCTGCCAAGATAATGATTTCCCACTCTCAGAGCTGAACTCTTAAGGCTGTAAAATGCTTTGTAAACACTGTTACGCAGGACTCCACTCAGACAATCATTTGACTGTTTATTCCTCAAAAATAAAAGAGGGCCTGCTGTATAATAAGCCTGATTCCCTCAACTATTGCAATCTCCACTACAAACCCTCTACGGTCTCCTTGTTTTCGACAGGGAGTGAATTTTCCCTTTAGGACATGAAGCCATCTAACCAGCCTGTTTGGGTGTTTGCAAAGTTGTTCTTTCATAGAAGACGAATCAAAGCCAACTTAAAAGATCTGACCTGATAAACAAAACTAAAGTTACTCTGAAAGTACAGACTGTGTCTTTGAGATCCTGATAAATACATTTCGCTTTCTAACATTTAAAGAAACTGTTTCCACCAAACGTGCACTGATCAATGGGTGCCAATTTCCTCAATTTTGGGGGATCGGTGATCGGCTGATCCTTACACACAGAACCGATTTTATCCACCGATCTTATCTACCTCAGCAAAGGTCTGAAAGTCAGCCGTTGTAGCTTTTTGCTTTTGCCAGAATGACAGGCCCGCCCACCAGTTTAGTTTGTCCTGTAGATTATTATTTTACTGACTTCCTCAAACTTTGTGATTTCCTTTATTTGTAAAAGCAAAATACTGCTTTGCGCTTTATTTTGGTGAGAGGCTCAAAACAGGCCTGCAGTGCGACCTGTTGTGCAAGTTTTGTTAATTTTTGAAATGAGGAAAATAAAGTAGTAGTTTGGAGAGCAGTACGCTTAACTTTTCATTTATATTTGAGAGACCTGCCTCATGTGCAGTTAAAACAAACACAAAATGTTTGTATTGTTTTATGTTTTTCATTAAAGTAAGATTGGAGCATTAAAGGTGTAAAAAGGTATCGGCCAAAATTGGTATTGGCAGGTCAAGCTTTATAAAGATCGGTGTTTGGTGATCAGCCAGAAAATTGTGATCGGTGCACCCCTAGTTTCCACTTCTGTTTTTGCCCTCAGATATCTCTTCTCTTTCTGTCTCTCTGCATTTCTGTGTGTGCTGTAATCAAACGAGTGGTGATAAGCTCCAAATCAACCTGGCTGAATTCTTTTAGACGTCCATTGTTTTGCTTCAATCTGTTTTAAAGTTATCGTTTCTGGGGCTTACTCGTGTGCTGATGTGCCTTTCTGCAGCCTTGGTCGTCTCTTTTGAGGAACTGGAACAGTCTTGCAGTCACACACCCGGGGTACATGGCCTTCCTGACCTACGACGAGGTCAAGGCTCGACTGCACCGCTTCATCCACAAACCTGGCAGGTGAGAAACAAGCACACAGTCAAGATCCCTAAAAGCATTAAACGCGTTGTTGTCACACTGTCGGTTAATATCGGTGTCTCCCCCTCAGCTACATCTTCAGGCTGAGCTGCACTCGGCTGGGCCAGTGGGCGATCGGCTATGTGACAGCTGATGGCAACATCCTGCAGACCATCCCCCATAACAAACCACTGTTCCAAGCCCTCATTGACGGATACAGAGAGGGATTGTGAGTGCCACTACAGCGCAGTGTCAATGCGCCAATTAATGCGTTTCCAGAGACATGATGTCATAGGTTATGCACGCCTTCTAGGATGGAGAAGAGGAGATCTGAGATTGCCAGAAAGAGTCCAGAACAGAACCCTCTGTAGTCGGCGTTTTGTTGATTTTTACCATGAAAATACGAAAAAACTGAAAATGGAAATAGAGGCTCTGTGATCGACTTCAAAACAGAAGACCAGAGTCAGATTCAGATCTTTATTATCTGAGCTTTTGTTTTTATTTCAGCACCACATCACGCTAAATAAGTCTTGCGTTAAACTGAATTTAACACTCTTGCCTCCTCGTGTTCTTCTGTATCATTCGTGTTTAAAATAAGGGGTCACACAAGAGGTCTTTATAAGAGTCTTGAAAGCTAACATCAGAGGAACTCGAGTGTGAATGCACAGTACAGAGTCTCATGATTGAAAAGCTTCTCTAATCTTTTCTTTTCAAAGAACAATGGGAAAAAAAAGAAAAACTTTTGATTTGCTGACAGAGAACTTAAACCAACTCTGTGGTTTCCCTAATGTTGCAGGGTTGAAGCTCATTAATTGTTTTTTTTCTTTTTGAATACTGAAGAAAGAAATGTTTTAAAGCTTACGCATGTGTGTGTTTGACTTTCCAGTTATCTGTTCCCAGACGGTCGAGTACAGAACCCTGACCTCACAGGGCTCTGTGAACCCTCACCGCAGGACCACATCAAAGTTACTCAGGTTGGGTCTGGTTTTTTTCTTACTCTTCAAAGTCTTTTGACTCGGTGGACCACAAATGATGCATTGAGTTTATTATTACCATCATGTTATATTTCAGTACTCAGACAGTTTAACTGCTTGGACGAGGACACAAAGACCAAATGATGATCTTTACCACGATATCTTACAAACGCCAACAGATTTGATGTGTCAATAAACAGGCTGTGCCCTTTTTCCTCCTCTTCCCCATGTAGGAGCAGTATGAGCTGTACTGTGAAATGGGCTCCACTTTCCAGCTCTGTAAGATCTGCGCAGAGAACGACAAGGATGTGAAGATCGAGCCCTGCAGACACCTCATGTGCACCTCCTGCCTGACTGCCTGGCAGGTGAGGCTGTTGTGTTGTTAAGTTTTATTACACTGTATAAAAGCTGGCACTCACGCGGTATATTCATATTTACAGCGTCCTTAATTTTGAATCAGATGTTATACAAATCAGCGTTGCTCTCTCCGTGTGTCTGTATCAGGAGTCAGAGGGTCAGGGATGCCCGTTTTGCCGCTGTGAGATTAAAGGCACCGAGCCAATCGTGGTGGACCCCTTCCACCCGAAGGCAAGTGGGGCTTCCTTTGCTGGTTTCCAGGGGTCCAGCAGAGCAGAAGCTGCAGGAAATGACGAGGAAGAAGATGATCGTCTGGAGGACCAGCACCTTGTCATGAGCAGACTGGCGTGCAGCAAGGTAAGAGAAGCACATACTAAAGGTTTCTTGGATGTATTATCGTCACTGCCAACTGAACTGCGTATCGTTCAAGTTGTGAATTTTGTGCCATGCAACACCTCACCACCTATGTGTGCGTGCAGGTGGAGCGTCCAGCATCCCCAGTGTCTCAGCTGCCTCCTGTGCCCCCCCGGCTGGACCTCCTGCAGCAGAGACCCTCGAACTCGCTCAGCGCACAGAGTCAGGGAGCCACACCCAAGGTAAGGGACTAAATTTAAACCCAGTTGCCGATGATTTGGACTTAAAGGGATATTCCGGCGTAAAATTAATTTAGGGTCAAACACACCAAAACACCGAATGAATGTTGCCGACCGCTTGCTTCTTTAGGTATACCAACTTTAGTAACGACCACAAGCTAGTAATACACAGCGGTCTGAGGGGCCATCAACAAACCTCAACCTAAACTCCACTCTATAGCCACAAATAATGCTCAGAACAACAACTCCATCAACAGTACATATAGGGTCCCAGCCATAGCACTAGCCACTAGCCATAATCATTTTGCACTGCAGACTCGGTAGTTCTTCTGCCTTAGCGTCTCGGTCTGATTGCATTTCCATGAAGAAATGATCATAAATGTTCTTCCTTGAGCTGCGTAACCCCGCAGCAGTCCATAATGGACTGGCCTGAGGTCTCACTACAAACAAGAGGCTGCTGGAAGACAGTAGGTGAGTTGTGCTAAAGGAATTAGTGTGTGGCTCTCTTTATTGCTATCTGCGGTCATTACTATAGTTGGTATCACTAGAGAAGTAAGCAGTCGGCAACATTCATCTCTCGAGGGGGTGTTTAACTCCCTTTAATGTTTGATTAGGGAGGAATTCCAGGGCCTTGTTGACCTCAGTGAGAAATAATAGATGAATAAAGAAATAACACCTCACCCTTTCTTCCCTCCAACCCTAGATGTCAGCCACTCACAGAGACAAGCCTCTACCTCTGCCTCCAGCCCTGAGAGAGCTGCCCCCTCCTCCCCCTCCAGAGCGGCCCTCCCTGCTCGGTCAGGACTCCAGGCTCCAATGGAGACCCCTGCCCTCCACCCCAGACCAGCCCTCCTGGGCTGCCAACTACATGGTGCCTCGTCCGGTAGCAAAGACCACCTTGTCATCCCTGTCTCCCATCCCTCAGAGCAACGGGACCAGTAGAGAGGGAATCAAACCCCAAGCAGCTACGAATGCCGTCTACTGCCTGGCTGCAAGGTACTGAACTCTGCTGCTGAACTTAACTGTAACAGGATTAGATAAACTTTCATAAGGGCATCTTAACTTTAACACCAGTACAAGAGAAACTGGTCATCCAGTGAACAGAGCTGTTGAACTGGCACAAAGTATCTCTCTGCTTTGAGTCAGTTATTATATATTCACAGTGTTTCATACATTCACGCTCAGTTATGATTTGAACACACTTACATGACATGAACTTTGAAAAATAGCTGAGAATTACTTGTTTATGACACATTCATTAATTTCCCTTCATGGAAACTTGATGTGGACTTTATCCTTCAGGCACACATAAAATCAAAATCATACAAGGTCCATAAAACCTCATAAAAAAACACACAGCAGCAATTCAGTGAAAATGGATCGTATAAAATTGACAGTTAGAGCTCCAGTGGGAAAGTTTCAGCTGGTTGTAAAACAAACCGGAACAAATGCTGGTCCCCTCTGTAGAGGATACAAAAGCAAAACAACAACAACAGCCCTGCTGCTGTTGCCTAACCCTCCTCAGAGTCTGGGACAGTCCCAGAGTTCTCATTGTTTTCTGTAAACCATCAGGTCTCTGCCAGCATCAGCGATGTCGAGTGCAGAGAGGCTGTCGTCTGACTGTGAAGAAAACGAGTACATGAGTCCCACCTCTCTTCCTGCCTCTGGTGCACCCTGGGTCATATCAGGCTCCTCAGTACCTCCGCCACCAGTGCAGACAAACCACCACAATGACGTCAGGTAAACAGGAGAACAACCAGCGATAAAATGGGTTAGTGGGTTGAATGGCTCACCACAGGTCGTCCTGTTTTTTCTCATTTTGAGCCCAGAGGGTTTTGTTTATGAGCAAAGAGCTTTTCCTGTTTACCAACTGAAGTAACCTCTCAATACGAGATCATCTGACGTATGTTTTGTGCTCCAACTCTGCAAACTTCATCAAACTGACATACAGGAAGGCTGCGACTATCAGGGAAACTACAGGCTACTTGGTAACACTTTATGATAAACATAATTTATAAATGGTAAATAGATAGTTTATGAATGTTTAATCATCATTTAAAAACAGCATAAAGACCATTTATAAATGGTAAATAGATAGTTTATTAATGTAAGTTAATAGTTACTTTATCACGAACAAGCAATGAAATTATGATTAATAATTTTAATGGACTATTTATTAATATTAATATTATAATTATATTGGGTTTAAATGTTGGTTGTAAAGCATCTAGGGTCAGTAGCACTTTGTAAATTGTTAATATTTGGTTTTTAAACCATCTATAAACATCACTTAGATGGCTGTTGTAAAGTTGCAACTAATGTTTGTAATACTTTGTAAATGATTAATAAGTGGTTTATAAACCACCAATAAACATTACTAAGATGTTATTGTAAAGTTAGGGTTAGGTTTTTAAAAATGGTAAAATTTACAATTTATTAATGGTCTACATGCTATTTATAAATGATGATTAAACATTAATAAACTATCTGCTTACCATTTTTAGATGGTCTATTTACCATTTATAAGTTATGATTATTGATTGATTATGATTAAGTGTTACTGGCTGCTTTAGTAGCAGTCAGGGTGGTTGGTTGAGAAGATGAGTTGTTACATGGAAACGAACAAGCTTGACATGCTCAGGTAAAAGAGGATCTATGGTCACCCTAACTTATATCTCTGTTAGATTATATTCAACATGAGCACTGATAGCTGCACAGAGGATGAACATTAAACTGGTGTGACAGCAGTAATTATGTTGTCCACCAGGGGGCTCTGTAGCCTCAGGATTGTTCCTCCTTCACTATCTCTCCCCTAAACCCTGTTTTCTTGTCCCCCTTTCATTTCCATTTTTTTTTTAAAACGTAAAACAACTGTGTCAAGAAAGACGCAATGTTAGTCTGTTTGTTGCACAGATAAAAAAACTAGTGACTAAATACACATCAAGCGTCCCCATATCAGAGGACTGAGTAGAAATGATCAGGGTTGTTTTTTTTTGTTCCTTTGAAAATCTGAAGATGACACCAGAAGCAGAGCAGCAGCGCTGGGTTTGTACACAAAACTAAATAATTCTGATTTATTTTCTTTGCTCTTTTATTCACAGCAGTGACGTGGTTGACAGTGACTCTGAGGACCCCCAAGTCTACGAGTCCATGTGTATTATTCAGGCCCAGGCGGGCTCCTCTGAGACGTTACAGGCATCTGACATGGGTAATTTTCACATTGATTAAAAAAACTATCTCTGGTCCCCTTTTCCCTGAACCCACACCAAACATGTCGTGTGCTACAGCTGAACATTTTTCTCCTCATCACTCGATGATAAAACAGATTTTATTCGCCATATTCATAACTATGGCACGTGTTGTTTTTAGACCCCCCTCAGCCGTCAGCTCCAGTTTCCCAGGACAAACCAGAGGAGAGCAGCGAGGAGGACGTTTACGAGTATGACTTCCCCCGACCGGTCGTCCCTCCTGCCCCGACCAGAAGAACCATGTCCGAGATCAGCGGCCCCTCAGCCGCTTTCAGCACTCTCAGCCTGGACAGCCCAGGAGAAGCCAGTATGTGTTTCTGCATGTTTATTTTTTTCTACAGCATCTGTGGACCAAAGGTGAAAACGCTGCTGGGCTCGCATGCAAAGGCGCATTCATTGTTGTTTACCTGACAGATCACAGGCTGGTAGTAAACAAACATGAAACCTCTTCAGGCTCACATGACGTGTGCGTGCGAAGTCTGCAGCTTGTTAGCAGCGAACTGGAAGAACTGGTGTGAAAAAAAAAACAATGTTGATGCGCTGAGCTGATGGAATCAACTCAGGACAGGATCTTTAACAGATCCAATTTGTAAACGTCTCTGGATCTGAGTGGACATGTCCAAACTTTCATCATTAGGGGGAATCTGAATCTCTGAAGTAACCTCCCTCATGTCTCATTTACCAAGAAACCAAAACAGTTGTAGTTCTTTGTATCACAGCTTTTAAGAAATTATTAATCTTTGGTCTTGAAAGTTTTTGATCTAAAATCATAACTTATTAAATGAATATAATAACTGCAGTGGATCAATAAAATGAACTAAAAGCTTGAAATTAAAGAAGTAAAAAGAAAGAGCTTCTTGACGCACCTTTTATGCACTCGTGTCCACGGCTAGATGTTTCTGCTTGTCCACTGAGAGTCCATTTACTTGTTCCAGTAAGTTTAAACAAAAACACTTCCTTACGCAAAAAAAACTTCATATGGATGTACCAATACATTCATTCTTTTGCGCCATAAACCAGTAAATCAAACACAAATCCAGCTGCCAGCCTGCAGTCAAAAAACAAAAACTTCATGTGTGCAACACCTGATACAATTAGTGCGCACCTTTAAATGTCCTTTGGCGCTCTTCACAGCGCCTCACAGATGTACTAACAAATGGCTCCACCAGAACTTATCCTCTACCAAGGTAAAAGTTGAACTCATCTTATGAATCCCTGAACATTGGATAAACTGTTAAAAATATGACATAACTCGTAGTGGTGCAACGGATCACAACACTCACGGATCGGATCGTTCCTCGGATCAAGAGTCACGGATCGGATCATTTTTCGGATCAGCAAAAAGCAGTTTTGTCTGTATATTAAACACTTAAATGGTTGAATTAAAATATATAAAAGTAGTGCATACGGCATAATATCTTCTTTTCAACATAATTATTAATGAAAAACAACTTAAAGTGCAATATACAGGCATATCTCCTTCCTTTAAAATGTAACAATGAACCAAAAATGAAGTATGTGCGCGGTGGGATATTGTAACGTGGCTCAAGCACTTTGAGCATGTTTTTAAAGCCCTCGTTTGCACAACTGAATATGGCCTCATGTCTGCAGCTATAAACACACCGATAGAGTTTGTGAAAGCTTTAGCCTGGTCGGATTGCGCAGGAAGAGGCTGCTTAAATGCTGCGGTGATGAGCGGTTGCTGGCCAGCTTTCGTTTTATCTCAGGTGTTGTGACATAGAATGCACCCCTGCCGTAGAATGCACCCCCTGACGGGAGCGCGGTTTAAAGTACATAACGAGGCGAAATAATCCAAGTTTTTCTTACATTGGATGGATTCAAAAGCGTTTGCCTGTAATAATTTCATTCAGGCTATTCAAAGAAGCCAAAAACAACAGCCCTTGGAATATTGCTGTCCCGAAAATATAATGCTCTCTACCTGGACAGCTTTCTGTACAGTTTATACCCAAGTACACCTCTAGATTTGCATTTTTGAGACACATAAAAAGAAAATGAAAGTTTGCTGCTCCATTTGACATGTTGTCATGATCTAATACTCGTGTTTCTTTAAATATGAGATCATTATCTCCACTTTAAGAAGCTAACGAGTGGAGGGGATGCAGGGGTGCGTTCTACGGCAGGGGTGCAGTCTACGGCACAACACCACTAATAACTCGTACACAGTCTACAGATTGTTCATAAACACCGCCAACACAGTGTCTGCAGCTTTACCTGAGGCTTCACTGTAAGCAGCTTTAGCGCAGACCTCGTTCTTGAGTCCTTGGTTGTGTGTTCAGTTACAGAGAAAATAACCAGCTTTGGGCAAGACGCCTGAGTAAACTCTCTGTATTCACTCAGGTACTTGAACGCAACACATTGTCCCTCCACTTTAACTGACTGCTGATTACTCATCTGCGTGTTCACAGGTATGTTTGCAGCTAGTGTGGATCTTGAACGCCCCCCTAAACCTCTGCCACGGCGAGCCAACTCTGACAGACGACCTCGGCCTGCGAATCGGGATTTCTCCTCCCCGTTACCAGACCTCCCTGGACCCTCTACATCCTCCTCTGCCTCCCCACCTCCTCACCCTCCTCCTCCTCCTCCTCCTGCTCCCACGGGAAGCCTGGCTCTAAACGGGGAGATCGAGTGCCTGATGTCGCAGGGCTACTCCATCCAGGACATCCAGAAAGCCCTGATGATCGCCCAGAACAACCTGGAGACGGCCAAGAACATCCTGCGCGAGTTTGTCTCCATCCCCTCCACGGCTCACATCGCCACGTAGTCACTCCGGACTCACTCGAACCCCTCTGTGTACGTCTCTGTCTACATCTCTGTGCCATTATATCGGATAAGCATTTACCAAGCTCTTTCCTGCAGGGCCACAAGGGCCGCCCCTCTTTGGAGTTATGCTGCATTCAAATCATATCAACTGATGAAAAACACATAATCTGCGAGATCTGGGCTTAAAAAAATTTGCATCTCATGTTCGTTTTGACAAAGTATTAATGCGCTCTAACAGGCTTGACTGACTTATAAATCCTGGATACTGTTCTGGTAAAGCCAAGTGGTTGAAAAGACCTCACGGCGCTTGTCTACCTGTTACTGTCGCTCCAGGAATGAGGTGTTTAGGCCCAGAAGGTGCGTGACAGCATGTGGTCATGTGGTTTTGGATGCAGCTTGTAGGTAAAGTGGCGGATCTGACTTGAATGCAGCATACTTGGAGAATAAAAGCCTTGTAATGTGAGCTCTCCGTAGCCGAGCTTTGACCCTGTTGTACTCCGCTGAGGTCCACTTATACCATGGCAGTGTTTCCCCTCAGTCTCAGTACATTTCTCTCATTAAGCTAAATGTTGAAGCGACAGTGACTTTGCTCAGCGGAGGGATCATATTTTTATTTTTTTTTTTAACTCATTGTCCCGCTGCTGGCAGCCGTTCAGATTTGGTGCTTTACGGGCTTCTTGGCAAATTGTGGCGTACGAAAATATGTAGCGACACGAGTTTCAGCTGGAAGTAGGGATAACTCAGTGCCGTGTGTGTGTGTGTGTGTGCGCGCGCGTATGTGTGTGTGTATGCTCGTGCCGATGAATGTGAACGTTCAGTTGCCGTGCAGTATCGCAGGGCTTCATGTCGCACGTGTCACCGTGGTTCAGTCTGCTTTGATGGTATCTGACAAGCGGGGTGTGACTCCATAATCACAGTTCAGTGTTTAAGTACTCTCATGAGGTGTTGTGCTGTGTAGTACTAACAAATGACTGAAGTGTCATGATGTTATTTCCATGATTTCCTGACGTCGCTCTGACACAGAAGGCTGGTGTATTTACGCAAAAGTTCCTCCTACTTTCTTACTAAAAAACGTTTTAACACGCTGTCCAGTTAACTCTTAAATATTGAGCATCCAAAGCTTCTGCAGAGCATCTAAGGAGTCAGATTTTGCCAAGTCCTGGAGGTATTTCATTGTGGGGTTGTCCTCACTTGGAGCAAACTTGACCTCCTGGGGTGAGGAACTCGGTTTGCAGGAGTAAACACTAAAATGACCAGTTTAAACAAACAGATTAAGACTTGATATTTCCAAATCACCTCCCTTTTGTCTCATTCAGTTCCTCATTTCTGGAATTCTGTATGTGGATGATGCAGACAACTGGGAATTAATAAAGCAGCTTCATTTTCAGCTTGCTAGGCAGTGACAAGTAAAAATCTAAAACCAGTCCAAACAGAGCAGATTTGATTTAAATCAGGATTACAGTCTGCAGGAAAACTGAGTCAGGCTGATTTACTGAGTGTACCTAACAATAGCAGAGCTAGAACCACCACCCTCTGGTCCTCCTGGCAGGTTAAAGCCACACGCCTGTGCTGCTGACATGCGATAACCTGCAAGTTCAACTTAACACAGCCCTCACTTTCTCAATCTTATGGTGCGTTCGAGTTACCTCCGAAGTCAGATGTCCGAGCTAGGAATGACGTCACACCCGAGTTACCAGCGCCAAGTTGGAAAAAAGCGAAATCGGAGGCAGAAACAAGATGGCTACATCTACGAAAGTTATTTTAGCGTTTGCCTTGTCCGAATATAAGCAAGGACAAGGACAAGCAAGCGCTAAAATAACTTTCGTAGATGTAGCCATCTTGTTTCCGCCTCCGATTTTGCTTTTTTCTGACTTGGTAACTCGTGTGTGACGTAATTTTCAGCTCGGACTTCTGACTTCCAAGGTAACTCGAACGCAGCAGTCGCACTGCTAAATCTTGCTGCCAGCTGTCATCTGTGCTTGTTTACATCTAGGTAGTTGGGCAGCCCCAGCTAGTGGCAGGAGGCTGCACTACAGCTTAGACAAAGCACAGTATCGCAGGAGTATTTCAGGACCTACAGTTTTAGGAAGATTAATGAATTGTTCGCTCCATTTTTTAAGTCTGACACCAGCTAGTTCAGGAGATCATCCATAGACTAAATATGTGTTAACTTCATGTGCACTTTGCCCTCCAAATAACCCAGACAGCATGAGTGAGGAACCAAGTTAGCTTCAAATTAAAACCCTCATAAGTCCTCTAGTTTCAAGTTTGGCCAAAATAATCCACCACGCTCACCACAAATCTCACAGACATGTCTGTCTAACTGGAACTACTCTTGACATTTCAGTCAAATTTAACTGCAGTTATAAGCTAATTAAAAAGACATTAGAGTTAATGTATTTATGAATAAATGTCTGATCCCTTATCACGACATTTGGATTTCTGTCTGTAGTTCTGACCCAGCTATCTACAGGCATCAGCTTGGACATGAAGGAATCAAGACTTTCCAAACTTGATTTTTAGATGTTAACTGATAGTAAACAAGAGTATGATCAGAGGATGAAATGAGAATGCAAATCATCTGTAAGTGCAGCCCAAAAATCTACTCTTTCTCGCTGTTTTAGGTTTGCCCTGTAGACATTTCTAGCTCTAGCTCTGAGGTTGGAGCTCCGGGTTATCCCCTCACATCAATATGAGGTTCGCCTCAACAGCTATTGGACTGTTCAGCTCATGATTTAGAGTAACTTTATGCATATTTATCTAACCACAGGATCGTGAGCGCGTTCAGGGCTAAGATGAAAAGATATCTGAGTCATCATCCAAGCAGGGGGTCTGATCAGAGTCTGGGGGATCAGTGCAGAATACAGATACACGGCCAGTAGCAGCAATGTTCACTTTCAAAGGGCTGTGCCACAATAACCCGATAAGAAAATCAGTCATTTCCTCTTTAACTTCTGAACATATGTGAGACGTCCTATCGTTCAGTTTCTCCTTTTAAAGCTTCACTTCTTAGTCCCGCAGTAACGTGTACATGTGCCTTCTTCTGTCAGTCAAAACCTGCACAACAAAAGCAAACAAACCAAAGCCCCACATTCACTCTTTAAACAAAAGGAAATGTACAGCTGCTAAATTAGGATGAGAGTTAAAGCTCATTATCCAGAGCATTTTTTTTTCTTTTTTTTTTCTGACAGTGTTAGTTTTGGTTTTCAGAGACTATTGGGTGTTTTCAGTCGGTTCTCCACATGAGGCTGTTTGATATGCAGAAAACATCACAGGGGGGTTCAAAGACTCTTAATTACAGCTCAGTCCGTACGTCTCTGATGCAAGGCTAACACCAAGGTTTCAGTATCAGATCCTTCTTATGGACACGTTTGGTAAGAAAAATTCAGGTTGCCAAAATAAATCGACTTTTAAAAGTTCCAAATTAAAATCATTGAGAACTTGAACGTCAGTCTGGGTTAAAATAAACAGTTTAAATCGTTGTACTCATAAATATCTAGGTGTCATCCTGCATTTGAAGCTCCTGTGAGGAACTCTCAGTTTTGGCACCCCCCTGTGGACAAAACTGTTTTTGCTCATCTTGTCCTTGTGACACAACAAACACCCTCTTCTACCGGACTTTGACAGAAGTTTCATTCATAATGGCTACTTTATGTGGGAACTGTAAGAACAGGCATGGGACACAATTGAAAATGACAAAAATACAAATTGTTAGTTTTGTTACTGTTGGCTTTGTTTACTTTTGTGGCATCAGTCTGGTTTTAAGCATTAAAAAAAACCCTCACAGGAGCTTTAAATGTCTCCAGCTTTAAAATTTAGAGTTTACATTCATGTCTAGGATTACGTTCTACGCAGAGTAAAGTTGCTAGACTACTTTTACATTTCTATAACTATCACTTTTAAGCTTATTTGGGGGTTTTATGCCTCTATTTGGAGGATGGGGTAGGAAACAGAGAGAGAGAGAGCAGGAGTGATATGAAGCAAAGGGCTGCAGGTTAGAATTGAGCCACTGTATATGGAGCTTATGATTTCACTGCCAAACTGGCGCCTTGATTTAAATCATGTTTGAAGGATAACAATAATGCACTCACCTCATACGTCATGACTTTTCTCTTTTTTTAATAATAGCACATAAGCTGCTGATCCTGGCCCTGCTGTTACTCACAAGTAGATCCAGAATAAACTTGTCGGGCTGTGATACACATTCAAGTTTATCTCTACTCTGTTGAAGACCAGAAGTATACAGAAGCTTCTTGTGATTTAAGTAGTAAAAACACACCAAGTATTAATGCAAAACAGAAGAAAAGTGCTGAAATTAGCATGAAATCGAACCGGGGTTTTCTACTGTTCTGATCAGACTGAAGTTTTTAGAGGTGGTCGTCAATCCCTCTGCTTTCTAACAACTCTTCACCTGTTCGAACGCTTCGACAGGGACTAACTCCTGACCATGAGAGAGCTGCGGCGTGAGGACACACTCAAGGTCTACAGTGTGCTGAATCACTGCCACAAGCTCCATCATCTAACACACACGCGTTAACGCACATTTCCTGGGGTGTGTTGGTTCAGATCCATCAATGAATGACACGATTGGTGTAATCATGGTTTAACTCGCCTTTACATGAACTTGCCTACTAGACAGTTGTCTTCTTCATTGCTTTGTTGTTGCTTGTGTAAATATGATTTTATTTATTGTCTTTTTAATATCCTCATTATTCGTTTTGTTGCCATGTTTTCATGCCTAAGCCATTAAGATTTTTAATTAAACAGTATTTTCTTTAACATTTGAATTGTGTCATTTGTCCGTAGTGACTACAGACTGTTACATGGGGGTGATGTGGCTAAGTTGTTTGAATTTTTATGGTCCTAAATGTTGAATAAAGGATGAAGAAAAGTACTTAAAGTTGTAAAATTTAATAAATAACAACATTAAACTCTGAGAACATTTGAAACTCTATCAACGCTCTCAAAGGGATATTCCTGCATAAAATTAATTTAGGGTCAAACACACCGTAACACCGAGTTAGACAACCCCTCGAGAGATGAATGTTGCTGACCGCTTGCTTCTCTAGTTATACAAACTTTAGTAACGACCACACGATAGCAATACACAGTGGTCTGAGGAGCCATAAACAAACCTCAACCAAAACGCCACTCTATAGCCACAAATAATGCTCAGAACAGCACCTAACTTCATCATCAGAACATATAGGGTCCCAGCAATAGCACTAGCCACCAAACATCTTTTTAACTTTCCTTAATTTCTTTAGCAAAGAGACTAAACACAACTCACCCACTCTCCTCCGACAGCCGCTTGTTTGTAGCGAGACTTCAGGCTAGTCCATTACGGACTGCTGCGGGGTGACGCAGCTCAAGGAAGAACATTTATGATCATTACTTTATCATTTCCTTGAAGTAATAATCACCATATTAATCATTTTGCACTGCAGGCGCAGTAGTTCTTCTGCCTTAGCGTATTGGTAAGATTACATTTCCATGAAGTAATGATTATAAATGTTCTTCCTTGAGCTGCGTCACCCCGCAGCAGCAGACCGGTGTCCGCCCATTTGATAAATACGGATTTTTTTGTACTTACGCAAATTCTAAATTTCATTCCTCCGCCAGAACTTAGAACCTTTTCTGTTGATAAATGAGGGCCCAGGACCCGAGGTAAACAGATTAGCGGCGCTACAACACGCAGCAAGTTTGACAAGAAACACTTCTGTCACAGACACTTGGCTTACTTTGTTAAAGCGGCTCACCTGTCCAGCGGAGATACATTCTACGGCACAACACCGGCAGATCCCGAAGCGTCCTCCGTCGTTTATGCTAGCTTCATGTTGAGCCGGCTAACTCCGTTTTAAGCGCCGTTATTCCACCAGGGTCTCCGGTATTTAGTTCGTTTTCTTGCTTGTGTTGGCAGTCGTGGCTAAAGGAGGATTAAGACCATTTTCTGTACATTCTGGTTGGTTTTTACTGTTCTATATCGTAGGACGCTAACTTTCTTTACGCTCGTGCACGTTATTCGAGGAGTAGAGCGTGCCTCACAACACGAGGGAGCAGCGTCCGCCTCACAACCAATCAGGTCAGAGAGGAGGTGGAGAACAGCTTCGTTTAAAGTTAGAATGAGCGGACCGCTCAACAATTAGTGATGGGCACAGCAGTTCTTTTAGATGTACTGAATCACTAGAATCTGTTCACTAAAAAGACTCGTTCAAAAGATTCGTTCACCAAATCACCTTATCATTTAGTTCTTGGCGGGAGAAGCCTGTGACTCCGACCTCCTGAACTGATACACAGCTGAACGGTTCAGGATTCAGTTCAATTCGTAGCTTCTGAGTCCGGGAGACGAGAGTGTTTGGTTGTGTTGCTTTGGCAAACAGGTTTGTAAAAATGAACTTGTTTATAAGTCATTATGTTTTAAGTGTACTGGCCTATGGTATGTTATTTATCAGGTCTGCTCGGTAAATTGGGCTCAGTGAGTGATTTGTTCACTAAACGTTTAGAAGAATTCACACTGCACATGCACCGTTCTCTCGCAAACCGCTGCAATGATAGGATGCTGCAAGTTTTATGCACTACTTGATACATGCTGTGTCCTATTGTATGCAAGTTGTTGTGATGGCAATTTAGCAGTGAAAAAAAAGGTAGTTTGTCCAACAAATGATTCCAGAGAATGTAGTTCAATTGGTGATTCATTCACCAAGTGATTCAGGCGTTGGTGCATGTGGTCCCTCGTTCGGTGGCTGCTGACCTGGCAATGCTGTTTCTCACTTTAGCTCAACCGAAGTGAGAAACGAACAAATCACTTGAGGAAGTGATTCGGTTCAGTATGTATAATTCAAAGATTTGGTTCTTTTTAACGAGTTGTTCGCGAATGACACAACACTATCAACAATTTTAAAATGTTGACTACACAGACATAAGAGAACACAGCGATATTATTATATTATAGCTTTTACCTTTTTGCTGTTAAGTCCTGCAGAGTCACTACTTTCATACAGTTTGTTCAAGTGAAGGGTAACAAAATCATCTTACCCTAAATAACCCAAAGACCAGATTTTATGGTGAGACGCTCCTTGTTCCCTTGTTTATGAGAAAATATAATTCAGTAAAAGCCAGACTGAGAAAAGTATCTCTCTCCTCTTGGTGTGCCGTGAGGTCCCCGTGACAAACGGCACTGCATGTGAACGCGGCAAAGGCAAATTTGGAGGAGCAATAAACTTTGGCTCCATGTTTCTGTTCTTCATCTCAAAGACTGAGTGAACATAAACACGGATATCTGATGTGTGAAGCAGCCGCAAAGTGTTTGGATTCATTACAGATGTGAGCAGTTTTCTTTTTTTTTGGTCTGCAGAGTCCAGACTGCAGCTGGAAACCCGAGCTTCTGTTGGAGTGGATTGCAGCTCGTGCTGACAGCAGTCTGGAGACAGCGCTCCTTCCTGTCTCACTGTAGGACTGTGCAGGGCTAACAGAGAACTCACTCTGTTCTTGTTCTGGTTCATTTTGAGGCTTCAGGCTTAAGGGACCAGGACCCAACACTAATCACTCTGACATACAAACCGCTGCAGCAACAAAGAAAGAAAAACACAGTCTCTCTTTAAACGAAACCTTTTTATTTGGCATTATTTTTTTTGCAAAAAAATATATAAAAAAACGCAAGCATCAAAGAATCACATGTACATTACTTAATTTACACACATTTAGAAAAAAGAACATAATGAGAGTGAAGTTTCAAACTTGTTTTCAGCCAAACGTCAGTCTGACAAAAAAAAAAATAGCCGCACTTTAAGTCCTTTTTAACGAAAAGATGAGGAGCAGGTTTATTGATCAAATCACAAACACTGATGGTTTTGTCAGTTTCTCTAAACTCTAATAACAGCATCAGACTGGATGAAGAAACTTCTTGCCTGAGGACATTGTGGACCTGATATTTCTACAACTGAAACACCTCAACGTCAGTGGAAAGAAAAAGAAAACATAAAATGAACCGCTATCTTCTTAATGCTGCAAGTCTTCTGGGCAACGTGGGGCTCTCAGCAACAAAATGAATCATTTCACAACAAACTACACAGTGAGCAATCAGAACATCATATTCACAACACGGGCCTCTGAAGGAGCGCAGCGGAGGCTCTGCATGTTTGAGCTGAGTGACTAAAGAAACACTTCAACTGGCTGGTTCGTGTCTCATATATAACCCAAAAACTCGCAGGTGATGTATCCTCCTACTGAAATCTGACTTATCCTGCTCTCAGAATACAGAAATTACTCTTAACTTTACTTCTTTTAGAAGATTAGTGGGAAAAATGACCAAACCAAAAAAAAAAAGAAAAATTGAAATAAAACAAGCAAATCTTGCATTTCTGGAACTGTTTTTGGATATGTTTTACTGTTTTTTTCTTCTTTTAGAGCAGTGGTTCTCAAGTCCAGTCCTCGAGCCCCCTCGTCCTGCATGTTTTGGATGTTTCCCTGCTTCAACACACCTGATTCAAATGATCAGCTCGTTATCAAGCTCTGTACCGGCTTAATAACGAGCTGATCATTTGAATCAGGTGTGTTGGAGCAGGGAAACATCCAAAACATGCAAGACGGGGGGGGGCTCGAGGACTGGACTTGAGAACCACTGTTTTAGAGTAAATTCACAAATTTTTCATTCTCATAATTGGCTCGTTTGGTTGTCTTGTTTATTAATCAGAGTTATTTTAAATAGTTGTATTTTTTGTTATCCAAAAAAAACCCCAAAAAGTAAATCTCAACCTAAAGGGTCAAAGATTTTTATTTTTAAAACTGTGATTTGAACACAGGAATAACACATGAGAAACATGTTATCTTTGACAGCTGAGGCTTTACGCTCATTTCCTTGAATTCAATTTTTGCTTTGCATCGTCTTCTGCTTTTACTGATGTTTGACACTTTGGATCAGAGCAGACAGACCAACCATGAAGAAGAAATAATAAACAGAAAACTGAATGTACCTTTAGTAAAAAAAAAAATAAAAAAAAAAGTTCAGAGTCTGCTACTTTATCTTAAAAAACTTACAGAACAAAACAGAAACTTGGAGCATCTACTTTGCAGATTACTTCGCCGTTTCGTACAGTGTTACCTCCAAACATGCAGAAACTCTGACCTGCTCCTTCAGACGCCGCTATCTCTCAGTGGAAACACAAAGAAAACACACAGAGCAAACCAAAGAAACCAAAAGAAACCAATTCAGTGTATGATGCATTCTCAAAAACAGGCACAGCAGATCACTAACCTTTGACCTTTTCACGCTCAGTAACACTCCAAGGCCATACTAGCAGGTCTGTACACTACTTGTATTTACAATCAGTACGAGGGTTTGACAGCAGTTTGCAGGAGAAGGCCGGCTGTGCGCCTGATTAGCCGGGTTTGTTCGAACAATATGCTGCGTGTACAGATCAAGAAGACGTTTTTATTGTTTTTTTTTTTGGTAAATTTGAATGAAAATCAATAATCGAACCGAAGCCAACACACTGTGGAGCCTTCCCTCAGAGTGTCTGTGCCGCCTCAGAGGAGCAGCCAGTGTTTGGTCTCTGACATCATTTCCTGTCCTGAAACTCACCTGGACCAATGAACACGGATCAACATGCACATGACCCAGACGCTACCATCCACTGAGAATCTGAGTGCCAAAATATCTTAAATAACAAAATATATATAATATATACACTTTCATAGAAAAAACTGAACCAAAAGCTGATGATGTGTATGTGACACCATCATAGACGCACACTGAACGACAGCCGAGAAAGAGCTGAACATAATCTGAGGAAAATCATCCAAAACAACAGAGATAATGAACGTTTAAGGAGGGAAACACGCACTCATAAGAAAATACACAACTGTACATACAGACATATGTGTGTGTGTGTATTTGTGTAATGTATGCGTACATTTGGGTGAATCTATCAAATACTGCTGAGAACGAAGCATGATGGGAGGGTGTCCAGGCTGTGATGTGGTGTTACCCTGCAGGTCTCTCGGATCAGTGGGAGCCTCCGTCCTCTGTCTCCTCTGCTCCAACACACACTCACACACACACACATACACACACACACACTGACCGCTGGCTTAGTGTGTGCTGCCTCCTGTTGCACAACACCACTGCTTTACTGCGGGGACAGAGGAGGACATCAGAGTTACACACAAACACCAAAGAGAAAAACACCCACACAGAAAAAAGTTATTTGTGCACATAAACAAATCTACAAAAACCCAAAACAATGGTCCTGTGAATTGGTTTCCTTTCCCTTCCTTTTGGTACACTCTTGATTATAAAAGTTAGTTGATAATTTCAGTTGAACTCACTGTAAATCCTCAAATATAAACTGTGTCTTTTATTTGCTCCTACCACCTCAGGAAGCAGGCCTCTATATGAAGCAGGCTTGTATTAGAGGCCTTTATTTCAAATCCTCTTCGTCAGAGAATCATAATTGTTGATTTTTTGTCTCAAAGTAAGGGTCTCGTTCTCTAAACCAAGCTGCATCATTCACTAAGTCCAATCTTCACTGCTAAAAAATGATGTTTGCATACATTTAAATGATCTCTCACTTGAACGCTCTCTGTCTGTGAAAACTGGTCTTTTTGCGAAACCATCAGAGTGACGTTTTTACTAAGTTTGAATAAGTATCAATAAGCAGCGTCACACTCAGCTCTTGAGGTTAAAGACGACATTTTTTCTTTTGAATGATCCAGAAATGATAAATCCATACATAAGTCTATTAACATTATGTTGACATGTTGTATATATTCAGCATTAATGTCATTGTAAATGAGTATCAGTCTTTATTTGCAGATGAGTGATTTTTTAACTGCTCTTTTAACATGTTTCCTCAGGCCCTGCATACTGTTTTTATGTCTGAATGGAGCATTTGTAATCTAATCTATAAATTAACTTGCCTGAAGCTTGCAGCAGGTTACACCTGTCAAGTGTTTGTTGGCAGATTATTGCAAACTTTGGACAGATTCAGACTTTTTCCTTAAATGTCTTCAGTTTAACATCTGCCAAGTGAGAAATTATTCAAAAGATGCCAAAATCCCATATATTTTCACACACCCCTTTGCTTTGGAGATGCACAACTGCAGGATTTTTTAAGATTTGTAGCACCGCAGCGGAGCAAACAGCAGTGAGGCTCTAGAGGTAACATTAAAAACACATGGGAATATCTCTTGAAATCACAAACACTTAACTCAGCTCCTGTTTGATCTGCGTTTTATCAGAATCTGTTTGCTGCACGCTGGCAACCGGTGCAGGTTTATTTACAGCTATTAAATAATTGATGAAAAAGCAGCAGTTTTTAACCCTCATCCATTACTTATCCACATTAAAACAACTTCTGAGAGTAAACTCAGCATTTCCTCACATGCACTGAAGAAAAATCAGAAATCACTGCAATGAGGACCATAGACTAAGACTACAGCACCCCTTCATTTGGTAAAAGAAACACTGTCGGTGCATGTTATTCGATGTAAACTGTGAAATCTGCAGTCCTTATTGTGTACGAGCAGCATCCTAAAAGTCACCTGGTCATTAGGGCCCTTTTTGTCTCCGTTGACGGCCTTTAGCAGGACAGCATCCTCGTTCTTTGTGTTGCTCTTCATCTCCACAACAATGTCATCTTTGGTGGTCTTCTCTTTGGTGCTGCAGACAGAGACAAAGAGGAATTTGAACACTTTTGGACTGCTCAAGTTGCGATGACATTTCTCTTTTGAAACCAGTTAAAGTTTAACATTTATCCCCTTTTTTGTCGCTCTACTGCTTTTGTTTCACACTTTTCTGCAAACTGGGAGTCCTGTTAATAGTTTGAAATAGGAGCCTCCTCACTATTGTGTATTATTTTGGATGCATACAAGAGGGGTAAGTCAGAAATAGCATTTCCAACTTTATCAAAGGGAGATCTCTAATAATTTTTAATTGTCAAACAAACAAAAAAAAACATTTGAAGACAAAGAACAACTTCATCAAACTTTCTTTGCCACTTGTTTTTTTTAAAAGGTGTCACAAATCCACAACTATGTTTGCATTAAACCTTTACATTAGCAGGTCCAAATGGGAGTGACTAGAATAGAGAGGAGATCTTTAAAATCCTAAAAGGTTCACGTCTGACACTCGAAATAAGAGTCAATATACCTGTAAATTCATTGTATGACTATACTCAGAATCAAGTACAGCTTCCTCTGTTGTTTCTGAGTTATAACATATAGTAATGTTTAAACTGATCTGTGACATTCATGCAAAATGTGTCCCAACTCATATTTTCTACAATTACCCATTACTGTAGACGAAATTCTTGAATAAAAGCCAGAAATATGTTATGAGAGATCAGAGTGACATTTCATTGTAATTCTTAGGAATTCCCTCCAGATGCAGATATCATGTTTAAAAGTTGGACAGATTGTTGGCCTGAAAAGACAGCTACAAAAAGCAGCACTCACATCTCCTGTTTCCCTGAGCGCCCACACGGGATCTTCCCCTTCTTGTGCAGGAAGTAGAGGACGCTGCCGAGGATGGCGAGGAGCAGCAGACACAGAATGATCACCACGATGATAACCCCGCTGCCCTCAGCTACACGAACACACAAACAGAGAGAGAAATCACAGATCAGTGTGTCACCTCACAGTATTTATCATTTGATGCTTAGACGACAGTGAGAGGGACTGGAAGTTTGAAAGACAGACGTTTAGGTGCTGATATCGTGCAGGGAAGGCTGAATGAAAGATGCAGAAAGTTGCATGATAGGAAGTGCAGAAAAAAAAAAGGCTTTTGAGGACCATTAAAGCTTCACGTCTTGATAGAAATGCCCTCCCAGATGACTGAGGAGGAAAAAAGGAAACATCTGCTTTAAACATCCCTTTAATTAAGGGGCTTATTTTACCAAGTCTATTTTTTCCTGCATAAGAAAGAAAAGCAAAGCGTGAAATTACATCTATTTTACTTCAGTGTAATTAAGCTTATAGGAGTGCAGAAAATGTCATTTATTTTGTGCAGCATCTGTGACCTATGGCTTTAATAACTAACTTTAGTGAGATAACATTATCCATCCAGTTGGAATAGAGGATGCCTTTTCCTCCTCTTTATTTAAAAATAAAGAGTCAACGCTGCTCCTGACTTTACATTTGATGCTGTTCCTCTTTGAGTTTGAACCGAGCCTGGCATAAATACGGGCAAAATTAGGGAAAAAGTAGGTCAATCTCAACATGTGACAAACTGAAAGTTGTTCTTTGAAGATATGTATGCATTCACAAAAGTGAAGCAGGAATGTTACAAAACAGAAAAGATATCAAGAGGAGCAAATGAACCAATAGACATATTAGAAAATGACCTCCAATAACTCCAGAAGCCAAATTCATTTGGAAATCCAAACTTTCTGAGATTTTAAGTGCACAAATTCACAATTCCTAACAAAATTAAAGAAATCCAATAACAAAATAATGGACAATAAATATCCTACGAGATTTGCTAAAACTGGTAACAGATGGGATTTTTGTATCATGAAAGGAGACAATTTAAAGCAGAGAATTATAAGAGTTATTGGTAACCCTTTTCTTTTACAGTACACCTATTACTAGGTAATTAACAGGTAATTACCTAGTAACAACATGAAATTACTTGGCAATTACATAATAACTACTACGTCAATACTGTCTAGGTTTTTCTTTTTTCTGTGCAGCTCCATTTTCAAAAGCTATTTGGGGTTCTTATTTTCTATGATTGACACTTGATACAGCCTATGGGCGTGTGAAGATTGCGTAGCGATATGCTGTTTGAGCCAAGCATTATCACAGCGACTCACCCGCCAAATGCGTACAATGCTACTGCGCAAGAAGTGGTTCAAGGAAGCGGAGAAAATCCTGGAAATACCAGAGCAATTCAGCTTCAAATTTGTATGATGATGGAAGGTTACCTACCTGGTAGCTAGACAGTATTGACGTAGTAGTTATTATGTAATTACCACATAATTAACCAGATAATGTTGTTACTAGGTAATAACCTGTTAATTACCTGGTAATAAGTGTACCGTAAAAGAATGTGTTACTGAATTATTTGACCAATTTAGATGAATTTCACAACAACTCAGAGCATTCGATATATCAAGAGAGTCACAATAAGAAACTGAAACAGACTTGATATTTCTATACTGCTCTGTAAATTTCATATTCAGTAAACATTGACAATATAACTTTTAGTGACCATTAAAAAATACTGGTGAAAACGCCTTACCAAACCTCATATTTACAGTAAGTTCACAATAACTTAGAATAAAGTTTCTTATTCTCTGGATATTACTTGCTGTATATTTTAAACCAGCATTTGGATTTTAAGACAAAAAGAGAGACAGACTGGGGTGGCGTCATTCCTTTAAGGATTTCATTTATTGTTGAACTCCACAGAACGAGTGTTTGAGTTGAGTTCATAATTAGCTCAGCAAACAAGTAGGGATGTCACTAAATCTTCTTTTTTATTATTTTTACTGTTTTCTAGGATATTTTTAGACGGGTTTCCTTTTTCCTTAGTGATGTTTTTAATGGTCTAAAATGCTCATTATTTGCCTGTTGTTTTCCCTACAGGCTTATGAAGATTTTAACTGTGTGATTGGGTTAGAAAATTGCCCTGTAATAAAGCCCTCTCTATACCTCACTGTAATTTCACCTGGTATGTAAAAATCCACAATAAAACCCGAGACTGTCTGGAATAGGCTGTAAAAGTGAGACACCGTTTTCTCACTTATTTCTGTTTGTTTTAAAAATCCGAAACATGCAAATAATGTTTTTTCACCACAGAGGGTTTGGTCCAAGAATCATTATAACTGTTGGCGTGCCTGAATTTGCTCGTGTTGTGATTTTTCTCGCAGTATCAAACAGAATATTTAATATACCCGCAGGCCATTCCAAAGATCTGCCAGCAAACCAAAGTCAGTCCTAGTGTGGAGACCCTGTATGGAAATCATAAATAATGTATACAGTCCTAAACCCCTTATTGTCACAGCCAGAGCTTAGTGTAAAGCAGGAACACTGAGAGCGAAGAGCGGAAGTTAAAGAGGCGTCTTTGACAGGAGGAGACGGTGGATTGACGGTCTTACCGGGAGAGAAGGGAGCAGTGGAGGTGAGTCTGGGAACTGTGGACAGGTAAAAAAACACTTAGAGCCCACCCTCAATAGAAACAAACACTTCTCTTATTTGTTGTGATCATAGCTGCGCTGCAAATCACAAATATTTCTTTTTCATTCAGGGGGCGATAAAAGGCGTCTAACATGGAGCCTTTTTCAGACAGAACATGAAACAGCGCTGTGGTCTTGAATCTTCTGAAGAAGATGGTGAACCAAAGGGACTCCAGAGGACTCGAGACATGGTTAACAGAATAAAAAACAAAACTCGCCTCTTTGAGTTTTTCTGTTTTCATCCCAATGCTTTCAGTCATGTAGGCTCCTGAAAGTCTTTTACATTAAGAAAATCTGAGCGGGGAAAAAAACGCTAATCTGTAACCAGGATATAGTTTACATTTCGAGCAGGGAGCACAGCTTTTACAGTCAGTTCAATTAGATTTAATACGATAATTTAAAAGATTTTAACACAAGACTCAAACAACAGCAAACAAAACTCTGAAACTAAAGCTTTGTGAGGAGTTGTGTGATTTGAGTGACCGCAAACTTGAACAGTCAGCAGATCTTCATACTCGACAAATCTAAAGTCCAGTATCAAAGAGGCAGTTTTAAAAATATCACAGACTGAGCTCAAAACAGCTGCAGCTGACAAATGCAAAGATAACAGTTAAAAAATCAGTAAAAATACACAATTCAAGACTGAAAATAGTATTTTACAAACATTATACAGCTGCTCTGACAGTAACATTTTTTTTCCCCCTAAACTGATTCATACTCAGCAGTTTAAGATCACTCAAATTGCTGCAGCTTTGGGTGGTATGGACCCCATAAACTCTGCTTTTGTCAGTGTCTCCAAAGCATATCAAAAATCTTTCAATAACTTATTTTACAGAAAAAAAAGTAACGTGCAAAGAAGAAGAACCAAGAATCTGATTGGTCAGTGGAGTAGGCAGTGGAGCAAGTTTATAGCACTAAAACCGGAGTCACCCATGATGTTATCTTACTTTACATGGATCCTACTTTGTAGTACAAGGTTTGCTCGTCATTATTTGATCCTATTCAGTTCAAATCCGTTCTGAAACTGCATGTGAGCCAATAAGAAACAAAAAGGAGTTTATCATAACTTCTTACTGCTTGTACAGACCGATACTGTAAAAAGTTCCCTGGTTAAATCTCTAATTAAACCTGAAACCAGATAAAAGAAAGGACTGATGCTCCTGGTTCTTGTTAATTGAAGCTTCAAAAGCAAAATAAAATTCATTATTAATGCAGCTTGTTACAGAGCAGAGAGCAGCTCCCTCAGTTAACCAGAAGTTACCAACTATTTCATTCCCGAATCGATATTTGAGAAAGGAGCAAGACCTGCTGATGTCCTGTCTCAAATGTATCGCATGTGTTTTCTTTACAGATGTATAGTCGCCAAATTTACTTTCGCATTTTTAAATTCTGTCATTGGATATGTCAATCATAAAGATGTGACAGTCTGAGTGAGAGAGAGAGAGGCTCTTACTGGCTTTGATGCTGAAGGCCTTGACATCGGTGCCCATGTCATTGGAAGCGTTGCAGAGAGCGCTGACGTCCGAGGTGACTTTGACCGACACCACGCTGTGGGTCATGTGCTCGTTTGCCTTAATCACCACCTCCTGCCAAGTCTGTGGAAACACACACAAAAACACGTTATATGAATGAGTTCACCGTTTACATTTCTTTCAATTAGCAAGAGTAAACTATCGGCACGATGTAAGTAACAGCAGTGATTCTACGACCTGAAATCTGTTCGTTTTTAAGTTACTAAATCAGTAAGTGTGACTATAACTGATATAGACTTTTCTTTTTAAAATAAATAAACTGCCTCCACTGAGATTTCTCTTACTTTTTTAAACAAAAAAACGTCATTTTATTGAAGATTATGCTGATAAAGTACGAGGGGAATCACTGAGGACGACTCCGATAGCTACCTCGCAAAGTCTGCCTGCTAGATCTGCTCAAATCTCCGACTAAAGTTAAGAGACAACCATCGGGAGTCCAAGTCATCTTTGTCTTTCTCTACAAACTCAGCTGAAAGTCCACTCATGAGAAGGAGAGTCGGCCTGGTTGGATACCTGGCTGCCGATGATGTTCCAGGAGATGCTGGGCAGCGGATGACCCTGAGCCTCACAGCTCAGGTTCACCATCCTGCCTGCAGCCTCCTCCAGCTGCACCTCCTGATCCACTCCCACCATCTGGGGACCACCTGGACGAAAACACAAAAACACAAACTCCTTCAAGATTCAGCGAGCGTAGTTTAAATTACTGAATTATGTTTACAAAAACTTTAAATGTCTGTCAATTCCTCCTCTCTGTGTTCCCCCTAACGTCCTAAATTCAGGATGATCATCTAGAAAAGTTCAACCTTACTAACCACACAGCTAATGAGAGTTTTTCTTTCAGGCAGAAATATTTAAAATAAACTTTAGTCGGTTCAATTTTTGGGTCTGTGCTAAGCTTGTCCCAACCGAACTTGACACTTTGACAGGTTCTGCACGGGTGTTTCTCATTAAAAGCCCTCTAGTGGATTTACGGGGCACGATTCTCCTCTTTCCAGGTTTATTTTTTTTGGAAGGAGCTGCACTATTTTTATTATCCTGGAGGGCATTACCTTTATTTGATAAGACAGCTTGAGAGAAACAGAGTAGTTAGGGGAAGAGAGTGGGTTCAGGCGTAGAATCACAAGGACTGTATCTAGAAGCCATCCAACCTTTGAAACCACAACTCTGATCTTTTACTCCAAAGTTCGGCACTTTAGCATATTTGTTTCTCAAGGATTAAACCTCCGAACTTCAACTGAATGATACTTTTTTCAAATCAGCTCAGACTAATCAGACTGGAGAACTTTGATAGAAATGAGAAAGGCCATTCAGGACTCAGAAGATGCTTTTAAATCCACAAATGGGTATAAATCCATGTAAACATGAGGCGTCTCCCTCACTGACTGAGCTGAACCAGCACCCCTGCATTCACGTTTGGCACAATACAAGAAGCAGGTGCAGGAAGGCGTCATTTCTCTTCTTGTTGACTTTACCATCCCACGCTCTGATAATGTGTGTCTTTCTTTCTGCTGGATTGAGGCTTTCCTCTGCAATGGAAATTATTTATCTCAACGCTTGCATACGTCAAACTTGCTCCGCAGTTGAAAAGTTCACAGCTGGCTTAGTAAATTTACATACTGTCTCAGATAACATGTACCGAGCACATGGCAGACCGAGCTCTTTTACATACAGTGTTTAGATAACATGGACTAATGTCCTGGCCTCGGATTGACACCAACTTGCGGTCTGGAGAGATAGCTGTGAGACAGATTCTGGCGGCTGACGGTTTACTTGTTTGTCAGATTTGAAAGGCAGTTCTGTCTTGGCAAACGCTTTTTGTTTCAAAAAGAGACAAAGCGGGCACGTTTCAGTCATGGCTGTGGAGAAACTATATCCTTCTACGCTCTGGTCCTTTTGCAAATTTAGTGTTTTGTGTCGGTCGGGAAGAGAAAGACAGATATTTGTATTCAAAACACAGATTTCCAACACATCACTCAAGCGCAAAAATATGGATGGAAACTAACCTAATTGCACAATTAAATCAGGGCTTCGGCTGTGTTTCAAAATGTAACGGACTCTAAAATAAGTATTTAGTTTGGATCACCAGAAAGTGAACTGAAACAGATGAGGAGACCGACCTTGGACGATGATGTGAACAGAGCCGCTGGTGTGCAAGGCAGGCAGGGTGGGAACTGTCACCTCGCACACGTACTCTCCTGATGTTTCATAGGTGGCGTCCCGCAGGTGCAATGTGTTCCCCTTACCCACCTGTTGCCCATTCTATGCAAACACAGACAGAGACGCATTCAAACACACATGAACAGGTGAGGCTGGCACTTTGAGTTCGGTCTGAGGAAGTTTTTGTCGCTCAAAGGAAGGAAGGTAGTATTCACAATGCATCGTTGGTCCTTAACAAATATCTCAAAATCTATAGAGTGGATTCACACTTTCATAGGATTTTCTAAGTCCCCACATGGAGTCCACTTAAAAGCTTAGACAACAGGAAACATTGCTGCAGGTTGATCAGGGAAATAGAGAAAAGTACCGGCTGCCACCTTTTATAAATATGATCGAATAACTTTGAAATCCATCAAGTCTAATCTGTTATAATATCCACTGTGTAAATTACCTTGTACCAAACTGTGTGTGTTGGCAGGGAGGACAGAGCGTTGCACGATGCAGTCAGATCCTCTCCTTTAAGCATGACCTCAGAATCTTTAGGCACCACCACAGCCGGGTCCAAATCTGAGCGCGATGAGAAAAGGAAAAAAGAAACACGACTTAAAGTCAAAGTTTGGAGAGAAATCATTTTTTAAGTTGGAATAATTTTATCACTTTCTCTTAGAGACTTGGGTTGAATATCCTCCTTATTCTCTGTGCTGATTGTTTTTTCTTTTTTTTTTTTTTTTACTACTTTATTGCAAGGCTTCTTTCTTTCACAAACATAGTCAGGCTTTCATTTTACAATATTATACCTTACATTTTTTTTCTCTTCCTTCCCTTTTTTTTTTTTTTTTTTTTTTTAACATACAGAAAGTAAATAACAACCAAAAAGTAACCAAATCGACATATCTCCAAAAATAAGGCAAAACATACAAGCAAACAAAATACAAAAAATAAATGCATAAATAAAATAAAATGAACTAAATATAATTAAATAAACTAAAGAAAACTGGTAGGGGTAGGTGCTGATTGTTATAGCATAAATGGGAAAGTTCGGCTGTGTCAAAATGTTAGATTGAGCTGTTTCTGTCTTTGGTCTCTTTTGTTTGTGTTTCCCGATGTTCTGATTGTATGTGTGTGTGTGTGACGGCTCCTCACAGTGCACAGGAAGCTGCATCTCTCCTTTGACGTCGGAGTCACTGTCGGACTCCAGAGGCCGACACTGGTAGATGCCGCTGTCCTTCCGTGACACTGGCGACAGGATCAACACGTCACCGTTGCTCTCTAGCTCCACATCTGGCTCCTGCGACGACAAAAACAACTTCCTCAGTCTTCCTCAATCGACATCGAGTTATTTAAGAAAGTCTCGCTCGGATGATGTGAAACTAAGCAACTTTCATACGTCACACATCAGATATCTAGCAGTTACAGACTTTATCATTAAATGTCTGAGTTTCTTTGGTTTAGTTCGGTTTAAAGAGGTCCTGTGGGTAGAAAACGGGTGGTGATTCAAATCCGCCCACTGGTGAATCATGTAATCCTTGGAGAACAATGAAACAGGCCAAAAAATCCTGCCATGTTATCCAAAAACACTCGAATTCATCACTTTCCGCTTAGCGAATAAAAGATGACAACACTGAAAGTTATTTTCAGAGGATGACTTACGCTGCAGAAACCGATCTTACATAATTTAAGCCATTAAGACATCAATTTCCTGACTTAAGACTGGGATGCATGCAGGACTTAAATATAAACTATCCAAACGGACATAGTTGAGAGTAAAAACGAGATCAGAAGGACGACAGAAAAAAAGCATAAAACACAGTCAGAAATTGACGTTTTTCACAGCAGCATTTGGCTCTTTATTCAGGGTTTTAAGAGCCACTTAGCAAAATCACCATGAGTGTCTCGTTAGAAGAAGTCGAATTGGCCGTCAGCTGGGTTTCTGTATTGTGCCCTCATACAATGGCTGTGTGTCTGACATGGGAATGAGTGCTACCCATGAGCCCTTGTCAGCGTGGCCTCCGGTCCCACATCTGCAGGGTCAGAGCTGACAGGGCTTTCTCAAACCGTGCACACTCATGTCTACATGGGGGCCCTGTGAGCTCTGCATATCAAAAACATTCCCTACATGTCTCCCGTGTGTCACCCTTTCTCTCTGGGGGACTTTTAGAGAGCCAGAAAAAGCCGGCCATTCTTACTTGTTCTCTGCTGAAAATGAAGGGAGGTGGGGGGTTGCCATCACCCTGGCAACGCAGCTCCACAGTATCCCCCTCTTTGACCAGGCCCTGGGGCAAGTCCTTCCACAGCTCCACCATGGTGGTGGGGTCTGGACGGATGGGGACACACACACACACACACACACACAGAATCAAATTAGACAGGCTTATTCAGAGAGCTGCTAAAGTCATTTTAAAACACCATTTCCATAAAGCTGACAGCGTTGACTGTGCAGGTTCTAGTCTATGTCTGTATCTGTGAACTGTGTCACACAGCAGATCGACACAAAAACAGTGTGACTCATTTAGGTGAAGGGAAATGCAGCTTATAACGCTATTATTGACAATAACATGTTTCCATTAGTAAGCAAATAAGCAAAGAGGTCATTTTCCTTCCATTTTTTTGCTTCATAAGAGACTTTATGTCTTAAATTGGCCCTTAAAGGGTTAAAATTTTTATTTTTAATGAAACATTTGCTAGTTTTGAACAGGGCAGAAGTAAAATAAGAAATTTATGAAAAAAAATCTGAAAAAAATATTAATCCAATATGATTTTACAGCAGACAAAGTAGCTTTGGCCACTCGGAGGCGCCAAAGGCAGTTTTTCATTAAATCTGATGCTACAGAAAAATTGAAAATGCATATATGTAAATTATATTACTAATCTCTGACATATTTAAGACTTTAATACCCTGCAAGAGATTACCAGTTTTTGATCATGTTTTATTAAAAAAATGGGTCATTTTCCTTCCATTATTTTGCTTTTTAAGTGACTTTATGTCTTAAATTGGCCCTTAAAGGGGAAAAATTTTTATTTTCAATGAAACATTTGCTAGTTTTGAACAGGGCAGAAGTAAAATAAGAAATGTATAAAAAAAATCTGAAAAAAATATTAATCCAATATGATTTTACAGCAGAAAAAGTAGTTTTGGCCACTGGGAGGCGCAAAAGGCAGTTTTTCATTAAATCTGATGCTACAAAAAAACTGAAAATGCATATAAGTAAATTATATTACTAATCTCTGACATATTTAAGACTTTAATACCCTGCAAGAGATTACTAGTTTCTGATCATGTTTTATAAAAAAAATGGGTCATTTTCCTTCAATTTTTGCTAAATTTGTGACTTTTTGTCTTAAATTGGCACTTTAAGGGTTAAAAAAAATGTTTTCAATGAAACATTTGCTAGTTTCGAACAGGGCAGAAGTAAAATAAGAAATTTGTGAAAAAAAATCAGAAAAAAATATTAATCTAATATGATTTTACAGCCGACAGAAAAAGTGGCTTTTAACAGCCACGAGGGACTTTAGAGGGAGGAAAATCTAAAGGTTCCGGAAGGGTTAAAGACACTGTGGGGAACAATCATGTTGTGTTGACATTGTGGTGACCCCCTTGAGTTGTTGTGTTTTTCTGGGATGATGACTGGATTTCACATGAGCATCATCAACCGCTGATGCCGAGATTTGGCTCTTGTTATGGAGGTAAATATACAGATCTTCTTTTGATAGAGATGATATCTACTACAGCTATTTAAGATGATTAGCTATATCGTAAAAACCGCGACAAAACTCATGACCTTTGATTAGCTTTTAAAAACCTGACTCGACACATCGTTGATAAAGTTCACAGCTGAAAAAGTACGACTTATCCTGCCCGTGTACCAGCCGTGAGTACAAAACACTATTTAACAAAAAAACGTACTCCTCACTGCCAAACGTAACCAGCTTAACCTTAAATTCCAAATTCCATCTTTTCATTTTATGCAGGTAGGAGTCAAATCAACTAAATTTGATATATTTGTACACGTTTTCAAAGATATTGGCTAATGTGGTTTTGTTTGGCAAGTCAGTCAGGAGGACTTAGGAAATGGAAAACTCTGGAAGATACAAAATGGCCCAAAATCGGTTTGGCGTGAGTGAGGGAATTAGCGAAATCAAATGTCAGGCCTCTGTAGCTTTTGGGTTTGAATGTGAATGGTGAGCAAAGACAAAAATGGATCTCTTACTAAAAGCCTGAGTGTTTGCTTGAACTCTATACTACTTGGACCCACAGCTGATCAAATGTGCAGTGCTGGGATTTCACCTGCTGTCAAGGCAAGTCTCAGCGGTAACTCACAGTGAACAGTGATGTTGACTCTGCTGGACTCCACTGTCCTGATGGCTGCGGGGACGAAGAAGCTGACCTCGCAGGAGAAATGAGCGTCTTTGTCCTCTTTGACCACCTTGTACTCCAGAGTGCTCTGGAGCGAGTAGAAACCAGCGGACTCCCGGGTGACCAGGATCAGCACGTTCACATCTAGAGTATGAAAAGGGGGTTGACATTGGTACGGAGAAACGAATCTCAGAGGCGAAAAATATCAACTGCTTCAAGAGGACAAACAAAAGCTATTCTACGGTTTTGTAAAAGACAAAACAAAAGTGTGAGCGTGAAATTAAAAAGTTCAATTTCCTGCCAAACACATTACAAGATTAAAAATTGTTAATTACCACTCACTGAGGCAGCGAGAGAGAGTGAGAAGCAGGCTGTGGAGGGACTGCTTAACGAAATAATAGTGATTTGTTTGTAATTCATTATGTCTTCAGGAGACGGGGATAGTGCCAAAGAAGAGAGTGAAGGAGTGACCTCTCTGTGCCTTTAGTTTGAATCCACAGAGACGCCCCACTTTTGGGAGGACTCATTCATTTTTAATGCTCTCCTCTTTCTCTCTGTCGTTTACTATGAACTTCATCATCATCATTAAAGCACCTGCAGAATTCATCCATGTGATTTTGACTGCACCTTATCCGCCAAACTGAGCCGAACTAGATCATTCATTCATGACAGACGAAGAGTTGCTGTTTGGGGCCGTCTGTATCAGCATGAGCACATACTAAATATTTGATCTATAATCGTAATAATCCAGTGTTTATGTCAGCATGGATTTTGGTTTAGACATATTTATCCTGAAGTATCTGTTTTCATCTGTTTTTAGATGTTTCAGTGCAGACCAAAGTGGTGGACTGACTGAGCAACAGCTAAAGAAACAGGCTTCAAGTGCTGCTAATGATTTTGGTATTTTCCTCTTTCTTGCTGCACTTTCTTATAAAATTTTGACAAAACAGATGACAATAACACAATGAAAACAACTCTGAGATAGGCAGCAGACTGTCTGAGACTAAAACAAAAACTCATTCACAGTTTGCTCTTACATCCTGGTTCAGGTACCAGCGGTTCCCCGTTCCTGTACCAGGTGATGTTGGGTTTGGGAAAGCCGTTTCGAGCCTCACATGACGCAACCTGTAGGAAGAGTCACACGTGTAAACTTAAGTGTTCAAAATTAGGCCAAGGAGCAATTAATGGTAATGCTAAGGATAAATGCTTTTTTATGTCTCTTATTTTAATTGAACTCACCTTTGACGGCACCTCATTGGTCACAGATATTCCACTCAGGACTCCCTCAATCACTGGAGCCTCTGGAGGAGCTGAACCAGTAAAAAGAAGTCAATTCAATTATTTAAGATAAGAAAACATTCAAAGCTGATCCCTTTTTTTTCAGACTTCGAATCTTCATTGAAGTTTTTCGTCTGCGGGCTTCCTTACCGAACACCCTGAGGTGAGTCTTGCCTTCGGCGTTCCCCGCAGCCATACCGTTAACCTGGCAGAAGAACTCCCTCTGATCGGAGAGCTCCACCTTGAGGATGTTGAGTTGGACTCCATGCTGGTCTGAAGTCACAAGAATGCGACCGGTGTAGTCTGTGTTGTTGTCCGCTATCTGCTGTCTGGCATCAAGGTAGAAGATCCGAACCCGTGAGCTGCCTCCTACAACTCTCTGCAAAACAGGAAGAGCACTCGATTCATCTTTTGATCGACTCTGAGCTTTGGTGGAAACTTTATGTATTTGCTTTCAGGAAGGATGCAGCAGAAATAAGACTTTCCTCTCACGTCCCACAAAGACTGTGACTGATTGGGCCATTAATCTCTTATTTTATCACCTTCAGAAATCTCTCGTTTGTTTTTTTAATCCAAAGACAATCTGACACGCGTCTCTAATGAACTTTTCTCAGACTAAATACTAGTGCAATCTATCAACTGTCGCTTGCTGAGTAATGATTGAATGAAGGTCAGTCTATTTGGGTGATCTTGTTTCGATTTCTCTTGTTATCAGCACACTTGTCATGGTGTCAGACAGTGATAGATCTTCACTTTGCCTGATCCTGCTCACTTAAACTGGAACTCCCAGTCACACCAGTATTTACCCGGCTCTTTTTTGATGCGTTCGCTCATTTCCACCTTCACTTTTTGCAGCATCGCAGCCGAAGCTTTCCGCCGTGCGCTCTGTTTTTCATCTGTCCTGGTTTTGACCCTTGGATTTTTGCTTACAAGCTTTTTATACCCAGATGTCATGGCTTACCTTTCGTCAACTTCTGCCAGCCTCCTCACACCAAATTACTTTTTTTTTCACCATCAGAAAGTCTGAACCTTCTGCTTTTGGATCCAGAGTTTGTTTTTCTGAGTCATTACAGTGCAAGTGCCTCCCTCATTAACTACATAACATTTAGCTGAATGATCTAAAACATCTGCTCTTTGCTCTGAAACTTACTTTGATATTTCATAAAAGTTAAAATCCTTATGCAGTCAGTCTCATTATATGCAGCTAGAAATCCTGGCCCTTTAGCGCAGATGTAGAGGATATGGAAAACATGTGGAAGAAGCAAAAACTACAGATATTTCTAGAAAATGGTTTGTCAATCAGCCTCTTCTTTTGGTTTACTTTTCCTGTTTTTACATTCTGTATAAATTATTATAACATTACTTTCAGTTGCATTACTCCCTCTGCTTGATGTCTTTTCAGCTTCCCCTTACAGTCCAAAGACATGCTTGTTAGATCAACTTTTGTGCTTGTTAGTGTAAACTTGCTTGTCTGTGTCTACAGTATGTTTCATTCCCATGATAGACTGGAAAGTACGCCACAATCTGGGCTCTGAGCGACCTTATCATTATCTAAATGACTGACTTAATGCGCATGTTCCTCGTCCATACGTGCGCGGTTGACTGGCAGTGTTAGTTTTCACAGCAGGTCCAGGCGTACTCACCACAAACCACTGGATCATGACAAAGCTGGGCTGGTCGTCGGTGTCGGTGAAGTTGTACTGGCAAGGAATCTGCGCCAAGTCACCCAGGTAAACCTCAACACTGTCATGCATAGTCACCTCCACTTTGGCCCAGACTGAAAAACACACACAAATGCACATAAATCATCCTCATGTTTTTATGCAGGTACTCTGGCGTGGTCATGTATTATTCTTGAACTGTTCGGAGGCATGGAGCTGTTTTAATTCATCACAAAATTGGCTCTCTCTTTCCTAAATCCTACTGCAATTTTGACCTTTAAACCTTAATTTGATTGTAAGTGCATTGTGCTTGGCAGATGAGTGACTCTCTCTGCCTAAGCCGAGTTGGAGCCGGGCTGCCATGTTATAAGAACAAAGAAGAAAAGGCTACTTGTCCACATGGCATAATTTTCATCCTCCTTCTGCATGGCTGACTGTAGCCACAAAACCACATCTTGGCCAGAAAAACAGTTCCCTAGACATCATCCGGGGAATGCAGGCATGAGAAGGCGAGCCAGTTTGACACTGGGTTGTTGATTCAGAGAGCCAAGAGTGTTTTCAGCCATGTTGGACTTGGCTGCTGGCACAGAAGGGCCCGCTCACATAGTGACAAAGAGAAACAAGATGGCACAAAAAGAGACTTTTCTGTTTTGAAGTTGTTATGCAAGACGGTAGGGATACTTCCTCTCCTCTTCTCTGTCAGGTGGTGTTGGCAGTGACTAATTTGCTCCCCTTTCTCACTTCAACTGTTTGTACTCACTCTTGGCTTTTGATTTTTTATGTTTGTCCACAGGACTTTTGTTCAGAACTACAGAACGAGGACCGCTGTTGCCACTATTGTTGATCTCTCCAAGTATCTCCCTTTCAGTCTCTCTCAAACCAGATACTCTTTAAAAGCTTGATACCTTCTAAGACAGGAATACCACAACACAGAGTAGAGTGCACAAGCTGGGCATCAACTAAATTGGTAAAGTCAATCTCAGCTACGCGTACTTTTTCAATCAAAAACAAGACCAATCGTTGTTGGGTCCAGTTTTACATTTGCATGAACTTTCGCCAACCCAAGCCATGAGTGCTGCACACTTCTAATCTCTTTTTTAAAACCAAGATACCTGCAGACGGTGGGGATAACATGACCAAAAACATAAAAAAATATATATGGATATATAACAATATATATCAAAAATCAATAGTCAGCATCGATAGTCAGCATTCTGCCATCATGTGCTGAATTAGAACCAAGTAGCAAACAACTGCGTAGTAGCAGGCTGCAGCTACAACCATAAAACTTTAACACGTGAAGCTGACAGCACTGTCGGTGAGTAAAAAAGAAAATGAGTGCTATCCCCGGCAGAAATGCAGATGAAGGCTCAACAAATGATGACATTGTCAACAACACTGGCACAAAAATGTCGGTGGTGTGGAGGTATTTTGTTTTTTTTGAGGTCTGACATGAAGCAGAGTAATGTGCACTGCAAATTATGTGGAGTACATGTTCTCACAAAGTCGGGGAATACCTCAAATCTTTTTCACCACCTAAAGCAGTACCAAGCAGCAGAGCATGTGCAATGCAAAAGGTTACAAACCTTGAGCTGAGCAAGGAGCTCATGGCGCCTGTGCAGCCAAACAGCTGACCATTCAGTCCGCTTTCTCTAACGCAACGCCTTACGGCAAAAGTCAAAGAGACACAAAGACCTCACAGACGCAGTAGCTTATTGTATTGCAAAAGACATGATACCAATAAGCACTGCTAAATTTCATTTTTTATATTGTGATATATATTGATATCAACTGATATAAAAAAATATATTGTGATAGACTTGTTCCCATATCGCCCAGCCGCCCAGCCCTCCATACACCCAAGTGGTGCTCTCGGCCCAAGTCCTGTGCATAGAGAAATAATAGTACCCTTAAATGTGTTAGTCACAAGAAAACCTAAGTACGAGCAGAAAAAAGGAATAAGGAATTAACTTTCTCACCTCTGTTTACACTGTCTTTTGTGATTTACAAATGTCGGATGGCGCAAATGTAGTACAGCTTATTTTGTCACTTCAGTAAATGTACTTAATTGCTTTAACAGACAGTCAGTAACTATAATATCTCTGATATAAACAGAGGCTAAGTTTTTAAGTGAAGAGGTCAGACACTTTAAAAAAAGAAAAGCACACGGTCACTCATTAAAGCCTGAAAACCACCGTTTTTAGTCTGACTGTTCATGAAAGAAAATAAAGGAAAAACAATAAGCAAAAAGGGCCAGACCCCAGTGTCCTCGTATGTGTTTTCAGCGTTGGTTGAAACAGACCAAGCATGAAAGGAGCTTTAAGAGTCCAGTTACCACCCTGCTGCCCCCATTCAGCCGGCTGCTCCCCCATCATCCCCCTGTCTCCCCCACAAGCTCAGCTCCAATCATTTCACAACTCATTTTTTCCCCTCCCTCTTTTCTTGAGCCTAAGCGCAGCCAACCATTCCTTTCAAGAAAACGGGCATGCCATTGTTCCCCCACCTGGGTGGACCAGATCCCCCCTCTCACACAGACACAGACACACAAACCGCACCCACAAGTCGGCCAAAGGATGCTTCTCCATCTCTGAGCTAAAGGTTAAAAACAGTTCATCGCGTACTGAAGTTGTTGTTTATGGTGACAAAAGATGACGTGAGAAGGCTCAGAGACAAGAGGCAGATTATGGAGGCTTGAGAACGAAATATGTCACTGAAGTCAGTGTAAAAAATGTTGTGTCTCTTTGGGGCCATGCTGCTAACTTTTCAGCTAATCCGATTAGCACCAGGGGGCTGCCGGGGATTTAGCTTCCAAAGCCAACCTGGGACCGGTCTTATCTGTTCCTGTTGTGACTTTATGCTGCACGGACTTTGGCACAAACACACATGACCCATGATCTGTGGAGCCTGACTACCAAAACTGCTGTCTGTCTGTCTGGCTGCGTCTGTGTGTGTATGTGTGTGTGTGTGTGTGCATATATTTGTGGCTGTCTGCTGTCTGGGCCCAGATGATACTGAGCTAATTCATTCAGGAGAAAAAAAAACACAGCACTCCAGAATATTTGGATGTGTTGACAGGACCAGGCTTGTGACTGGCAACAAGACCCCAAATGGCCTGTCAGAGAAGGGAGCAGGAGAGGAGGCCGGGAAGGAGACTTTACCCAGTTGAAGCATAAACACAGCTTTATTTCTGGGACTATATTCACTTTTTAACGAGATTGAACATTCTGGAAATGCTGCTGCAACATCTCACATCGTTTTAAAAAGGGTGCATATCAGGAATCGAACCACAACTGGAGATCATCATGATAAGCTGTGTGTAGTGTTGAAGTGCTCTGCATTTTTCTTGCCTTCCCTACATAACTCTCTAAATCTCTATTCTGTGATCCAGAGAACGATTAGGGCGCCGTTAACCTGCCAAAAATAACAGCAGGGCTGAGCACGGCTTGGAAAAAACCCGCAATAGTGCCAGTAAAATTTGTTTAAGTGCCAATACCAAAACACTGGCTGCGTATATATCCTTATAATATCGAGGACTACACCTCTAACGTAAAGACAAATTTCTCAAATATTCAATAATATCAGATTTTTGCTAATATGTCAATATTTTGAACCAAACAAACAAGACAAACAACATTTAAATTAAATGTGTTTTTCAAATTTAGATAAAAAGTAATGCATCTTCTGTCTGTACTTCTGCTCAGTCATGAACCACAACCGCGTGTCTGGAAACAAAAGTTTAGCCTGTCAGTTTTTCTGCCCGTCAATTTTTCTGCCTGTAATTTTATCTGTGATGATATATCAGCAGAAATGTTCATATCTGCTAGTGCTGGGTGATTAAGTAGATTTTAATTTAGATTAAAACCATAATAATATGATAATTCTGACTGTTCATTATTGCTATGATGACCCTGTCACGACTCATATCTTAAATGGAGCGCCCCCTCCCACTCTTCCTCAGCAGCAGAGTGTCGGCGCGGGCCCCTCCCCTCAAACTGCTCCCACTTTCACTTCATGATAAGCAGCTCGGATCAATAAGAAATAAAGTTTGGGAGCGCGAGGAAGTTGCAGCTACACTACAGCTAGGTTCAATAGTGGAGTGTATCTTCAGGCAGCCACATGTGGAGAGAGGAGAGCAGGGAAAGGAGCAGGAGGAGGAGGAGAGAGGAGGGTGGTGTGTATCCAGAGCAGAGGGACAGTATGAGCACAACAAGAAAGAGGCTGTAGCGTCACAAGCATCACAATAAAATACGAGCCCTAGTCTCTTTGTTATGAAGGAGGTTACATAAAAGCTCAGAAGACTGATTGTTTCTTAATATTTGCAGCCTGTGGTCAAGTGTCAGCACTTAAAGAGCTCTTATTCTCAATATTTCTATGACACAGCGTAAAAACACCTTACTGAAAGTGAAATCTCATATTTAATCTTGTGAGTATAATCACCAACTTACGCCCCAGTTTTTTTCTTTCAAAGTGCCAATGAAAAACTCAATAACCACACAGTTAAGACGACAAATCCGTCCGGACAATGTCAGCTTTTAGTACCTGCTATTTTTAGCCGTGTTAGTGTGACTCTCGGGATGCAGCATGCATCATTTGCTGGTCAGTCAGTTCATCTCTTCAGTCAGGGATGGATGACATTTTCACTGAAGGTACTGCCTCAAACTTTTGCACTGCCATTCATGTTCCCCAGGGGATAAACTGCACTGACTTTAGTGAGCTGTATTTCCCTCAGGAGCCATCAACAAGTCAAAGTTTCTACTTCTCTTAAATTTTTCAGTGTCTTCTCACTTACTTGTTAAAACAGAACTTTTGTACAAGCCTGACTTTTACCTCCTCTGTGGATCCCCTATATCATATCAAATCAAATCAAAATCCAGTCAGAGCAAGAAGACTTTGTGATTTCTGCAAAAATCCTATTCTGACATTTTCTAATGTGACCTTCCCTCGTCACTTTCCTTTCTTACTTTCTACCCATGCACAACTTCCTGCTTAAGGAGAAGCAACATACACTCATTTATAGCTCTAACCTGCTGCTAACAACTTAACATGATCTTGTTGTGTACAATCTTCTTTTTCCAGTTCATATATTTACACAGTAATGATCTGAACGTTTACATTGTCACTAAACGTTTATGAAGCAGGCAGGCATGTCACAGTGTTGGAGGACTACATAATGACAAACAAATTAGTTTCCTGTCCTTTCATTCAAAGCAAACAGCCACACAATGCTCTCACAACACAAATTAGACAATAACACACATAATGAGGGGGATGCTATCAGGACAACCTCTGCATACAGTGGCTCATTATGCGTCTGCAACACAGACAATACCCTCAGACGCTAACTTAAGTGGTCACCATTATTGGCTTTCCCGTTTGATTAAGGCTGTCAGCTTAGGGGTCCAGTGGATCTGCAGCTCCAGCACAGATAAGAGTGCAAATCACCTCTGACACAACAAACCAGCCTCATTTACCGGGCCAAACCCTAATCCCTCACATGACTGCTGAGCCATGAAATGAGACTGAATGCTTCTGGGCACATTAAAATGTCCTGAAATAAATGATCTATAAACTCTCATGTCCAGTGGTCCCCTCAGGCTGGTTTATAGGAGAGTATTAAAAAACTAAAGACAGAAATAGTTTCATGAGTGTATAATGCTGTAATGACATAAAGTATGGTGTCTGGGGTCTTAAGATGTAAAAATATGAGAATGAAAGTCAAAGACCACCAGATAAACTATATTTTGCATTTGCAGTTTCATATTTTTATTACAAGATATATAAGATACATCCTAAGCAGAAAAAAAAGAAATATATCAGCTCTTTTGAAACTACTTATGTGGAAGTGTGAAAGTGGAGCTGCATTTCCAGGAGCTGCAGAGTCTCTGAATAAAACTTGAGTGCACCTCCACAGAGAGCAGAGGGTGTAAAAAGCTAGCATGTAAGTGTTGATGACAGGGAGGGGGATTTCTCAATACATAACCCTAGTCTGGTGCTGAACACCTGGGGGACACTGCACTGCCTGACATCAAAGGGCGCAGACACACACCCGCACACACAGTGAAAGCACACAGCCCTACAGTGGAGATGAGAGCTCCTTGTCCCGCTGATGCAGCCGCGCTTTCAGGAGCAGAATCTGGCACAAATCTCCCAGCGGCTTGTTCCCTGGGTGACAGTCAGTGGCAGAGGAGGGTCCTAGTTTTATTCTTTCACACGGAGAGATAAGGAAGTGCTGCAAATCTCCTCAAAGGCACCTCTCTCTGCATCAGTGATCCCCTCATTCAAGCAACAGAGCACCTCACAGCTCCAGCTCGGGACCTGCCACAGAGTTCTGTTTAGGGGGACTCACTTAGGTCGAGACTTTTGGGAAATGCACAGGACTTTACATTTACAAGAGTTTGGTTTACTCCCTCTTAATCTCAAAGTAAATATTGCAGATAACCTTTGTTTGCATATGCAAACTTTGTTCATGTAAATAAGGGGACACAAGGCAGTGCTAGTCTGGCTGCACGGACCACCTTTTCTGCAAAACGATCGCCCAGAACTAGAGGTTGAAGAGGATGACTCAGAAAGATCTGGAAAAGTGTTTTAAAGCTGTTTAGATTATAGAAAGTACCGAGCAATCAGAGCTGCTGTAACAAGAATTTGGCTAAATCTTTCCTCATTACTGTCAAGCAGCTATAGGGCTGAATAATAAATCATTTGTGACGTTTACACAATACCACTCTCTACTGTTTCAGGATTAATCTACCATAAATTCCTATCTGATATCACTTTAATGCAGCCCTTTATTAAAACACATAGAAAGCATATGTATCTGTGCGCCACAAGACTGCAGACATGAGCACAGGTACCTGAAAAACTCTCTATTAAACAAAACTAGGATTGAGGACAGAGCTATCCCGCTCATGTTGGGGTACACATACAGGCTGCTAAGCTTACAGGACCACAGAGGGTTTATTTTTAGAGTCTTATTCACCTGCAGTGCACTTACATAGTAGTGATGTGAAAACCATCTGCAGAGGAGGACAGTGAGTTTTTGTTTGAATATATCGGAGGTCTCTGATCACTGGTGTGGTACAGTTGGCTGATGTGGGCCTGACTAAGGCCTGCTTACAGGTTGGTTCTTATGATTACGATAAGAGGGAAGCAGCCAAAGGGATAGCAAAAGTAATGACAATGCAGCAAGAGTAAACAGGTAGCATAAATGTCAGAATGAATTATGGACATCAGAAACATCACCGAAAGATACACGGCAACACACGAGTGTTTACACAACTTGTTCTTTAAAAAATATCACAACTGAACTTGGGAGGAGATGAAAAGAAGTTGTAACAGCAGTAGATGGACCAGAAGGTTTCCTCCTGTGGTCCATCATGTGTTTTTAATCAAAAGTCTTTTTTGACAGAGTTTGTGAGATTTCTAGTTCTGACAGTCGAGACTATAATCACACTGTATTCACCATATCATTGCACACCACACACCACAGGACAAATCTGTAATCCCTCATCATCCCAAGGGATCTCTGATATTTTAAAAATTGGTTATGATTGTAAAACTCTTCTACTGTGTGCCAATCATTTTACATACCTGTGTAATTAATGTGAAATTTTACTCGTGTTTATGGGTTACACTGCTTCCTCCAACTTCTCACGACCAATCTAGCTTTTAAAAACTGCTAATCATTCCTGCTGGTTAGCAACTTCCTCAGCAGCTGCATTAATTTTTCATTATTTCACCCGATGGGTGAGACTTCATTAAAGGAGAAACATGGATGTTTTATTTATGCATGTATCTGATGTTCAGCAGTGAGTGTGGCTTGTTCCTCCTCATCCACTACCCGTCAATAGACCCCCTCCAGAGCTGCTGGGCTCTTGCACGCAGGTTACTCTGCAGATACACCATGGCTAATTAAAGGTCAACAGGCTAAACACTGTATCTACATCGAAGGGGAGGTTGGGGGTGTTACTTGGCTTTTAGTGGGAACAAAAACAAATTTGGTTAATGAGCTTAATGTAGCTCATTTTACTCGTTTAGCTTTCCTGGAAATGAAGTGGGGAAAGACAAACATTAATTTATTATGTAGTCATTCTGTTTGCTAAAATCAGCCCCAATCCAGCTACTACAACTATGGATCACTTATTACCCAGTACCTGGAAAGTGCCTGGATACAGGCTGATGTTAAAATTGGATAAAATAGTAAGCACAGTTCCAGGATCCAGAAATACGCCTGACCACTACGCTGTGGAAACACTGAAAATAATTTGGTTTGGTTTCCCTCTAAAACATAAATATAAATTCAAGGACACATGATTAGATCTTCTCCCCCCTGAATGGACTGGGATGTTTTGACAAAACACAAACCACAAGTATGAAGCCCCGTACTTGACCTAGAAAGGCTGACATCAAAACGACTTAATGTACGAAGCTTTGGAACCATTTCACAGAGTAATCCTACTTCACCGAGCACGGACAAAATTACATTTTGAGGTAGACAAAATCTGGAAACAAGAGTGATTCCTTCGCCTCATCATATTAAAGTGTGTGAAAGACGAGACATTTATGGTCAGGGGTGCCAGGTATGAGGCCTCTGCTGTTATTCTAACACTATAAATAGGTGACTCTCTTTCAAATCAAGCCTCTGACGACAGCGAGCTGACTTGCTGCTGTACTCCAACAAAGGACTTCTTATCCCGGCCCCTGTGGTCATCATCACAGTGTTGAATATCCTTGAAAGCTACAAACTGGCTGCCAACTAAATCAGCTTTCCCTCAACCGCCGCGCAGAAAGGGCTGGCCTGAGGTAATCACTTCCATTTCAACCTTCAGAAACCGAGAGCTCTGCCAACTTTGAGTCACAAAAGTCACAGTTAAAGGCGTGTTGGGACACACTCTGTACGATTTTTCAGCACTTTGGCCCTTTTTAGATGGCAGACAGTGAGGAAGCTGACAATGAGGGAGGTTTATGACGAAACCAGTAACCCCCATGATGTACATGTTGAGTAACTTGTTTCCAAATAAAAAATGCTGAAAAAGTGATGAAAAAATTCACCAAAATTGAGGTCAGCGCTCCTTCAACAATTACAAATGTTAAATACGGGAAGTAGTCATAATATATAGACAGTAAAGCAACTGACGTCACATCTGGGTTTGCTGCTCCTGGAAAAACCACAGCTCTAATTTGGTCCATTGGTGAGGCTGATGTTATAAAACTTGGGCAGAAAATTTGAGTGGGAAATATTTCCTCTCAAATTTTGCTGTTTTTTTACTTTCACCTTCTCCCAAATGTCCCATTCTGGTCTTGTGTCTGACCACAACGATCATCTTTTTGCCTACGCTCTTGGAGCCAAGCATTTTCTGGACGGTGTTACATACTCGCATACTCCTCAGGGGAACTTCTAACTGGTTATGAAACAGACTGAAATTAGTACTGATGCCTCTACATGACTCACAAAGCAAATCAGCCCCCTTGCAAAATGTCTGCGAGAAGTCCAAGTAAGCAGATGCGAACACAGTCGGCAATATTCAGGAGGATACACTTCACTCCTCAAAGTTCATCGCATCATAGTTTGCAAAATCTACAGCTGCGAATCCTCCACCACCAGTTTTCTATTACATTTCTGCAGGAGTCTAAAGTGCACTTCATAAATATTTCTACAGTTTTCATGAAAACTGACCAAAGCAAGACACTGCAGTGAAGTGATATAGGAAACTTTTTTCAGCTTCACACCCAAAGACAGAACAGTCATTTATGCAAACAGACTGAATCTATTCAGCGGGGGTACCTCATCTTCTATTTGATTAAGTCGGCAGGATTTTACATAAAAACTGTACATAATTAGCTCTGATGGTGATTGCAAGCTACGCCTTTATCGCACAAACCCTCAGAGAAATTAAACCGGCCTCTCTCTCTGTTTCCTGTTTCACATTTGTTTGAACTCTGATATTTTTTTGTGGCTCTGCTTCTGTTAGTATCTGAATTTATTAGCATTCAATCTGTGCCCGTCCTACAACAAAGGCGTATTTGTGCACTCTTTCCCCTTTTATCCCGTCAACCAGACATGAGGCGAGCTGTCGGGCGAGCGTGCCACACCCATTTCACTGGGATCAAAATGGTGAACCCCAGTTCCCCCCCTAAATCCCCTGCTGAGAACCTTAATGCTCTCAAAGAGAATATCAGAGTGATCACAGGTGCACTGCTGTGTTAATGAGGAGGAGAGGCTAGTCCTCGTGCCCAGACCAGTCCTACCCCCTCCACATCTAAAAACACAGGATCCAAAAGCAGTGTTGTTTGGATGGCGTTCAATCATAGAGCTGTACCATAACCATATAAAACCCACAGTCCAACACCACGCCTGTTTCCACAGCGACCCATATAACTACCTGTTTTTTTTTTTTCAGGACTTTAAAGCAGTCATGATGGTTTTACGATTATGTTGGCCTGTCTTTTCATATGCTACTATATGTTACATACAAATTATGGTTTCAAAGATGTAAAACATCTGCTATATTACCATCTACTGAACACTGACATAGGGTGTTTTCATGTTTGACTCAATCTGCAGAAGAGTGAGGAGTGTATTTATGCTTCCAGTGTATATTGGCGAGCACAGCCCCAGCATAACTCAATGGCCAATACTGCTGATTCTGATTCTGCATCTCCAATCACTTCAAAACTGTTCTTCACAGTCTAGTTTTAATGACTGACCCTAACCCCAGCTGAACTGCAATGATCCCCAATGAGTTGGCAGTGGCAGAGGACAAGTGTGCCGGATACTCAGGTATAATAAAACACAGATATAATTTTTTGTATGAATCACTTTGATGTGTCAAGACAGGAAGGCTGTAAACAGTTCCAATACACAAGGAACGGAGGCCAAATTTCATCACTTTTATCGGGTTAGAGTAAGGTACTTTTATTTGTTTTGATTTAACAAGCAGTTATTTGAAAAATACGGTGAAAGTGTATCCCAGAGTATTCCTGAAATCCAAGGTTAAGTATTAAATCTGCTTTTTTTTGTCTCTGACACAGCTCAAATCCCATAAAACTCAATTTGCACACATCTGTAAGGCTGATTTTAAGGCTAAGCTATTTAAATTCAGCTCAAAAAAGTGAAGAATTGGCAGATAGACGAGCATGTTCAGGTTGATTGCTTATCTGCTGCCAGACTTAATTCGAAATATTTTCAGCCATTGACTTGCAAACTCAACATTTTCTATTCTACTTTTCTACATTTGGTGGTTTAAGAAGTGAATTAGGACCAGGTGTTTCCTAAACCCTGAATCTAATTAAGGAAACCAACTTTCTTGTTTACAAGAGAAACCACAAAACCAACAGTGTTCAGTTACTGAAATTCGTATCAGCAAGTTCAGCTTTGAGTCAAGATATTTGGCTCACAAAGTTCAATATCTTCAACATCCTATCTTTAAAATATTACCTCGCTTTGCTCCAGCTTTCATAAAACCTGTTTAATAAGTCCACGTTCTACTTTTGAGAGTCTATCAGTGTTTGCTATCTGACTTTGATATGTGAAACAAAATTTGAGCAGACAGGCATGAAGCTGTTTTGGGAAAAGGGAAAGATGAAAAGAACAGATATGAAGGTCTGAATACGTGTGGGTCTCTGAATTCATCCTGTCCTGGAATCTTATCAACAAAATCACTTAAACAGAGCTTTGAGAGCTGCTCCTCGGCTGCTAGACAGCAACGGGACAGCAGATTAAACAAGAAATGAAAAAGAAAAAGATCCTCAAGTCAGATTAGAGTTTCTGATGTGAATGTTTTGTCTTGGTAATCAGTTAATCGTGTGCTTGGTGAGCTTTGTAGATGTTCCACGGCTGGGTGAAGGACAATTACTTGCAGGTGACGGGGAGTGCAGGTCAGACAGTGGCAGGCAGGAACAGGGGGGTGGGGGAGGGAAACTTGTGGAGGAGGACAGCGACGGGGACGGGGAGCAAACAAAGCACATGTGGGCTTTAGCTTGAGTTATCACAGCACTGATTATTATATCCTCCACCTCCACAATCTCAAGGTAACAGACAAAACACAGAAGCAGGACACACTGACGATGTTTGCAGTGCTGGTAAGAGTTGACAATCAATGCGTTAATTTAAGGTTGTTTCCTGAAAACCAGCTGATTTATTTAGGGACATTAGTCATGGTAAGTGATTGGTACGTTAAACGACATACCTGCCAATACCTAAAACTGTATCCTTGTCAGGACTAGAAATAACACCAATGCAAACCCAACGCCAATCAAGCAATAACCTTCAATCATGAAATGGCGTTCAGTGCAAACAAATATGTTATCCTTAGTTTGCCCATCAATAGCCTGTACTGTTGTGTGCATGTCAAACAGTCTATGGGGGTCAAATGTTGAAAATATTTTCACCTTTACAGCTGCCTCATTGACATGTCTGACAGATCTTAGACACGTGTATTTTCACAACAAACTTGCCCTGTATTTCACATCCAAACAGGGCGCATGCCTCTAGGAAGTCTAAGGAGAGTCACATGTTTACAGTCGGTCAGACGCAATGTCAGACACAATGATATATCTGTGTTCAGAACTCATAACCAGTTTCATTGTTTGATATTAGAGCAGCGAGCCTCCTTTATCTTGATCTCCAGACTGGGAGACTCCAGTTCTCAGGGCTCAGCAGACAATATCCTCCGCTTGTTTGATTCGCTCGGCCTCAGCGTGCCAAGACCTTGAGCCGGCGCTGTGGTTATGACTGGATTCCCAGTTGTGGGGTGGCACTGTGTCCTGCTGCGCTGAGGAGGATGGAGGAGGTGGAGTTCACGTTGACAGAAGCAGCTGTGAACAATGGTCATGTCGCCCCCATTCCCATGCCGTGGGGGAAGGGCCAGCTGAGAAGAGGGGCCCAGAAACACCTGTGGGCAGCTTATTTGTCAAGTGACTTGTGGGAAGGAGTGTAGGAGATGTGAGAAGAGAGGAAGGAGGGCAAACAGGGGTGTGTGGGAGTGTGTCTATGGAAGTTAGAGGAAGAATGGGGGGGACTAAGATGGGTATGATCAAAGGACCACACACGATGAAATGCCTGTTGATTTCCTTCTTAAACACACCTGTGCAACTAAAAAAATCTCCTCCTTTTACTAACATTCTCTGTTTTAACTAAACACGCAGAGATGCAGCTTGAAGGGAAGTGTATCCTGCCCACAATCAGATCACAATTTCTGATTGGTCTCATGTTTAGCGAGAAAGGGCAACATTTTTTTAATCAACAAAACCCTAAAAATGTAATCTATGTTTCTTGTCCAGAAAAAAAAAGAGCCACTGATTAAGTCAGCTTGGTCTTGGGTTAGAAGCTGGAAGGTTTCTGGTGCAAGTGGCAGAACAAACCAAGCATAGGGTCTTTGAGGGGACTGCAAAGTTTGTTCCTGCGCTGCTAGGGACGCTCAATCATGTGCAGCCCGCCCCCTCGCTGAGATCTCTCCACTAAAGCTTGCTCTGTCTGTTTGTGCTTGTACGTCAATACGGGCTATGTATGTGTCACATGCTCAACAACGGAGTGATAAAATTGTGTTTTCCCTCAGGGACTGAAAAGGAACACTGAAGAGTAAGTAAGCTGGAGAGAGAGTAAAGTGCTGGTTAGAAAGCCAGAAAAATTCCAGATAAGATTGAAGAGACCAAGAATAGGTTATTCTTCTCATCTACACTGCTTTATTCATCTGTTAGGATTCATTTATATTTAGAGACAAAAATTTTTTTAAATTTAGGGAAAAAATGACACGACATGACACGGTACGATAAGATACAATAAGCTACAATACGATACGATATTATACGGTAGAATATGATACAATACGATACGATACGATACAATACGATATGATACGATGTGAAACGATACGATACGATATGATACGATTCAATAAGATACGATACAATACGATTCAATAAGATACGATACAATACGATACAATACGATATGATACGATGTGAAACGATACGATACAATAAGATACGATACAATACGATACGATATGATACGATGTGAAACGATACGATAAAGTAAGATACGATACAATACGATACGAAACGATATGATACGATGTGAAGCGATACGATACAATAAGATACGATACAATACGATATGATATGATACGATGTGAAACGATACGATAAAGTAAGATACGATACAATACGATACAATACGATACAATACGATACGATATGATACGATTCAATAAGATACGACACAATACAATACAATACGAAATGATACAATACGATAGGATACGATACAATACAATACAATGTGATACGATATGATATGATAATAAAATAAAAGACCCAATTAAATCCCTACCTGTGTCCCTTGGACTCACTTTCTGGAGCTCAAAGATTTTGATTTTTACAGTAAAAATTTAAGCTGCTGATAGAAGAATACAGTCTGACAAATGGAGCACGGGCTTATCTAATTTAGCTCACATGCTTCAAACAGAGAACCTTGATATTTAACAAGTGTCCATACATAAGCAGTCATGGGACAAAAGCTGGATAACCCAATTTTATGCTGAGACATGTATAAATTAAATTCCACAGACAGGCACACGGGGAAAATCCTCAGCTCAGAGGCCTTCTCTTTGATTAGGGGGTTGATCTTTTAACAGCGTCGAATATCAGGGCTGAGGGAGCGGGGGTGGATTTGATATTTAAGCATCTCTTTATCCTCTCCCTTTTGAAATGTCAAGTTCAAAGATCCAGACCAGGGGCCTTGATCTGTGAGCTAAGACGACCGGGAGAAACACCCAGCAGCTCCTAACTGTCGTTTCACTGGAGAGGCGGCTGCAGCTTTGCGGCAAGTCGGTACACATGGAGTGTTATTAAGTCTGATTGTGTTTAAGTCTGTAAACAGCCTTTTGAAGTTTGCTCCTCGTGCTACGATCAGACCTCCTTAATCGAATCAGAGCAGTGTTTTCTCTGTAGTGAAACGCTCGTTGTGGGTGTGAGCCTTGACTAATTGAATAAAACTTATTTAATTAGGAGACTTTCCCAAGCAGGCTGTCTGATGTTACACTCAAATTCCTCACCGTATTAGGTCCAGTTTTGAAAGACAATTATGACATAGTTTTCTTAAGAGGAGTGAAAGATAGCTGCCCTACATTTTTAATAGGCTGCCAGGGTCAGTGAGTGAAGTACTGCCAGTTCAGTTAGAGCCAAACAGAGCCTCATGTCCCGCTGAACGGGGGCCAAACCAGGAGGAGCACCACAATTAACACTAATGGGACAAATATGGAGCAGAAGCAATGTCACGTTTTCACCTTGACTATTCGTTACAGCTGTCTGCTAGCGAGACAATAGACACTTAATGGTCAAAAGCTACAACAGGGAGCTGAGCTTTTTAATCTATTTAGGAAGACAAAGGTGGAAGAACAAGGTAAGAGAGACAAGAAACTCTTTAACTTCTGATATCTTTCCTTTTAGTAAGTCAGAGTCATTTTGATGAAGTTCCTACTCGGTGTTGTCCTACAGTTCTATATCTAATTTATGCATGTGTCATCTCTACTTTCATCACCAAAACAAAGACGAGGTCAAAGCAGTCATAAAACTTTTCAGAGCTGAGAGTCTTTCTCAGTTGTTGTCTTTTTGAGCCAGACAGACTATATTTTATTCATTCAAGACTGTTTTCATCAATACAAGACGCTGTTGCTTTGCCCCAAACAAGCTGAAAAAAAAAAAAAATCCTCAGTTTTCGCCATGAGATGTAACTCTGAGAAAAACTTGGGAATTGATTTGTCTCGGTTGGGCTCGTATAGAACCATCAGCTGACATTTAGATCATAAGGTGATCAAATGCCTCAAAAATGCACATGGCAGATTGAGTCCACTGAAATATAACTGCATGGGAAAACCCTGGGGATAAATAAAAGTATGCAGGCGATATATAAGTGCTGAATCAGAGCCGAATTAACTCCAAAGTTTATTTCATACAGTTAAGTTTGAAAAGTTATAAAGTAGGTTAAATTTATGTTAATGCAAGCCCAAAAGTATGAGCCCCATTTTTTGGACACCTCTGAGTTTTTATGACCAACACTCAGCACCTTTGACAGCATGACTGTCTGTCATTAAAGGGGCGCTCCACTGATTTTACACATGAGGATCAGTTTTCTGACTGTGGACAGAACCACTCAGCTGTGGAAAGAGTTTCATAACATCTACTGTGGCTCTGGAGGAGCACAGAAAAGGTGGAAACTCTCACATCTGAGGACTTGGAGACTTCAATTTACAAAGGCTGGCCTAAGGGAGAAGAGAACTATGGGAAGTGTAGGATGCTGAGTTTTCGAGGTTTGACTGTTCACTGGTGTTCACAAGCTGTGTGAAAGTTCAGCTCTTAAACGCTCCGGTATCCATTTACGATGACATAAAAAATAAAGAATATGGAAACAATGAAGGATTTTGCCTGTTTTTCTTTAAATTTCAATAAACAGTATTTCATTGCTGTCTATTTAAGCAAGTATTCATCCTTTTCCTCTCCACCTTCTCTTAATAGACCTAAAAGTAGAGAACAGCTTGCCAGTGCTTAAAATGTGCATCTATTATTAATTATTTCAGATGTCAATATTTTTTCACATTAGCGATGTTTTCCCATCCTGCGATATTGCTGCATTTATTTTTTTCGTATCACGGTCGAATTTTCTAAAGTTACGCATACTGTGTGTCCACTTCTGACCAATCAGATTGCGTGTTGTTGCAACGTCAGATTCACCGGTATATCCAACATGGCCGACTAGCTGATTGTTTACATGTCGGAGAACAGAGTGATTTTTGACAAAAGACACAAACATTACAAAGATAACGATCTGAAGGACAACTTGTGGAGAGTCATAGCGTCGGATCTCTCGTATAACGATGGTTTTTGTGCTTTAACAGTTTGCTAAACGTCTTTGTTTTAACTTTCATCTGTGCTAAGTAACTTTAGCTCGTAAGCTAACCTGTTCAGATACAACATACCATATGTATTTTCACTGTCTCAAACTCAATCGTTTACCTTACGTTTATGGATTATAGTGTAATGTTCTTATCTAGTACTGGCCCCGACTCAGTACATGCTATCATGACAGACAGACATCTCAACACTAGAGTCTAATCAGAACTGAAAAACAGTCAGTCTGCCGTTGTGTCAGTCTTCTCGCTTCCACTCGGGACGTGTCTTCCCCCCCCCCCGGAAAGTCACAAAATGGCATCGCGTGTCAAAATTCGCCTCAGAATAGTTCGTAATTTCGCGTCACATATTTGCGTCGTTCCCGGTGTGTAAGGACCTTTATTCTGATACTTTTATTTTATTGATAATGAAACTGCACATATATCTGACCTATTTCTTCATTTTTTTGGTGATTTAAGGAAGAACGAATGGGCTCAGTGCCATAGACAGGATAAGACACTCTTTTTAAGACATTTACAGACAATAACACAAATATTTGATTGATCATTTCTAACCTTAACCTTTCAACACACAGGTCATGAGAAACAGAAGCCTGTCTCTTTGGGACTAATCTGTAGGATAAACGCAGCAGGCAGGGACATTTTGTATCCTGAGACATGATTTTCTTCACTAAGAGGACGGCTCATCTCTCTCTTTTTCCGTGTCAATCACTCTGTTCCAGCTGCAGGTTAGAACTCGAGATGGAAATAGATCTGATGTGCCCTCATATGTCATTGTGCAGACTGCAAACAGAAGGGGAGGTGAAGCAGGTAGGAGACATATGTTGTCAGAAAAATGCCACTGGGCAACAAGCACTGCATTGTTGATGATCACTGATCTTAGTGACAATCTCAGCTGGTGGCGAGATAAAAGAACTCCACTCAGGAGCATGACAACTACAACAATAAAGATAAATAATAAAGCCATACTACAGCATTACATGTTCGAAGGGCTTTTTGCACCTCCACTGTTGCTTGCCATGTGTTATGTACCCTTTAAGTGAGTCGATATTGCTGTTCCTGTTCTCTGCTGGGCAGCAGATGCCAAGCTGGCTGGAGGTGGAAGATGCATGGTGTCATGACTCCTCCGACCCTGCAGGGGGCTTTGCATGGTATATCAGATTTCTTTAACAGATTTAGAGCTGGTCAACCTGTGCTGATTTCTTTTTGCACAAAAAATCCTTAAAAAGATTTAACTTAATACAACACTTTGGATTTTATGTTTGTAGCTAGCTGATGTTTTGTATCTAGTAAGGGAGCTGAAATTACACAATCGAGCAGCAGGAGACCGTGCAGCACTTCAGGAGCTATCACTTATTAAATGGGCCTCTGGATGGGGTCTGTTACATCGATATGACTGCTTATTAGATACCAGTAAGTATGACATATGCTGTGGCATAAACAAGGGGCTGTACTTCCTACGCCAGGGACTTGAATTTCCATCCTCACTCTATGTGGCCATTAGAGGCAACTTTAGCAGAACTTATCCAAGAAAAGTAAGACCCTTTGTCGACTTAAAGAGATATCTCATTCTGGTGTTTAAATCTATAACATAAAAAGGCCCACTGTCCATGTGTATGTGTGGTCTGCTTTATCAAATATAATGTGTTCAGATACAGCTGAACAGTCGATCCAAAATCCAGTACTATTTCAATACAAGCCTGGATGCGTTTACCTCTCAGATTATCTACTTTCAATTCAGAATTCAACAAAACTACCTGAACACTAAACAATGTATTAGCACATTAAGTATTTTTCCCAAAATATTCAGGTCTATTTTCTGCAAAGATGTCATTAAATTAAACAAGACTGAAATTGTATTGCTAATAATTTCACAATATTACATTTCATTGTTTTAGTTTAGCAGTAGAGTCTGTCCAAATTGAGTCACTTAGGCAGGTCAGGGTCACTTTCACAACAGCAAGCTGAGCTGCCCAGACGTCTGTTTCCCCGACAACCTCATCCAGGTCTCTCAGTCTCCACAGGGGATTTCCCTACCAGATGCCCAAACCACCTCACATGACTCCTCTCAGTGAGGAGAGTCTGGCACCGCAGCCTGCTTCTGTCACCCACTGATGATGTCAGGAGAGCTACAGGGAGACTTCAGCTAAGATGAGATCCATGTTCTTGTTTTCACATCTGGGAAAGCTAAAAGGCCTTTGTGTTGTAGTGTTGTTTCTGCTGAGAGGAGCGCTTGGATGAATGAAAACAAAGACAACTTCTGATCAAGTCGGAGGGTAAAATCTGCAGAGAAGCACCAGGGCTTTACACAGACAAAAACACACACTAAGGGGAGGTCAAATATATTCCTAGCTCAGGGCTGAACAAAACATCCTTTTGAAATCCAAACTGTGATATACTCAGGCACAACAGTCACATCCCAGAACATACAGTATCAGTGCTATGACCTGAAAAACACCACTTCCTCATTATCCAGGTTTAATCTGTAATAAACATCTATATAAAATCTCTCAGAGTTTCTGTCTGTGTGACTTTAAAATGTCAACATGCCAAAGTCAATAAAGCAAAATGGATTATTGGACAGTGTTTTTACATCCATTTAAGTATTTGTTAACACCATGGACACACTAACAGGTGCAATTGAATCATTGTGATGTGAAAGTAAAAATTTAAATTTATAGGAATATGCTGAGGGCTTGTGACTCAGATTTAACGCACAGACTGAAAATATTGATGACTTCTTAATGGGTAAGCACCACCTGTACTTTCTACTTCTCTTGTCTTTACATCTCCAAGCAAGTCCAAATAATAATAAATACTATGATTGTACAATTACATAAAACAACTAAAATTCCAGTTTTTTTTATGTCACATGAATGTTGCAGAAAAGAAAAATGTTGCACAAATAGAACTTTTCATTATCGTTTGACCCTACTTAATACCCATGGAAATCAGGCAGGCAAAAGTTTCCTGGTTGATCGTTTTTTAAGATGTGTTTACATTACAAAAGTGTGAAGCCTATCGTTTAAACATATCTCTAATTTTTCACAAGGAAAAACTGTTGCAAGAATAAATCAAGTTGCCGCAGATATTTCAACAGACGATGCCAGCCAACCTCCACAGACCACACAAACAAATCCCAAATGAGCTAAGCTTTTATTTTTGTAGCACAAACCACTCTGCCTGCTGACACACACCAGTTTTAATTTGTTTGGAGCGTGATTCTGGCTGCCAAAGAGCTTTATAATCCATCAGGGTAGGCACCATTCCTTCATTTGGTTTATATTCAAGTTTTTTATTAAGTTGAGTTGTTTCCAGCTAGGAAGTCATTTCCTCCAGGACCTGGTTTGGGTCCAAATACATCACATTCTTGTGTCTTAATGTCACAGCAATGAACTTCTAATTTCTTAAACTGTTTTTTGTAAAGAAGTGGAACAAATAATATCGAATGATCTGCAGGAGTTGTTGGAAAAACACTCAAGACAAAGAGGTTTTCTCACATCATCTTCTTCTTACTGAGAGATACTCAACTCTGTATCTCACATCAACCTGTAAGGTGTTTGCCAAAAGCCAACCAACAGCCTTTATATCTCTGTCATCCTGAACGATTCCAGATGTCAGTCCAGAGGGTCTTCATCCAGTTTTTTTTTTACAGGGATACTGTTGGAGCTTTGGAGCCTTAAGCTTTAACACGTCTTTATTCTAAAATTGCAGTAGAGCAGCACCCCCCGGGCAGATTCCAGACCCTAAACTTGAGCTGCAGAGGTAGATCACATAACAGCTTTCATCACACATGTCTTCAAAAGACACTGGCAGTGTCTGGCAGCCACTAAATTGCCCTCACAAGTCAACTCTGCACCCAGACTCCTTAATAAACCCCGTCTGAGATTGGACACCACCCTTCAGCGTCTGATTCTTATCTGTGAGCAAAGCCTGTTATCGCGACTCACGTCAAGATCAGTGACATCTCCCTGAAACAAGTCACCATGCAAAATCTGATATCACCAAACATCAACTCTTAACACTCCTGTTTTTTCCATCTGCAGTCTGCGCAGTCCATACTTAAGACTTTCACAGTTAGAAAAGGGCACATCTGTTTGATCTTTTCCTATTCAGATTCAGCTCATCTCGCTTCAAACCGCCAGGCATCTGTCTTAAAAATTCCTCCCCCACATCGACAATGACTTCTGGTGGCTGGATGGAGAAGATGATATGCATAAAGACTAAAAAATACAGGCTTCTTATTCTTCTGCAGAAAACAAGACGCAATAAATTCACAGTTTTCCAGAAACTCTAGCAATAGGGGTTGTGAAGTCTGATGCAAAAGCACACTGTTATTGAGTCTTGGTGTTTTCTTTGCTTCGATGTCAAAAGATGAAAAAAAAACTGACTGTCGCATTTGGTTAAAGCAGTGCAGAAAGATTTGATGGTTTCAGCAAAAGTTTGACGGTTTTGGCTTTAAAACTATGACAGTTTGTTTATTTTCTTCTCCTTCTTCTTCTTCTTCTATGCCAGTAAACAGAATCTATTTCGGTCGTCTTGTGCTCTTGTGTGTGAAGGACAGCTTCTTAAATGTTTGAAAATTAAAGGGCTGAAGTATTAATTAATGAACCCTAAAATACATCTCACGTCACCGTATGAGTTCCTCCATCTGCTTGTGTAACACTGCAGAGAAAGAGCAGAATAATCCCAACAAATTCCACTGTCCAATCAACAGTTGCTGATGGTTTCTATCAACAAGCGTATTTTCTGCCTCTCTTATCTCTCCCGAGGGACACTTAAACAAAGAGATGTGCCCTCTGGGGAATGTGCCAAACAAATGCCCTGAAAACACCGACTGCACACAGAAAAAGACTAAAATAATTAGGCCTGCACGATGAATCAGCTGAGGGGGAGAGGCCCACACAAAGCATGAAATGTGAGTTGCATCTGGCCCTCTACCATTGCACTCATCAGTCAGCCTCCAGGGCTGGGATAACATTTACAGACAGCTCTGACATAAAACTCTGCAATCCTACTCTATAGTATTCATGATGGGAAACACAGACATTGTCTTTACTCCTGCCTACAGAGTTTAATTTAAAAAGCACACTATGTTTACTCTTTTTTTTTTCACGGACCACTGGTGTGCATATTTCACGCTAAATTCCCTCAGAAAGCCCTGAGAATATGAAGAGTTAGCATAGACAGTCAAAACAAGCTTATTTGTCATTCTGAACAGCCAATTTTAGCTGTAAACATTCAGCACAGACGCTTGCCTGTGCAGAAAAAAAACACAACACCAGATGTATGCCATATCCTCGGCATGGCACAGCCTATTAGCAAAAGAGGCAAACACCATGAAAGACGCTCTGGTTAGCCCTGAGGTCCCTCATGAATATTCATTTGCACATGTACACGCAGAACACAGAGGTGTCTTTTCACCATCAAAGTCAGCCTGGATTTCAACTGACTTCATTTTAATTCAACAGCAGATGTAAATGCCGGCTGATGTGGCGGGACACGGACTGGCGCAGAGCCAGAAATCATGTCATCCGAATGGACAGAAAAAGATCTATATTGTCAAATACTGAGATATGTACTCTAAAAAAAAGCACACTTTAATACACATAGTTAAAAAATCGGAAAAGTGACATTTGATCTGTTAAAATGTGCATTTTAGAATTAGCATTGAAAACGTCTTGAAGTTAACATTAAAGGTCCTTACACACCAGGAACGACGCAAATATATGACGCCAAATTATGTTTGGAGGCGAATGTTGACGCGCCTGACTATACACATCAAACGCGATGCGATTTTTCGACTTTTTCGACTTAGTATCTTCATTTAAAAAAACATTGAAGCCCTTTAATTGAGAAAAAAGTCAGACTGTGGGGGACTACAAAGTAGCTTTGAATCAATTAAATGTTTATTTCAAGGCTTTTTTACTGGATTTATGGACATTTGGAAATATGCAGATAGCGCTAAAAATGAAGCAGGTAACATACCCAATATACTACTGGGTGAAATGCATTAAATGACCTGAAAAGTAAAGACACTTCCAGCTGTACTATTCTGTTACTTCCGTCATTCCCACCGACTATATCCCTTTGCAACTTAATCCTGGTGAATGCCGCACTAAATTCACTTCTGCAGGTTCTGCAGGTGACACTGACACATCAGTGGGTTCAGTAGTTTGACACAAACCAAAAGGAGAGAAGAAATTAAGAGGACTTGGAATTCCTCAGGACAATGACCTGATCCGTGTGGGATGCCTTGAGCAAATACTGGAGACAAGTCAGTGTCATCTCTATTGTCCCAAAAAGACACACAACATGTATCAGTTACAAGAGGACGGAGTTAAAGATGGAAGTTAACCCTCCAGCCCATGACACAGTGTTGTGGTCACATTTCACACACACCTATACCCCTCAGGATTTAAAGGGGAGTCGGGGCTTTCCACCCACAAGAAGGAATAAGAGTTTATCATGGACCATTAACAGCAAGTTAAACCTCATCAGCTTCCATGATTAATGGGTGACTCAGCAACAACTACTCTGTTCTCGGAGTTAAGTTATTCAGCCTTGGGGTCATGAATGCAGTTGTTTAATGTGCAGAGAAGATTACAAGACATGCTTTTTATATGGAAAATTTGGATTTGAAATGCCAGTGTGCCTTTTCTGAAATTGAGCCAAAGAGACAAATCAGCTGTCCGATAACAACTGACAATTTATTATCTGATACAATGGAGTCTTTCAGCACATTAATGACAAGAAATCTACGATAAATACAAAGTTGGCCAGTTTTTTAAATGTACAAAATACAGCTCAAAGAAAATAAAATGTTGTAAATTCAGACTGTCTTCCTTTAAGCATCTGGATTTCTTATCCTCACTGGATGGAGTCCCCCAGATTTCCAAGAAATTGTTCCCCAAAAATAGGCTGTCCACTTTGGCAGTATGTATGTTATTGCATGCCTGCTGAGCTTTGTGCGCCAAAGCTTGATAAATCAAAAATTACGTTGGATTTTAAATCACAATTCTTATCAATACTCAAAAAGCTCATAAGTGACAATGGATGACCCCCATATCCCTTATTTTCTCAAGTTAATCCCACCCTTTAATTGAATACAAGTCTTTCCTGTGGTCCCCCGCTGTTTCAGTCAGGACTGTTGACAACAACAAAGCAGAGTAAACATTCCCAGGCTCCGTCCACTGCACCCAGAAAGAAAAAAAGGCAGAGGAGGGGGCATGAGAGAGGTGTTAGAGGGGACAGAGGATGGGGGACACGGCTCAGAAAAGGCGGGAATGAAGCGTCGACCATTGTGGTGTAAGATTTCGCTGTAACGTGAGCCCCACAGCAGAATGTCCCTCGCCCGATGGATTGAGCGTCAGGTGTGTGCAGCTGTTGGTTAAACTCTGTTTGCAGACCAAAGAGGGAGACAAGTGGGAAAAGTAGGAAGGAAAGGCGACTCAATGAAAGCAATACTGGAGGTTTTTGTCTCTCCCTGTGGCACTAATGGGACCACTGCCAAGACTTGGATTGAAGCCCGAGCGAGCACCATGTGCCCCACAGATGGGCCTTCTAAATATGAGGGGACGTTATGTACAGATGGCCAATTTTGCATGTGCAGAGTTTAGAGATGAACACAAAATCTGCCAGAGACAGATATACTGAAAATGATTCATTTTTCCTCCAAAACAAAAGAAATGGAGATGTCTCACAACATATTCATTTCCTAAAAAACATGGACTCATACATATATATACTGGATAACCAGCTAAATTTTAATAAACTTTAAACAGATTTCTCTTTGTTTACATCTTTTGACCTGACCTTATTTTTACTTCTGTTTTTATGTCAAAGTTACGTAACACTCATTCTGATTCAGCTGATGTGTCAGACACAGACTGGTCTCCACAAACACTTGCCATTGCTACGGTAATAAATCTGTTGCATGCTTTTAGAGGTGGCACTATAAATCCAAACTGCTGTGTGGGTTTTCGATGCATATTTGGGGGGTTGCCTGGTCGCAACGCTTTGCGAAAGGAGTAGGTGTGAAACTGTTTATGTCCCCGTGCTGGCTGATTCAGATCCCACACGGTGCTGCACTCCAGATTCACTGACTGGTGCCACTTCAGGAAAACAAAAGTAGGTACGTTTCATTGAGTACAACACTTACCTACAACTCTGAGATACTTGTAATTTACTTGATAGGTTTTATTTTACATATAAAGGCAAAGTTTATGTGACACGCATGTGGACGTTTGCCTACAAGACAGACAAAATAACGTCAGGTGGTGTTAGCTCTGCTGGTGGTAGTAAAACCAATCTGACACTGGGTAACCACTGACTCTATTATCTCATTTTAGCTGTAAAATACATCGGAAAAAAAGGGTTGAATTCTGAGCGGTTAGTCAGAACCTAATGCTGCGTTCGAGTTACCTCAGAAGTCAGATGTCTGAACTGGGAATGAAGTCACACCCGAGTTACCAGCGTTCCAGTTACCAAGTCAGAAAAAAGTAAAATTGGAGGCGGAAACAAGATGGCTACATCTACCAAAGTTATTTTAGCACTTGCCGAGTCCAAATATAAGCAAGGACAAGGCAAGTGCTAAAATAGCTTTCATAGATGTAGCCATCTTGTTTCCACTTCTGATTTTGCTTTCTTCCGAATTGGTAACTAAAATGCTGGTAACTCGGACAGCTCGGACATCTGACTTCCGAGGTAACTCAAACGCAGCATTAATATCTAAAAATGAGTCGCTTTGGATCATCCCGTGTGGCGTTGTTACTTCATCTTAAATAAAAACACCATCACATTCCTCCTCTACTGCATGTTGAGATGGAGTCATGATTCCTTCCAAACTTACAGTCATGCCTGATTCTCAAAAACTATATACAAAACAAAATTCAGCCTCCAGGAGGGTCTACATGTCTTCATTTTCTTACTGATAAACATGGTGAAACTTTCAGGATAAGGTTGAGTGTGTTTACAAAGCTGTAGCAAAACCCAGCTCTCTAACTGGGCTAAAAAACACAGCTCTTCATTCTCACACTACTGTTAAAATACTGTATACAAAGTAATCAATCCAGTGCGAGCAGTGCAGCCAAATCCAATATTTGGGATTCAAAGAGGCTTTAAAGAATCAGCCCTTTCAGCACTTCCCTGGCACGATGCATAAAAAAAACCTGATGTGGAGCCCTGCAGCACTATCAACATGTTTTAAAAATAAATACAAAAAAATGTGGTGCAGGAGACATGACTGCAGTTTTGACACAGTGGGAGATAAAAACTCTGTGCTCTGGCATCACTCCAGGACCAGTTCTTCATCCCGTGCTTGTGCATGGATGTTCCTCTGTCTCGTGTTACCTCCAACATCCCTCCTCTTGATAGAATTTACTTCAACAACCCTCTCATGCTTCTTTAACTAGACTCGTTCACTATATAGATTTTTCACAGTGCTGAATGACAGGCTTTGAATAACACAGTAGTCAACTATGTTTTGGATGGTACTTGTGTGCTCTGGAAAGGTAGTCAATACAGAAGAAACTCCCTCCCAGAAGGCGCAGGGATCAAACTACAGAGGCAGCTGCTGGATATAAAATCCCACTCAAACCAGCCGCTGACTGCAGAGATACTCTGCACATGCAAGACAAGGCTCTAACAAACCTTCATTCTAGGCTTAAGGGTGGATGTAAGCTCTACTCCTGTTGGCTAAACAGCTAGAGCTTTGATTTTCTCAAACATGTCCTAGATGATCAGAGCATGCTCGGGCTTTCCACCAAAGACTGAAACAAACACAAAACTGTGCTTTGAGAGGAAAACAAACACATTCAAAATATTTGTACCGGTGCGAGTGAATCTTCGGCTGCTCAACATGAGGGTTTAGTCAATTTAATGAGACAACCAGCAACTATTCTCAAGGAAATTAATGTAGACTCTAAATCTGCTATCTGCTCCATAACCAACATAATCAGCACATTTTGTTGGTGCATCCCCTAATCTATGGTCTGTCTCGCTGTTTCAGAGAGGAAAATTCTGATTTGTTTTGCATTCATAATCAACAAAACGGAAGCAATCACAGCAAACATATAACTGTGTTTATGCCCCTCCGATATCTGCCTCTGGCGTCCAAAGAGAATTATCAATTTATAAAGATGCCAACATCGGTCCAATAAAGGACCAACTTTTTCAAATGTGCAAGGCATTTATAGATGTACGACAATTATGTTGATGTCGACTTAAGTAATCTGGTTTTGATAAAGGTCCTGTTTGGGAATGTAATAACGTATCCTGAGTTCAGATTCTGGCAGCTGCCAACTACCTAAGCAGGTGCAGCCCTAGCCAAGTCATGAGCACATTATTCTTAGGGAGCACTGACACTGACTTTCCTCTGTCACTGCATATCTACACCCACCGCTCCCCTGTGCTATGTGGTGGCAGTGACAGAAGGAAAACAGTCAGAGTGAAGAAAATGTCTAATATTTGTGGTGGCACTCTTCTCCTGGTGCTTGAAATGAAGAGGATACGCAATATATGCAACCCACCACAGTGGTTTATCTCCACTATTGTGGTTTTTATTGTTAAATTTAAGCCTTTCAGTTTCCTGCATTATTCAGATACAGTAACCAGAAACCTGAAAACAAGTATTTCATGATGAATTATGCTTTCTCTGTGTGCATGTAGACACCAAACGCTTGTGTTGGAAATATTGTTACACTGCTTACATGCAAAACGCAAGAACAAAACTATTATAACTGTCATTATTTGTTGCAATGTGTTTGAAAATCTGTCAGAAATTTAAAATCACTTCATGTTGTCCAGGATTGACGAGGCAAGGATCTACAACTAAGTGTTCTGGTAGCCTGTCTCTCCGCTGATCTATCTTCCTTTGCCTTTGTTGGTTGTGACTGTGCAAAAGAAAGTTCACCCAGTTGTCCCTCTGCCTAACATTATTCACCAAAAGTCTTCATGGGGGATCCTGAGGGACCCACAAACCAGACAGGATTTATAATGTGTCCAGGATGCCCTGCCAGTTGGACATGTCTGGAAAAACCTTGAAAACCGAATCTCTTGGTTTCTAGCCCTGTGCTGTCCGGTCTTTATCCAGCAGAGACTTTCTGATGCATTAAACCAGTTGAACTTGAATAATTAGTGAAAGTAATGAAAAGAGTTAATTTAATAGGATTTACAGTATTTGATTGTTCGCCGTGCTGACATACATGCTGGTTAAATTAGCTTACATATGCTTAATGTTACGGCAAAGCACCATTTTACTTCCTCCGGGATCAAACAGTGCACTCTCTTTAATGAAAACAATGAGCCAATACATTAGATTACATGGCTGTCAGACCCAGCTATCACTCAGGCAAGAGCACTAATCCCACACGAACAACTGCAGCCAACAGCTGCACACTTCCTGCTGCATGCAGACGGCTCAGCAGCAGGGCGAAGGCATTCCCAGGCATCCAGCCACAGACACGGATGAAGAGGAGGTCAGGGAACCAGCCACTATTTACACTGACTCAATGGGATACCTTATGACTCATTTTTGATTACTTCACACGTTTACTGCTTCCACTTGGTGTGAAAACAAACGTTCAAGCTTGAATAATTTGTGCTCAAACAATTACAGCCAACGGAGAATTCTACCTTCATATCATGCAAACAAAATCAGGTCAATATGAATGCACAATGCTGAAAATGAACCAAACATTAACCCAGCTAAATTTGGGTTGCCTATTTTATAAACTGGGTTGCACCTCTACAGGTGAATTCCTACTCCATAATGAGAATTATTTAGATTAAAGTTAAGAAGCTAAAAATCCTTCAATCCTCCACATATCAAAAGTGGAGCTGTAGCCGCTTTACAAGGTCAAAACCAATTTAAATAAGGTACGAGATTGGCTGTCTGATAATTAAATTGAAAACAATAAGTAATAACTCAAACAGCAATAAATCAATGAAAACAATAACAATGAATTATTCATTGTATTGCTTTCCAGCGCATTTTCTTAAAGGCTCCTCAGAGTCAAATCCTGCTGTTTAAAATAGAAAGTTATAGGGCCCTGTTTACATTATCTAAATGCACAGGCTACAGCACATGGCTCATAGTGAATCAGGGTGTATACAACTGCTTTTTTAGAAGAAGAGTGGTGCAAAATCTGGGTGCAAGTGTACTCTACTTTTAACCGCACAGGAAACCCACACAGATCACTGTATGAGTAATGAAAATGCATGTATGGAAAAGTTCCTCTAAACAGCAGAAACTAAACCGTCTGTCCAAACACACACCTGTGCAGGTGGCTAAGCGGCACTGGCTTTATTAGCTAAGGACACGATAATTAGTGGTGTTCACATGGACTGTAAATGAACTAGTCTCTTTCTGCATATACTCAGGACACACTTCATGGGGAACTTAGTGATCATCTGGTCTCGAGTTTTTGGACCATGCAGGGCTGAGGAGAAAGTGGCGTGTGGGGAGATGGCACTGAGGGTGACCTCCTCTCCTAGCATTCTCAGATAGGCACTATACTGTATCATGGTGTATAAGGATGGTGGGCAAATACCAAATTTAACAGTCCTTCTATCTAAATAAACACTCTTTTTCACTGTATGTATCTATTTATCCATCCATCTATCCATCTATCTATCTATCTATCCATCTATCTATCTATCTATATAGATGTTTTCTATGTCCTCAACAAAGCAGCACGCCACCTTGTAAGGCCAACACACCCCTGGGCGCTAACACACATAAGTGAACCTGCTATTTACACAACATGGGTGTTGGGTGTGAAACTGATGAGTGCATCAGGGGTAAACTTGTGCTGCAAAACACTTAATGCCAGTGTGCAATGGGTTTCCATAATCTTGAGGATATGTAGTTCAACTTCTGGGTATGAGGTATAACATCTGTGATTTAGCCATTTGATTAAGTTCATGAATTTCCAGTACTCGATGGTACTGTGAATTTGGCGTTGAATTGACGTCAATCCACAGTTCATGCCGTCGTTAAAAACACGCTGGAAGTTTGTTAAAGACACAGAATACAAGGATCCACAACTCTCCTAATGCTTATTTTAAGAGTGGTTTAATCTGACCATTAATTCTCAATCGAAACTACATGTCTTACACATAACAGAGCCAGAGCTTACATTTGATGCCTGTTTAATCTGATTAGCTGATTTACTGGAGATTATTTCAAATGAAATCCATGAATCAGGAAATTCTGACTTCTGAAAAGCTGAACTAAGAATTAGTCCAGGCCTTTCTGTTGGACATGTTTCCTCAATGCTACATCCATCACGGCTGATGCTGTTAATGACTTACTGTCACTTACTGTTTCTGATACAACTATGATTATGTTACTCTGGACCTGTACCTTGTATTACAGAGTACTACTCCAAAATCTTGACCAGAAAAACCTCATGTCCTCAGTTAGAATTAAAAGCTTTTCATCAAGAAGGAAGTGAGTTGTTTCTTGGAGGCAACACAGAACAGAGTGGTTTGCCACAGTATCCAATGGCTCTAAAAAATGCTCATCCATTACAGAAAAATGCTGGGGAGAGACAACACTTTTGTTTCACATGTGTCTCAGGCAGCCAAAACATTACTGAGCCCACAAAAAGTGCACTACTTCTGCATGATTGATGTAAAAACTGTTTTATCTGAATGAAGTCCAAACACCATTAAAATGACAAGCTTCCCCTATATCATCTGAACATCAGTTTCTATTCCTGACACTGCCTGAGGAAACCGTCTCAAGTATCGGTAAACAGAAGAGATCTTGGTGTTGATGTTGTTAACAAAGACGGACAAACCATAAATCAGCCACTCTGAGACATGATCGCATGGATCTGCCCGTGGCTCTCAGCTCCAAACCAATTTGTTCCAACACTGCACAAAAATCTTTAACAATAAAAAACAGACTTACGCACAGTAATCAGGCTGTTTTCAGCTGAAGAATGACACTATAAATTTGATGTTTCAGCCAGCACTTAAAGCAGCTGGACGATAAGGAGGGTCTACTCAAAGCCAACTTTTGTGGCTGCATTATAGAGCAAAGAAGCTTTCTTGAGTCCCAGCTCCCTGGTGAAAACAGCGCGGCTCATTGATGGGGTTTTTAACAGTTTCTTGCCAACAATGGGGCTCTATGGTGCAGAGGGATCCAGCTGTGGTTTCACATACAATACTTGTTAGCAGAAGCAATTTCACCCTCATTCAGACTCTTTCTAGTGATTCACTGGCAAAAGGAAATTTAGGGCATCAAAAGCCTTGAAAGAAATGTAGAAATACATGCTTAGATCTTCAGTTATATCCAGTACTTTAGTTTACTTTTAATCATGTATGTGATATTTATTGGACTGCATGGCTGTAATAAACGCATTCACCTTATTTCTACAACTGCCATTCAATCAAGTTTGAGAATATTATTTTATAAAGACCTTGTTTACATATTGAGACGTATTTTTAAGTGACACAGGGAAGGCTGTTAAGTGAGTGTGTCATGATAAACACAAATGAAGTTTGGACAATGTAAACCCACTAGTTAGCTATGTACTGTATGTGTCATGCAGTCAGAAGTTATCAAATGCCTTGTCAGTGATCTGGAATAATAGTAATAAGTGAGGCTGTGGGAGGTTTTCAGAGACAGGAAATGTTTGGGTATGGAGGTGTACCAAATACTGTTGGGGCAGCAGAACGAGCACTATAGTCGTAAAACAAGTATGTTTAAGATTGTTGTATTGGGGTCCTGGTGGCCTAGTGGTTTGGGCGCCCCACATATACAGGTCTCTGGTTCAAATCCCAGTCTTTATCTTCTCCTGCCATCTTCCTAACAGAGGCAAAAATTCCCCAAAACATTGCCACAGCTCATACCTTTATCTTATTTAGAAGACGTAACTGTTTTTGACTTTGTGCAAAGTCTTTATTTGCTGCTTTTAAATATAATATTCAAGGCATTTACTATTCCGACAGAACAGATTTTACGAACAACTACAGAACAGACTTAAAGGATCCGTCCAAGCCCTAAATAACACTGAGGGTTGAAAACAGTTTACAGCATGCCATGACCTAAGTAAGCACATTCTGCATGTCTACTTTCTGTTCTGTAAATGTCATTGTAAAAGCTCTGCCCACTACTCTGATTTACAGCAGAACCACCCAACCCAGACCACTTTCTCATTCCTGTAAGACAACATGACCATCATACTGATGAACACTGGTCTGTGAAATCAATAGACATTGGTGTACAGATCCTGCATAAAGCTACATGTTTGGGCTTCTTCTCATACTCTGGATGACTTTGTCTCCATGCAGGAGAAATGCTTTTAGCCATAAATTGTGTACCAGTGAGTGCCCTTCAAGGTCCATTAGGGAGGAGGTCAGCTTTGACAGGCCTCTTTAAGGGGACAGGTCTCGATCACTAACCAACGACATAATCCAAAAAACAGACAGCTTTACTCCATCTCCAGAGGAGGTAGAGGGGAGATGGGGATTAAAAAGAGGTAACCCAATTAAGGCAAGGCTGATGGGGTAAAAAGACAGGGATTTATGTAAAAAGAGGTTTAAGGTCAGGACAGAGTGAGTGTTGTCCTGTTGTGAGATACCATGTGGAGGAAGGTTTACATTTAATTATTTACAGTAAAGCTTCCTTCAAAAACTTAATCCCGGAGTCAACATGATGTCTGTCTTTTAGGATGGGGGCAGGGAAGAAACAGATTCACATAAGATTCACGATTTCTAATCAGCTAATAAGCCCAAAAAAATCAATTTCTATATCCTTGGCTGTACAACTTGACAAAGCTACAACTGACATGACCATGTATCAGTTGGACCCTTTATTTTGAACATTCACCTCCGACAATGCTGGGAAATTTGGCTAAGTAAACTAACAACTTTGTTAGCCTTCGTTTCACACTTACACTTAAACTAAACAATAGTTATAGCTCAATTAGGTCATAACATCTGACTACAGTCCTTGTCCTAGTATGCAAGCATCAGCGAAAATTGATTTCTTGGCACAAGTTTGCCTGCCTCCACGACAGCAGGTGGCGATATGCCCTCTTTCAGCTGTGACCTATTATACTGTCACCCAGTTGACCCATTACGTCACACACTGAAACGACCAGCAAACAAGTCAGCAAGTGGCAAACTAGTCATATGTCAAATGGTAAAAAAAAAAAAAACATGGACAACTGTGCAGCTCTGGACTTTTCTTAAGAAGGGTTAATGCAACTTCAATCAAACATGTTCATACTAATGACAAAAGACACGTTTTAGTCTGACTTGCACAATAAATCTAATTTTTTCATATTATGTAAATGAAACCTGAAACCCCTGTGCACCACACATCCACACACACACCAGTCAAACAAAGAAGACATGAGTGAACATGCAAGAAAATTGAACATTTTGGTCCCAAAGCATCAGAAAAAAAAAAATTAAAACTCAAATCAAAAACTGAAAATGGTGAGTGTTTGCGATTTTAGCGTGAAAAAATCATTAATTTGAGTAACTGATCAATAAGAAAGTTGAAAAATGCTACTTCATCAATTCAGAGCTATTTCTCTAAGCAACCCCCAAAACTGATAACAAATCAGTGAAATGGTTAGTTTATCAAAGCTTATATGAAGAGTTTTTTTTACATTTATGACGTAGAGACTGCTTCATCCACAGGGGGCACCAGAACTGACAAAAAATAGAAAGTTCTCTACAGGAGCTTTAAGCAGTTTAATGACCCAGTGACCCAGCAGTTCCCCCATAAAAACTGTACGTAATAAAAAAAAAAACAAACTTTGGTCTTGTGACCTTTGGTTTCATTGAAGCACATTGTATCATAGCCTGCACATGAGTCACAGCCTTGAGGAATTGAACCAACTAATTGGGCTTTTACCTCGGACCCAGAGGTAAACCCAGACTGTTCTCACACACGGACACACAACCAGCCACTTCCATCACCATAACATCAGGCTCAAACATTAAAAACACAACTGAAACTCTAACCAACAATGTCCTTCATTGGAAACAGAAACAGGACTGCAGCCACTGTGGTTTCTTAGATGTTTACAGCTTTACAATAAAAAAACATTAATAACTTAACCAGACTTAGGCGAGAGACATGCAAAGACAAAACCCTTTACAGCACCAGTACCATGTAAAATATGTTTATACTCAAACGTGCTGTACTGCTGTTAGAAAGTTACTTTGTTCATTAATTACGCAGCAATTAATTACAGCTTTGCATTTTTTTTCACCACAATGCAGCTTCAGACTGAAACAGAGCCAAAAAGAGTGATAGAAAGACTTAAAAAGTAGGAATTGGGAGAAATAAAACAACATTAATTCCACTTTTTCATGCTAGTTCATTTCGACGTGGTTTTCAAGTTCAATATCCTGACGGACAGAAACACATTTTACAACCTAGTCAACTGCATGTGAGCAAAAACGCGTACTTTCGAGGGAAAAAAAACACTCGAGTTTACTTAAATTTCACGAAATGTTTGTTTTCCTGTGACAAACACTTGATTTGAGCATCCACGTTGAGCACCCACGCTGTATCCTCATTCAAAGTGGTTTTAACGGTCATCCTCCTCCTCCTCCTCCTCCTTCACCAAACTTAACCGTTAAAAACAACAATAACGGTTAATTCAGGTTAAACTCACCGAACATGTTGAAAAGGCAGATTTGTAGAAACAGACGAAGACATATGTTATGTGGGAAAGCCATGACTTCTTACTGCTGGTCGTATCCAGTCCCGAAACAATGTGAACTGAAGTGGCGTGTCGACGAGAAGTTCGCAAGCAGCCCCGGAGGAGAGACTGAGGAGGAGGAGGAGGAGGAGGAGTGGAGGTAGCGGAGGAGAGGAGAGAGGAGGAGGGGAGGGGGCTCAATTAAAGTCTCAGTCTGGCGGGGTCCTCCTCCTCCTCTACTCATTGTGGGGCTTTCTTTCTGTGTGGTTGAAGCGGCTTATCTGTGTTTTCTTCTGCCTCGAAGTCACTCTTTAGAGTTCTCGTTGGTAGAAAGTCCTTAAGGTCACAACAATAAGCCAACCTTATCACGCCCGCACACCTTTTTAGCCTGATTACTCTGCCTTTTGGCTGAATTCAGCTTAACTGGGACGTTTGATTTGCATTTCCACACTGGTTAAAGTCAATAAATGTAAACTTGGACATGGGCCTGGCATCTTTTTGTCACTAAGTTGAGCAGCGGTGGGGTAAAAGTGCTGTAGGCTGCACAAAGCTCAAAAATAAGGGACAGATGCTTTTTCGCCCATCAAATGAGTTTGCCAACCTACTTCTGTCATACATCTGCAAAACAGTTTCAAACCTCGGTTAGGATTAAAATGAATTTAGATTTAAAATTGTAACAGTTCACAAGCAGTGACAAGTTTCCCAGCATGCACTGCCTTGTATTTTTTCATCTGCAAGACATCCCAAGAGAGCACTTCATAGTCTCATTTCCAGATGGAGTCCACCACAGTGGAGGATACTTTATCAAGTTTTCCTGGTTAAAAAGCAAGCAAGTTTTCTTAACTGTGCATTTTCACCCATTTGAAGAGCTTCCTAATGGAGACTTCTCAGCATTTTATCCACTTTAAAAGGCACTCTGAAGGAAAATGCAATGCCTTTTCTCCAATAAATGGTGACTGTACAAGAAGGTCACTTCAGAAAGCATTGCATTACATTTTCCCCAGTGTAAGAGTGCCATAACGGGGACATGGTTGCGGTAAGTCTATTCAATGTCACTATGTCAGTTTTTTCCCCATTAGATGTTTTCTCCACTTGTTGATGGCATCTTGTGATAATGCAAAACTCTTTTCTCACATTTAATCACATTGTCGTGCAGATTTTTACTCCATCACTTAACCTTTTGGACTTTTACACTAAACGCCACATTATTTTACATTATACCGCGGTGTTGTGGAGGCACAGGCCTCATGACACACATACTCACACGCAACGCTGTCCTAACCGGGCGACTCCAATGTTTACATTCACTCTGTTTCACCTCTCGCCTGATGCCGATTCTGTGGCAGAACAACTTGACTCTGTTATTCTACCTCTATGTGTTTGACATTGCAGATGAGGCATAACTGAGGCACAACAGTCCCCTTTTGAACTGGCAATGTAAAGGAGCTGCAGATCCAGCATATATAAGGCAGCAGACTTCAGTTATGTATGATCTGCATGGTGCACAATCTTCCGTAGCTGTAATCCCAGCTCCCATCAGTAATTTTTAAAAGACGTTTAGTTTTGTATTAATTTCTACAGTATTCAGATTCTACTTGAAATCATCTCCCGGCTCCAATTCCACTTTTGCTTCCCAGGTTTTCAAAGACTGTGACAATGCAGCTAACAGAGAGGGTCGGGGGTCTTGAACTGCAAACCTCTGGCTTCACTGATATACCCTGAAAGATTGGCAGCTAATCCCAGAGGGTATATCAGCAGATTTTCATTTTAAAATAGATATACAAGAGCAATAAGTGCTTTAACACTGTGCAGTGGAGGTGGGAAGCCCCAAATGGGTTCTGAGATTGCATCAACTCCAATGGGATGGCAATCAAAAGTACCTTCTTGTATTTTCTTGTTTTCTGAGAGTTTTCTCCTGTTGAGGGGATCTTCATGCATATTTCATACAGTTTTCTCCACTGGAAGAGTATTCTTAAGGGCATTTTATCAAGTTTTCTCATCTTGATGGAGACTTTAAAGGGCAGTGTATTACTTTTCCCCCCATAAGCACCTTTGACGACACCTTATACTTGATTTTTCCTATGTAGGTTTTCTATGCTGGAAAGGAATCCTTTTTTTCTCCAACATTTTTACTCAAGAAGGGCACCACAAGGGGCACCGCACTTATAACTTATAGTGGTTTGAAGCATGAAGTGTGAATCATGTGTTCTCCTAAAGGACTTCTGTATCCACTGTGTAATTTTTCCAAAGGGCATCATTGAGGGTACTTTTTCATCTTATAAAAGAAGGGCGTCCAAGAGGAGACTCAACTGCTCTTTACAGGAAAAAGAGCCGGCCAAGAGGACACTATATCTCAGTTTCATGCACATGGCCCACTTGAAAATCATTTTCTATTACTGAACCTGTGATTTCTGACTGCCGTAGCATGCGCATTAAAAAGATAAATATCTACTGACTTTCTGCTTTCTGCTATACAGTCCTTCACCTCCTAAGTTGACCTATCTGAAGTTGGCCAAAAGTCAAGATACTTTTTTTTCCAGTAGACATGTGGGCCATAGTAGCAATCATGCAGTAAACAAGTATAACTCAGCAAACCACCACTGAAGACCATAGCAACCACTTTTTTTCACATTCAGCAGTGATAAACACCTTGGCAACAGTATATATTTCTTTCATTAAAAATTCAGGTTTTGTTGTAGCTCACCCACACATTTCTTCCCTCCAGGAAACATTTACTTATTAATATTCCTCAACCCAGACAATGTGAGTTTTAGGAATAAATTGGTAAAGACGACTAAAACAGCCACGGTCCACACAGTGCAGAGAGCAAAGGTTAGAAACACTGGACCTCTTCCAGTAAAGTGAGCCGGGTTCTGCTGTTGTAATCACGGACTCTGGAGTCACCTTGTCTAACAGCTGCAGCAGGAGCCCTTCCTGAAGTTGTCACCCAGCTGTCTAACCTCCATTGTACATGAACCCACAGCTGTGGACACAATACAGGTATTAGACATGGAGACAAAAAATCATAGGTACAATAGAGGGGCCTCATGCGGTGAAACTGAATGATTTGTCTGCAGTGATGCAGCAGGGAGTAAAAAAGTGTGTACACTTTGACTTACTCAGTCCTAAATCATCTCCAGACTGCAAATCAAAAGCAGAAGTTTGCCTTTTTCACGAACAAGCACTTTTTGTTTCATTTGATTTAGTCCTTTTGACAGGTTTGTTACCTGTAAAAAGTCTACACCATACTATGCGAGCTTACAGTGTGACTTTACGTATTACCTTTAATCAGTATGGCTCACAAAACTCCTGTATTCAAGAAATAAACGCCTGCCATTGATCATCCTGACAAGTTTTGACATTGAACGTGGTATCAGATCAGATCAGGAGGTTTAAAGAAAAATGCTTTGTGGGTGGTAACAAAGCCGTTCCCAGCCTTTCTCAACTATGCAATCTGTACCTACGATTTCTTATCATATGTCAACAAAGCCTGTGAGTGACTCCTGGATTCTCAGACATTTTCATTCGCAAGATTCTTTTTTTGCAATCCAAAGAGAAGAAAACTCACCAAGTATTTCACAATAATGTTTAAAAAAAAACACACATAATTTTGTTCATACTCATCGTTTAACCAAATTCTGTTGAAAGCAACACAAAACCCTCCCCGTAATTCAGCGCTCAGTCGGCCTTTTCTAGTCAAAATAAACCCAACATGAGCTCGCTGCTGAAAAGAAGACACCAGCAGCTGCATATACAGTATGTGTGTGTGTCAAAGTCTACCTCAGACCTCACTATCAGAGAATATTTGGACTTAGGCCAAGGAAACTGTCTCTTACGTGAAACCTATCTAGCCCTTACTCATGAGAGTCTAGCCAGGCTTTTCTTGGAGCACAGTACTTTGCCAGCTGTTGGCCCACACATCTTTCTTTTGTTAACACTGTAGCTCAGTATGCAGCTGCTCTTTCCAGCTTTCTACCAGCAGTTTGCACTTGCTACCTGGTCATTAAAGAGTCTGGTAAAGATTTCAAAAGATTTTCATTATATCTTCAGTTTCTCAGAAATCGTTTTCTTTTTTCCTTTATCTCAGACATGTAATCTTTTTTACATACCTAGACATGTTTCGGCGAAAACTTCCACCTTCCTTAGAAGTGTCAATTGGTGGTAGGTGTGACACATCATATCAGCTGGTGTTACAGAGGCGTGACCCTCCTGTCAAATTTTTTTTTAGGCCAGAGTCATCCGCACTGAGGACACTAAGCACCAGCGCTGGATAAGGGAAACTGGCCCCACAGAGGATGAACAAGGATGAGAGGTGAACAGACAGTGGGAGGCGTGACGGCCCAGTCAAAAAAAAAAAAACAATAAATAAATACATTTTAAAAATTGACGGAAGGTCACGCCTCCGTACCACCAGTACCACCAAATCACCAGACACTTCTGAGGAAGGTGGAAGTTTCCCAAGAAATATGTAAAGGTACGTGGAAAGGATTACATGTCTGAGATAAAGGAAAACAGAAAGCGATTTCTAATCTGGCGAAGAGTTTAATTCATTATAAATTTTGACTTCATACAGCGAAGATTTTCAGCACCTTACTTGCCATCAGGAAGTCCTTTTTGGCACTATTTACAGACCTAATACGGACATGCTCTACTTGATGCAGCACATTGATCAGCTGTTTGGGTCAGCAGGCTTTAAATTGACAAAAACACAACCAAAGAAAGAAAATGAGTGATTCTGTCAGCACCGGTAAGATGCTGCTGGGAAACCAAGACACCTCTGTGGAAGAACTAGATTCACAGTTACCTGGTTGTAAAGGTATATCAATTGCAAGTGAACGCCTAAGAACTGAGAAATTGACTGCCATGAATGAGACTTGGTCAGGACAGTTCATAAAGATCATTGTAAACCAAAATATGCTTGCACTACACATAAAGCTGCAGGCTACTAGAGTTATCTGCGGCACTATTTATTATTGCATCATGACCATGGCTAATACACTTACTAGTGACATGCAACCCATGTAAAGGCACCTCAAAAATACCGAAATATCCCTTTAAGGAAGTCACTTCCCACCGTTCACCATCAAACACTGAGCAAGTTAACTGTCCCGCAGGTATCAGTTGACTACAT